AGCTCCTGAAATGTTGTGTAAGTAAAGAAGTAGAGTTTTGTGGGATTTTTATTTTTTCTTTTGTGATATTTGCTATATGCAAAATAGTTAGTTGGGACATGCACATTGCATGACAAGACAAGTTAGATTGAGAGAGAGAGAGAGAAGTGAAACATAAACGCCGTTGCCGTTCTGCAACTACATTCTTGTTTTCAATTTATATAAATAACATCTCTTCAACATTCAAGACTTGTTTCTTAACCTGACAGCTCTCATATCCTAAAGACTCAGTCCCTTTGGGACCTCACATGCGCTTATAGAAGGTATGTTCATGATTCTCAAGCATCAATATTAATTAAGAGTCTACTTTGCTAAGATGATCAATTCTTGTGAAAATAGAGCCTAGTTAATTACTTTAAGAAGCTGTGCATGAATTGAATCTGACCTTTGAGCTCCTTGATGTAGCTTTGGTCCATATCATACTTGATCCTAACAAATCTCCTGCAATGGCATGTTTTTGTATTAGAAATGGGAAAGTGTTATGTAGAGGGTTTAAGTTGGAGCTTTCAAGCACCTTCATGATCATATAGATAAATAGTATTGTAATATGAAGATGCACTATATTGATTATGCATAATCCTTATGATCACACAATGTTCTACAGATTTAGCACTAAGGAGAGGCGCAGAAGAGATGAGGGCTAAAGCTGCTTCAGGGAAAGCCATAATAGTGCTGTGTCTTGCTAGCTTTCTTGCAGGCTCACTGTTCATGAGCCGAACCTTGAGTCGCTCTTACATATTTGAAGAAGAGGACCACCATCTCACAAAGCATTTGTCTAAACATTTAGAGATTCAAAAGGACTGCGATGAACATAAACGCGTAATAATCCTTCTCCATTTAATTAAACACCTGATCATGTTCATATACATATGCTCACTAGATAACCACAAGTGTTACTCTTTGTTGAGCAGAAACTGATAGAAAGCAAATCCAGAGACATAATAGGAGAAGTATCAAAAACCCACCAAGCAGTAAAGTAATATAAACATATTCTTTCGTATGTTTCCTTACATGATTGAGACAGAGGAGGTACTAACTAATATCTTATTCTTTCTTGTGCTTCTATATTAGATCATTGGAGAGAACAATGTCAACACTGGAGATGGAGTTAGCAGCAGCACGGACCAGCGATAGAAACAGCGAGTTCTGGAGCGAACGGTCAGCAAAAAACCAGAGTCTGCAGAAAGTGTTTGCAGTGATAGGCATCAACACAGCTTTCAGCAGCAAGAAAAGAAGAGACTCAGTGAGGCAAACATGGATGCCAACAGGCGAGAAGCTAAAGAAAATCGAGAAAGAGAAAGGGATTGTTGTAAGGTTGTGAAGTAAGCCACAAGTATCCTCAATTCACAAACTTTAAAACACACAATAACCAAACTTCAGTCATATAAAACAGAGAAAGCTTGGATTTTTATCTATGTCAGGTTTGTGATAGGACACAGTGCAACACCAGGAGGAGTACTAGACAAAGCCATCGACGAAGAAGATTCAGAACATAAAGATTTCTTGAGACTAAAACACATTGAAGGATATCACCAACTCTCAACAAAAACAAGACTCTACTTCTCAACAGCAACTGCAATGTATGACGCAGAGTTCTATGTAAAAGTGGACGATGATGTTCATGTCAATTTAGGAATGCTCGTTACAACACTTGCAAGATATCAATCAAGACCGAGGATTTACATTGGTTGCATGAAGTCTGGTCCTGTTCTTTCACAAAAGTAAGCAAAAAAGAAGTAACCTTTACAACAAATTTGAAACCTTTGGAAACATATCTGATATTTGGAAACTGCAGGGGAGTAAAGTATCATGAGCCAGAGTTTTGGAAATTTGGAGAAGAAGGTAACAAGTACTTTAGGCATGCGACTGGACAGATATATGCAATATCAAAAGACTTAGCTGCATATATCTCTACTAACCAGTAAGTTTTCAAAACACTGATGTAAAAGTTTCACTCTTTTTGTGTGGGTTTTATGGAAGGAATGATTCAGTGGGTGGACATGATCCGCAGGGGAATACTACACCGGTACGCAAACGAGGATGTGTCGTTAGGAGCATGGATGCTAGGGTTAGAAGTGGAGCATGTGGACGAGAGGTCAATGTGTTGCGGAACACCACCGGATTGTCAGTGGAAAGCACAAGCTGGAAACGTGTGTGCTGCGTCTTTCGACTGGTCATGTAGTGGGATATGTAAGTCAGTAGATCGGATGGCTCGTGTACACAGAGCTTGTGCGGAAGGAGATACTCCTCTCTCTAACTTTCGCTTCTTCATCTGAGTTTGTGTTACTTTTGCTTAGTTTTGATATTAGTAGTGTGTTGTGGAATCAATAAGGAAAGATATAGTAGTAGTAAGTAATAAAATGATCATGCAAGAACGAGAAATATGACACTTTTGTTTTGGGTGTGGAAAATTTGGTTTTATATTATTTGGAAATTGGAACCTTGGTTGATAAGTTATGGGGTTTTTTTTTTCTTTTTTTTTTTCTTGGGGTCAATTTTGAACAATTTAAGGACATGGATTTATATTTATTTAGGAAGAAAGGAGATAAAATTTTATGATATTAATCCTGGAATTATAGGTTTAGTAAAAAATCAAGCAATAAAGTAAAATAAAAGATTGGGAAAAATTGCATTTTCTCATTCTTAATCCAAAAAGATCTAAACTAATATTTTTGTTAACATCCTTAATTTATGTTATAATAATAATATCTCAAGTTTTTAAAGTTTTTGTATTTTATAAACCTTAAAACTGGGGTAGTCGTAGTAATGTGTTTTTCATATGTTTTTGACTTTGTGAAGTTTTTATATTAAAACCATTGGCTTATTATTTGTATATTGGATATCGAAGAATATTGTTAATATGAGTTTTAAATTGTTCTGGATGAGCGAAAAAAAAAAAAAAAAAAAAAATTGTTCTGGATGATCGAGTATCGGATTCGATTCCAGGTATATCCACTCGATTCTAGATATTTCGGATGAAAAAAATTTAAAATTTATTTAATTATTTTAGATTTCCGGTTCGGATTCAAACCGGTTTTGGTTATTTCGTGGAAAAGACTAGTTTTTAGAAATTTCCACAACAGAAGAAGATAAGTGTCACGATCGGTATTGGATAGGACTTAATGCTTTCATAGGCTTATTAGCAGAGCTACTTATTATTTAAAACGAATCAAAACAAAATAAGGAAAAAAAAAAAAAAGGCTTGGAGAAAAAGAAATCCGAAACCGCCTCGAATTTGGAATCAGTAGGTAAAAAAAGGATATATCTTTCTTCTTTGTCTCTCTCTCTATCTCTATATCTCTCTCTCTCCATCAGAATCGGTCAAGCTTTTAGTCAATACCCTTCCCACCAAAAACCCTAAAATCATCTCTCTCCCCCCCAAAACTTTTGAGAGGGAAAATCTCTCCGCCAAAAAAAAAAAAAACATTAACACTCTCTCCTTCCTTCTAAAACAAACCCTTTCGTCTTCTAATCTCAAATCTCTCTCTTTTAACTCTTTTTGTTTCCTTCCAAGATTTTTAGTGTCGGAATAACCAAACCTTTGTCATGGCGGTGATGAACGGCGGTAGGGCGGCGAAGCGAGCCAGGCGTTGCAACAGAATCTCTGCCGATCTTTACGATTTCTCTACTTTCCCTTCCCCGGAGGAGATTAACAACGGCGGCGACTCTACCACCGCCGCCTTGCCGCCGTTCCGAGACGGTATCAGAACTTTCCTCGCGACCCACGCGCGTGTCACTTTCCCTCCTTCGACGCTCTTCTCGAGTTTGGTGACGTGGCAGATCATGCTTAGACCTGGGGATTCGACGGGGGATGGTGGTTCAGATCTCTCTTCTAGACTCATCTCTCTTGATGTTGTGGAGGAGGATGTTACTAGATCCTCTAGATCTGTCTACTGTGACCACTGCCGAGTCGTTGGTGAGTCCACGTCCTTACATATTCTTCTTTGAATTTCGGAAAAAGTTTTGAACTTTCTCTTCTTTTTCGAAAATAAAGTTTGATTTTTTTATTACCTACGCATGCATTAGACTGAAAGCAAATCTGTTGTTTTTGAAGGTTGGAGTAGTCATCCAGTGTGTAGAAAGAGGTACCACTTCATTATAAGATCAGGAGGAGACTGTAAGGCTTGCTCGAGGTGTGGTAATACTCAGAATCTGTCTGAAGGCAGCAATTGCAAGTGGTGCAGCTTGGCTCTTGATATTGAAGACTGGGTTTACTCTCAGCTTGAAGACAACACTCACCTCCTTCACGGTGTCATCCACTCCAATGGCTTTGCTCATCTCTTGTCACTCAACGGAAGAGAAGGTGGCTCTGGTTTTTTGACTGGTCGTGCCATTATGGACTTTTGGGACAGGCTTTGTTCCTCCCTTGCTGTTCGTAAGGCAAGTGTGATGGATGTCTCAAGGAAGTATGGCATGGATTACCGGTTGCTTCATGGGATCACTAGAGGGTGTTCCTGGTACAGTGAATGGGGTTATGAATTCAAATCTGGGAGCTATGCTCTCACTAGAGAAGCTTACCAGAGTGCAGTTGATACTTTATCTGCCATACCTCTCTCTGAGTTTTTGTACCAGGGGAGGAATCCTAGGACTCAGCTCCACTCCACTGTTGGCTTCTACCAATCACTCTCATGTTCAGAGCTTCTGACTGTGAGAGACCTCTTCTCCTTTCTGCTACAGCTGATCCGTGAGGACAGATCAAAAACCACATCTAAGTCGTCTGTACTGTGTGCCTGGACTAAGAGTGATGTAGAACGTGTACAGCAAGCCATGATTAAGATACTGAAAGCTGCAGGGGGTCCACGGGCCAACTGGGTAACAAGGTGGGCTCTCAAAAGGTCTATTTGCAAAACAGCCTCTCCACAGCTGATTGATTACTGTCTGAAGCATTTTGGAGGGGTTTTGGCGGATGATGGATCTCGAGTAGTCTGCTCCCGTTGCAATCCTGGTTCAAACGACTTTGAGTACAGGTACACTTTTAAGAGATGTTTCTCCTTTATTCTGCTTTGGATGCTTGGTTTCCAGTGTGAATAATAAATCTTAACCTTTACATATGAACTTCAGGCTTGAACCTGTCAACAATGTGCACCGCTTATCTAATCAAGACGTAAATTATGCATCAGTGGAGCATGTCAAACGGGACTTGAGATATTTGTATGAAAATTTATTGCACCCACAAACCATGGCCAAGTTTAGGTTTCAGGCTACAAGAGATAAAATGATTGATGCAGCCACAAAAATACTGGATTGTAAGCATTTCATAAAAGATTACCTGTCCAGCACAGTGAACCCCTTTGCAATCAACATCTGGTGCTGTGTAGAGCTTTCGGATGAGTCCAAAGATTGTCCATCTCCTCCATCTGAACTGTTGGTGTTGCCATTGAACGCTACTGTTTCTGACCTGAAAATCGAAGCTGCCAAGGCTTTTCAGGAAGTGTATGCAATGTTCAAGAGGTTTGAAGTTGAGGAGTTCCTAGGTTATGGCTCTATAGATGACTCAATTACCCTGAAATTTCTAGTTGGAACAAATGCGGCTGTACAGATTAAAGGGAGATGCTATAAACATGGGCTCCTTCGATACCGCATGGAGAGAGGAGTGGATAATTGGAAAGTTGATTGCAAGTGTGGCACAAAGGATGATGATGGTGAGAGGATGTTGGCCTGTGATGTATGTGGTGTGTGGTGCCACACTAGATGTGCTGGGATCAAGAATGCCGATGAACTCCCTTCCACGTTCCATTGTTTCAGATGCATTGATATGTACAGCAAGAGACCAAAGCAATCTGACAATGAGCGTGGCTCTAGTCAAGTCCCCAAAGCTGGCTTCGTTTGTAGAGGTGAGTCAGCTGCTATGGGCAGTGGATCTAATTTATCCTTAACACTTAGTGTAGGCTGACTGTATTTATGATCGTTCTGTATATAGGTTCTTTTTCTAGGCACAAAACTGCAAATGGCTTAAGATTTCTCTACTCGTGAATGTAACATGGCCACTTAAAGATTTCAATCATGGGAAAATGATGTTTATAAAGAGCAAATGTTTAAGTGTCAGGAGCATTTTACCTTTTCTCTTTTTTACTTGCATACATAGTTGCACATAGTTGCAATCTCTCCCACGCTCTATTGCCTTCATATAGGGTAGTTCAGATCTGATTGGCACACAAGAAACTCAAATGCTTAAAACAAGACAAACCAACTACTGAGATTATTAATTTCCTACATCACCATTCCATTAGTATGCACATCATTTGAATAACTATCGATGATGAACCCAATTCTACCTTCTTGCTCAACGATGTTCGTAATTCACTTGATAGTTAGCTGGACTTGCTTCTCTTATTAATCTTTGCTCTAGCAGCCGTCTTGGCTGAAACAAGGTTTGTTAGATAATAAGCACCCTCAGAGACCGTTTCAGACTTCCAACAGTACAACCAGATGAACTTGAGATTGTAAAGCATGTGCAGGGATTTGCCTGTAATTGCAGATCATACAAGTTAGTATTTCAGTAAACACACGAACGAACCAGTAAAGAAAAACATAAGAGAACACTGCTTTCCTAAGAAAAAATAACTAAATAAAAGCAAGCTTGAGACTTCGAATGGCCACTTTGACCTGGAAAGAATTTACACCATGATAGAATTAAAATATTACAACTAGACCTTAGTTAGATTGGAGAGAGCACAAAACGAAACATTAGTTGATGAGAGTTGAATATCAAAAGAGCGCTTACTTTGATTGTAACATGTCTGAGGAGGGGAAATAACTCATCTGCTCCTGTCAGAATAGAGTCCTGCGACATTGATGCATCAAGCATCAGATCTTTAATGAGTGTACAACACAACTTGTTATGACAACGCAGGTTATTGCGAGGGCTTGAAGGAATTGATCTTTAGTAGTTTATTCTCTGCAAGCTACACGAAAAGAGATGTTAGACAACCATATGTAAAAGGAGAACCAGATAAATCTAACAATTGAATCAATTGCTTTTACTTTGTGTTCAACATCAACAAAACTTGAAATAATGCACAGCATATCAACGAATGTCATGAAACACCAAAGGTATATCCAAATGCTCAGGCGTCAAGCAGGTTTTAAGCAGTTGCATCTTGTCGACATTCTGTTGGGCGTCTCCACATTCTGTAGACGGTGGGAAAGACCTGATAATAGTTATTTCTTGACATACTTCTTCAAACCCTCCAATGAGCAGAAACTAGATGTTACCGACATCATCATAGAAAAGTTGCTGATGATGAACAAAAAAGAGATAATATTAATGTGATGGACTGATCAACAACAAAGGGTAACCAAACTAACCTCTTAAGGCGCAATCAATATTTTCATCTGTACCGTTTCCATGGTGACAGCCAAAACTTATTGCCGCTAGTATCATGATCCATCGCTTGGAACAAAAACGATGCTAAGAATCTGCGATTCATCGATTCAATTGGTTTTATCAGCACAATTACCCTAAAAACACAAAGCTATACAAATAACTTGTAAACATCGCCGGAACGAAACAAAACATATAAATCCAAATCATACAAAAACCTTCGCTTTGAAGAATTTACAAATACTGAATGTCAAATTCGACTAAGTGGTCGGTTTCATACCTCAAGATGAATCGAACGAGATCGATCGGAGCAGCATAACTTCATTCTCCCGAGAAAATAATCGAACTCAACAAATTGATTTCGGCGCGAATCCACGAGGATTGAAACCCTAACCCTTAAATATCATAATTCTCTCGACGGCGAGATTGAAATGATGAAAAACTTTTAACAATTCAAAGGATTCAATAGAATCTTCCTTGGGAGCTCTAGTCCTTTTCTCCAAAGATTTTGGAACTAGAAGCAGCCATGGGAAGACTATAAAGAAGAAGAAGAGAAGAATCGTGAAGAAGATGAAGATGAAGAAGAAGCAATAAGCATCGCTGCAACAAGAAGAAGACATTTGTTTCAGGGAAAAGAAAAGAGTTAAACCAAAGTTAAATGCACCGTTAATTGTTAGGTTTTCAGTTTTACTAGTACGAAAGACTTAATGGGCCGAACTTAAGGCCTAATAAAACAAGATCTGATTACTTGAAAAAACATTAATACTTAAGGCCCAATAAAACTTACGATCTGATTATTACTTGAAAAAACATTAAATCGTCTGAAATTTTTCTGAAAGAGGGTTTAGGGTTCAAACAAAAATGGAGGAGAATCGTCGGAATTCGTCTGCCGGTATGGAAGTTCCAGTTGCCGGCGGCGGTAATGTCGTCAAATGGATCGAAATATCTGTGCCTTCTCCTTCTCCTTCTCCTTCTTCTACTACAAACGTTACTAATTCAAGTGAAGAAGATGAGTGTGTTCAGCTTCCTTTGTATGAAGACTACGCTTCTAGCAGTGTGATTGGGGAACCTCCGATATCATTCGTTTGGAGAATCAACAAGTCGAGTCCTAACGCTCTCGAGCTTCTTCAGCTCTCTGCTAAATCGGGGTTTCCTATTACTGGGTTGCGTTTCGTCTTTGCTCAGGCTCTCGCTCCTTTTGCTTTTGTGTACGCCGACGAGGTAGATTAGATTATCTGTTTTCTGCATTTTGATACTCTTAGTTTGTTGCCTTTTTGTTGTTCTGTGTGTTGAACTTGAACACTATGGAACTGAATTTGGCAGGGTAGTGATAGTGGTCGTCTTGTCCTCTTTCTCTATGTTCTCACACCGTCCGGTGTAGTTTACATCCTTAAAGTCTCGAATACGTCAGCCTATAAGTCAGGCTCAGTCTTCCCGCTTGATCATCTGATTCACTTGGATGTTCGACCTTACTTGAACGCAACTGGTGTTACCAGTGTTACTGCATCGCCTGGTTTCCTTTTCCTCGGAAGGTCTGATGGTTGTGTCTCTTGCTTCCAACCTGTCAAGTATTATCAGAAAGCATCAGGTAAGATTACTCTGCACTAGCTTAGTACTATCTCAATTTTTGATGTTTTTTCCGTTCTCTTATTCGCTTCCTTGTATCTTATCAGGTTTTCACCATGAGCTGCGTGATGATACTGGATTTAGTCGTCTATGGGGTTTCGTAAGGCATGCATTTGTAGTTCAGTTGTTTGAAAAAGAAATGTTATCATTATACTGCTTTACTTTATACATTTAGAAGAGAGAAGCAATGCTAATATACTGCTATCTTTCGCTATGTGCTGTATTTTATTTCCCTCTTGTGATATTCGTCTCAATAAGCTCTTATGACGTGCTATGCAGGGGGACAATGGTTGCAGCCGTGCAAGATTTATATATATTAGAAGTTCATGGAAGAATTTTTTTATGTGTGCTCCATGCTGATGGGGCATTACGTGTCTGGGATATTTTAACTTATAGCAGGGTTTTATGTCAGAGTATAGCTGCGAAGAACCCTGAGGGTAATATCTGCTAGTTCTACTAGTGACCATTAGTTGATGTTATTTTATTATTTTTTGCCTTTGTTTTGACTTTTTTTTCATGCGTTTTGCATTAGGGGTTATGTGTCTGAGGTTATGGTTGGGAAAAGCTGATTACGATTCTGGCATGATTCCATTAGCTGTCTTGTATAGGAATAGTATGGTAAGTGTTTACGACCAGTATTTTAAATTCCTTACAACTGACCGGTTGACTTGAGTGGGACATATATAGTTATATTCCATTGCATTCTATTCAAATAACCTTTTGCCAATATTTGAAGGATGACAGCATGGACGAGATCACTGTATATGGCCTACACTTTAGTTCTGGGGATGGAATAGCTTTGTCTCTAGATTCTGAATTGCAGAATATTCTAGTGGAAGAGGTACATCTTTTGGGATCATAATTGTGACACATACTATTATGTATTTATTTTGCTCATTACTATGTTGGATTTTCAACTCCCTTACTTTTTCTTGGCTCGCAATTTTGTTGAATTTGCATATCCTTACTTTTAGGGGGAATTGCGGGATATCAGATTTACATACGACAAGATCTGGATTCTGAAAGCCGATGAATTGACCTCTCACATGTTGGACCTGAATGCTAACACCATGTAAGTTCAAGAAGAGTTCTTACTACTGAATTGGTTGAGATATTTTGTACTCCATGTAAAGCGTTATTATACATGATATATTAGAGGTTCTGCTTGTATGTGCGCGACTGGTTTCTCTGGTCATCTGTAGCTTTGATTCTTTAGTATCATTATTCCTTGTGATGGAATCTTTTTGAAATATGCAAAATACTAGGTGACCTTCCCAGATATTGCATTCCAAAGATGGGTTTGTAAAACTTTTAGTAGGTTAAGTTATATAGATTGTTGGTTTCTAAACTGCTGAGGCAATGTGCTGCTCTAGTGTATCTTTATCATAGTTGTTGTGTTATTGACTGCTACAGACGTTTTACTGTTCACTGCTTTCTTGAAGGTTGATAGTGCTCTATTTTTGTATTGTTTTCCTTGACCTAGGGAAGCACAGTCTTACACTTTGCAGGAAGACTACATTTCTGAACAGCTATTTCTGAGTTCTAAGAGCTCTTCACATGACCTTCTTTTGACGACTCATTCACTCTTTTCATCTGCAAAGGTCTTTTGTGCTAAAACATAGCTTTTATTTTGTTGAACAGAACTTCCTATACAATAATCTATTTGTTTGAGTCCATTTTAACCTACGTTGCATTCTGCAGGATCAAATTATGGGATTCATTTCATCGATCTACTTACGCAGGCTTTTTTGTCCCGGAATTTTTCACAATGTTGCCTTGCGTCTAACTTTACGGGACTACAACAAACAGTGGACTGATTCTGAGTTTCAATCTTTAAGTCTTGATGAGCTAACAAGCGAGATTCTTTTACTGGTTGAGCATGAGGTTTGGTTTTTGTTAAGTTGTTAAGTTCTACAGTAGCTTGTAGATTCAGTGTATACAATGTATTCTACTGATAGTTGCATGAACTCTGGGTCATAAAAGCTGAAATATGCCTTTATTATGTCAGGTTACAGCAGAAACTTCAATTTCAGTTTTTCATTGGTGGAAAAACTTTTGTACATGCTACCTCAATCATTGGTGCAAGAATAACGAACCTCGCACGCTACTGGCTCAGTCAGATGTTATTGGTTTAGTTAGAAACAATTCTGTATCATTATTTTTCAGATTGGAAAACTCGGAGCACAACCTTGGAGGTATGTATATGATTCTTGTATCTAGAACCAAAATTTCCTTGTTTATTTCCAATCGCTTAAGACTTAAAACTGTGTTGCCTTTTGCTAGGTTCTTCCTCTGAACACAGCAACCTGACAAGCTTTGGCTTTGGTGTGTCTCACAATGAACATGAAATTTTGGCAGAGGTGCTAAGATGTACTTCGAAGATCAGTAAACAGTGGGGTGGTGCTCCTTATGCCATGTATTATGAAGCAATTACTGGAAAACCAGTTATCTCTTCTGATGAAATTGTGCCTCGCTTAGTTAATATCCTTGAGTCGGGATATTCTACATCCATAAGTCAGCGTACTTGGTCAGATCTTGGTGCTGATAGAGCATGGGAAAAAGAGCTAGAAGCTCATAAAAATCTTAGAACATTCTCCATCGACATGCTATTGTCTCTCTCTGCTCTATGTCAAAGCGCTGGATCTTGGGAAAAAGTTTTTTCTATTATGGAGCACTATTTTCAGTATTTGGTCCCTAAGAAATCTATGGAAAACAATGATGGTGAGGCATTATCTGATATCTGTAGTTCTATTCTCGTCCAAGCCACTTCTCAGTTTGTAAAGGTGATGTTTGAGTCTGCCTTTGACATCTTCCTACTCGTCAGCTATCTGCTTAACATTGCTGGGCAGGTCAGTTCCCACTGGGTCTCATATTATTGTGAAGATGTATTCCTTAATTGGAATTAGTGTAGTTTATAATTTGAGAGTTATGTCACATATTGTATATTTATGATTATGTGGATATTCTAAACTCAGTCATTAATTCTTCTTTTCGTTAAATATGTCTCTCTGCAGGTTAATATGTCACAGCGAGACATATGCAAGCTACGGCTTGAGTTGCTTCCAATGATCCAAGATATTGTCTCAGAGTGGCTCATCATCCTTTTTTTTTTTACCACACCAGCTGAGTCAACTTCTATGGATGATTTCAGCTTGAAGCTTTCATCTCTTCAGATTGGTAGGATGTGTTCCTTGGAAAATATTCCCCAACACTCGTACCTCATTGCCACTATTTCTGACTGGAAAGAATCTTTTCTGCATCGCAGATAGCAGCATCGACAAAAGATCGTGGAACGCAATGCTTGGGAAATGTGGGTTCTCATTGGCGTTTATTCTTCTTTTTAGTGATCGAAGTTGCATTGTGGACGACCGCTTTAACTTAGGATATCTTCCAAGTTCACAAATCATTACAAGTTTGGTGCAAAATTTTATCAGCTGGATTCGCTATAGTAAAACAGGAGAGGAATCTTCTTCACTGTTAAGACGCTCCACTGAGCTTACTCTAAGGTTGATTAGGAATGGACAATATGATGCTGTCGAGGTAAATTTTATCTCAGACCTAGGCTAACTGCCAATTGAACTTAATTGCTGATTTCTCCGTTTTGATTCTTTTTCTTCCGTATATTCTTAATTACCTTCTCAAGCGAATCCTTGTGGTTGTGGAGGCAAGTTTACGTGGGGAGAAAACATTTGGTTGTTCTCAAGATACTAGTGGAGATTGGTGTCTTCTTCAACATCTCCGTGGTTGTTGCCTTCTTGACCAAGTCCAACGTGGAGCATGCGGGGTATTAAGAGAGAGGAAGATATTTGATGCCATCCGCTGCTTCTTCAGGTGCTTATTATGTAGAGTTATCCACCTGATAATTTTGAAGTCTTGTCTCCATATGTAATATATAAATAATATATTGTGGCAAGGCATAACATGTGGGGTTTTCTCTCAACACATAGAAGACAAGCTTGCTATGTTTTTGCCTTTGTTGTTCAATGTCTATGGTTCCTATATTACCACTTCAAGATCATTTGTCTTCGTTTTTCCTAATGTACACCTCATGTATCTACCCTTTCATGGTTCCCAATGTAGAGCTTCATCAGGTGAAGGATCTTGGAAGGCTTTGCACAGCTTGTCTAAAGAAGCGGGATTTTCGCCTGCAACAACGGGTGAGCTCCTCAAAGAAATTTTTTCTTTCTCTAGCTATTTGCCAGTTTGCATATTATTTCAAAAACCTGGCTTGATGTCTTGCAGATTCATTTTCTCTTTGTACCCTCTTTTTGATTGAAGCAGGTCCAAGTATTTCAGATGGTGCTATGTCTAGTGCGACGTGGAAACTTCATTACTATGAGTGGGCTATGCAAATTTTTGAACGGTACAACATAAGTGAAGGAGCTTGTCAGTTTGCCTACGCAGCCCTTGAGCAAGTAGATGATGCCTATAATTTTATAGAGAGGACTGAGGAATTCGATATAACTAAAGCAGCCACCTATACTAGAGGACGGCTGTGGGCAAATATTTTCAAGTTCACCTTAGATCTGAATCTATTGAATGATGCGTACTGTGCTATAATTTCAAACCCTGATGAGGAGATTAAGCGTATCTGTTTGAGGCGCTTCATAATAGTTCTATTTGAATGTGGCAAAACAAAGGTAGAGGTCAAGAATGCTTTTCTTCTCTTATCTTAGTTTTTACTTCTATGCTTTTGGCGATTGGGGACCAATACCCCAAACCTTTTACACTATATTGTCTGGTACCACGAGAACATAGATCATTATCACCATAAGTATCATAAACCCTATAATGTGTGTGCAATTTCTCTTTGTTATTAGGTGTGTGTTTGTCTGGAACTAAAGATGATTATGCTATTGGGTGCTGTCTATATGCTCAGGATAAAGATGCTTGCACTACCATGACTTTAAATGCAAATCATGAATATTTCTCTTTTGATTTCAGATCCTCAGTGATGGACATCTACCTTTCATCGGCTTAACAGAGAAGATCACCCAAGAGCTTTTTTGGAAGGTATTTTGTGGATAGCAGAGTAGATTTGTTTCTGCCCTTGGTATATTTCTATTATTGTTTCTTTCATTCTCTACTATCTGTAGGCTGGACGTTCTGAAATAATGATGAAGCCAAATCCATACAAGCTGCTTTATGCTTATGAGATGAGACGACACAATTGGCGAATGGCGGCAAGTTATATGTATCAATTTTCTGCTCGTTTGAGAAGCGAGGCAGCATGCAAGGATTACAAACACTTGTCCCTCGTTTTGCAAGAGAGGCTTAATGGACTTTCTGCTGCTATTAATGCATTAGCTCTTGTTCATCCTGGGTATGCATGGATTGATCCATTACCAGAAGAATCCACAGGCTATCCCGTTAAAAAGACTAGAACAGCAGAAGGAGAACAATGTTAGTCTTCACGATCACATATTCTACTTGTCTTTCTTACTGATGTATAATTTTTACGTTATTGATTTAACCACAGTCTATACCCTGAAGCATCATTCTGTTTTAATGTTGAACTATCACATGAATAGCTTCATTTTTAATTGAATCACCTTTTCTGCAGTAAGGAGTAATGACCAGGCCAAAGTGGATCAGAGTTATATTGATATCGAGAAACTCCAAAACGAGTTTGTTTTTACTACTGCTGAATATATGCTTTCTCTGAAAAATTTTGGGTGGACATATTCAGGTAAATTGTCTCCTATTTCCTCCATTGTCTGTTTTGAAAATACTGTATAGGGAAGGCGGCAGTTGGAACTATGATAACTGGTGCTTTAGAAATTAGAACTAGTTAAGAGGCTTCTACGACTGTAGTTGACAGAAAGTTGCAGTATGTTCATCCCTAATGTGATTGAGGAAATTAAAGAGCTTGATCTATTGTCACTGTTGAAAGGATTAAATATTGAAAGTCTTCTTTTCTTTATGAATTAGCTTTTTTGCATCATTAATCTAGCTACTGCATGGACCTGTCTTCCATGGCAGACTGCTAGGTGGCATGACTGTGTTGTATACAATTTACCTAAGGAATAATTTAATTTCAGAACGGTTTCAGATACCTTGCTGATTGTTTCCTAGTCATCTCATACAATTATTTTATAAATATGCATTGGTTTTTTCACTTCAGGACTCGAGAAGCCACCATCGGATTTGGTTGACCTTCTCGTCCAGGCAAACTTGTATGACATGGCATTCACTGTTGTTTTAAAATTTTGGAGTGGCTCAGCTTTGAAAAGGTAAATTTCTTGCTTGGTATTTTCTGAAATCACATTTCTTGAGAATTACGTAGGTTTAAGAATGACTGCTTTCCCTCAGGGAGCTGGAAAAGATATTTGAGAATATGGCAATTAAATGTTGCCCTGCTAAAGGAACACTGTGGACATCGTGAGTGATTGTTCCTTAGTTGCTTGGTATTTCATTAATTACTTGTTGACTTATCTGACTTCTCAAAAATAGCATTAATATATATATTTATTTTACAGAAATGAACTCAGGCCAAATCTTATGTTAACTTCTAACGCTGAAGAAGTTACTCATTCACCTGATAGAAGCCCTGCTGTTCAGGGCTCTAAGTTGGCTGGGGACTGGGAAATTCTTGAGGTTTATCTGGTCAGTAACTTCTGAAACCTTGATTGGAAATCTAGTTTTATTTCAGTTGGTATCTAGTAATTTACTACTCTGGATTTTGGGAGCATTGAGAAGTATTAGAATGTCGTCGTGAGCAGTATTAACCCAAAAATAGGTCCTTAGTTGCTCTGAATTTAAATGGTTGTGAATTAAGATGCACCAAGAATGCATTCTGAATTATAGGCATCTCTTTTTAATGATAGTATTTTGGTCACTGAAACCAGAGCAGCGTCCCCTCATTTTTCGCAATTCTTTGTCAATAAGACCAGCATGCATTGTAGCTATCCTTTACTAGGGGTGTAATTAGTGTTTAGGGAGTTTGGAAATCTTCTTTAATTCGGAGTATAATTGTATCCTTCGCTGAAAAATGTGCTTTGGTGCTTGAGGGCTTGACCCAGGTTTTATTCATTATTTTTCTCCTTGAAATAATTTGTGTATTGGATATGTATAAATGCAGAAGAGGTACATAGACATACACGGTAGACTACCGGTTTCTGTTGCGTCAACCCTTCTTCAAGCAGATTCTTGTATCGAACTGCCTCTCTGGCTGGTTCAAATGTTCAAGGTAATATTTTGGATATATGTTAGGATAGTCTTAGTGGATCACTTTTAGTATACAATATATAGAGTTCAATTCATTTAGGTAGCTCTGAATTCCTGTATGAAACTTTGAATTTGGTTGTGCTACATCCTTGATGAAATAATTAATATGCGTGAACATTGTTGCATTTGAGAGCTTTTTGATTCATATCTCAGATGCAGATTCTAGAGTAGATTTATGCATTGCTGTATATCGTGGTAGATCATGACAGTGTCAGAGATGCTTGGTACAGCATGTCTGCTTAATGTTGAAGAGATGGTATTTAATATCTCAATGGAATCGTTGTTGTTCCTTTCCATTTACACCATGGAAGAAGCAATTTTGTAAGGTTGTACTCCTCTGGTTTCAAATAAGTCTTTTTGTGCCTTTGACAGGACGGTCAGAAGGAAAAATGTTTGGGAATGGCTGGGAAAGAAGCAAGTCCTGCTTCCTTGTTTCAGTTATATGTTGATTATGGGCGTCTTACAGAGGCCACTAATTTGCTACTGGAGTACATGGAATCATTTGCATCATCGGTAAGTTATGATCTATCTGTAGAGACTGATTGTTGGATTATATGCCTCTCGCCACAGGAAACGTTTTCTCCATATTAGGATTTGTAGGCTCCGCTAGGGTTTTACAGCTTCTCATAGTCGAATTGAATATAATATAACAAAACTTAGAGAACGTTTAAGTTGCAAGATTCACACAAAACAGTAAAGCAAATAGGTTGGAGATCATAGCCTTAAGAAACATTGGACTAAGCATGAGTTTGCAATTGCATTGACATGTTCTTGTTAATAGACTGACAAACATGATTCATTTGTAAGGACTGAATAACCTTGGCTACTCTCTTGTTAAAAACAGAAACCAGCAGAGGTATTGAAGAGGAAAAAAGTATCAGGGGTTTGGTTTCCTTATACAACAGTGGAAAGACTATGGTGGGAGCTAGAGAAAACGATAAACTCAGGACGGATGTCGAAACAATGCCAGAAGCTGAAGGCACAACTCCATCAGGCGTTACTCAATCACTTAAAGCTGGTACATTAGCAATGATGATAATCAGTAGAAATGCAAATTTTGTTTGATCAGACTAATAAGCGATGTTCGTCTTTGGTGGTGTTGATTTGTTTCAGTTGAAGGTGGATTCAGATGATGCTGTCTCCTCTGCAACAGGTTGAAGAAAGTCGTGAACTAAAAAAGGAGCTACATGATTTGATCCGTGTGTGAATAATTGTATCAGGGTTTTTGCTTTTGTTAGTTAGTCAAAACAAGTCTCTTATGAGTGGTTTGGTTTGTTGCTAGAGTATATTGCTGGTCTATAGTTTTCATGGCAAACCAAACAAAAAGAGCACTTGTTGAGAAAACTCGAACAGAAAAAATGAAATCAAAGTTCTCTCTTCTTTACATTTGTAGTTCGCTATTGATAAAAAATTGAAAAAAACCCAATGCGACCGGTTTTGATTGGGTTATTTCTTGAATTCTAAAGATCATTGGGTTAAACCAAATCAAACCGAACCAAGCCAAACATTACTCGTAGAATGGTTTTGTGGCAAATAAAACTAAATTCAAACGGCGAGCTGAGACACTTTGTGAGTGTGGTAACTGAGAGCAACAATGGAGAAATTAAAATCGCTGATTCCTGAAGATCTTCTCCAAACAGTGAAATCGAGCAGCGTCGATGATCTTCCCTCCTCTTCTTCTTCTCTCCTCCGTTTGTTTCTGGGTCTTCCCCAATTTCACCAAGTACGTACAATTACCCAAAACCTACTCTTCTCTGTATTCATCTCTTCAATTGAAGTTCTCACAGGCACATCTCTCGTTTTTTCTCTCCTTGGTTTGCCATTTCAGGCGGTGAGTGAGTTAACTGATCCTGATTTGGGCTGTTGTGGGAAGAACGAAGAGACATCTCTGGACTTGAAACGTCGAGGAAATCTCTCCTTTCGCAGCCGTGATTTTCACGATGCTTTGCGTTTCTACTCTAAAGCTTTACGTGTTGCTCCTCCAGACGCCATTGATGGAGACAAGAGCTTACTTGCTTCTCTGTTTCTGAATAGAGCTAATGTCCTCCATGTATTTAAACCCTTTCTACATCTCTCTTTTAATCCTTCTACCCAGTTCCACCATTGAATATCTAAAGCTTTTTCTCTTTGTAGCAATTCATATGTGTTCTGTATCTTGTCTTAGAATCTGGGACTTTACAAAGAGAGTTTACGGGACTGCCATCGCGCTCTCCGCATTGATCCTTGTTATGCAAAGGTCTTATATACTTACAGTTCATTTGGATCTTTATGAGATTTCAGCTCTCAGTTCTGTCATTGTCACTTCCAAGTTTTATTCTTCTTTGTGTTTGTCAGGCTTGGTATAGGAGAGGCAAACTTAATACTCTTCTTGGAAACTATAAAGATGCGTTCCATGACATTACAGTTTCTATGTCGCTTGAATCATCATTGGCGGGGAAGAAGCAGTTACAAAACGAACTTAAGGCTATTCCGGAGTACCAGAATACGCAAACATCTGAACATGATGATTGTCATCCAAGCAATTATGCTGGCGGGGGTGAGTTTTTTTACCCAAGATTAGAGACTTTCATGATATGGCTATGGATTATTCTGTACTGAGTTTTAAAGAGGATTTCTGAATTTTGACCTGTCTTAGTTATTGGTCTATAGATCATCTGCCGAGTGTGCAAACAAAAGTAAAGCTGCGTTGTGTATCGACAAAAGACAAAGGAAGGGGTATGGTATCAGACTGTGATATTGAACAAGAGTCTGTGATACATATTGAAGAACCTTTTAGTGTGGTAGGGGCTGTGATTTAATGGGGTTTTAAGAAGCGAAGGAAAATCTACTCAATTCTAGATGTTTTTTGGCCTTCAATAGGTTTTCTGAAACAACTGAAGATATTCAATGTTTCATGCTTTAACATACAGATTTTCTTTTGTTACTGAACATGTTTCAATGGTGATACAACGTATAGGTCATATCAAAAAGTTGTCGGGAAACACATTGCCACTTTTGCCTGAATGAGTTGCCTGCTGATGCTGTTCCATGTCCATCATGCTCAAGATCTGTGTACTGCTCCGAGTCCTGCCAAATTCAATCAGGTGAAATGATGCTCACAAGTGAGAGGGACAAGCACCACATTTTTCATAATCTACCTGATGATATTGTTGAGCATATTAAAGGCATTACACCAGCTGATGTATATTATTCTGAAAATGAGTGCATTCAAGAACACCAGCATGAGTGTCGGGGAGCCAATTGGCCTGCTGTACTGCCATCTGATGCTGTTTTAGCTGGTCGAGTTATAATGAAGTTGATAAATCAAGGGAAAGCAGTGATGGATCTTTCTAACCTTCAGGAGATATTAGTATGTCCTTGTACTGTAAAATGTTTTCCATCATTTGCAATAGTCCAGCAGATCTTATAATGGAGCGACTACCCAATGTATTCTACAGGAACTTTCCCATAGCTACTCTATGATGAATCCAGAGAGCAAGTTGGAGATGCATCTACTATCCATAGTATTGATTTGGTGCCTTAGTAAATCTAGCTGCCCTGATCTTTCGGTCTGTGAAGCTGCTGTCACACAGGTATGTCCTCTACATCACCTTCACTGTCCCAATCAATCCCTCATTGAACTCAACTTTGTTCTCTAGAAATTACGCAGGCTCTGACATATTTACATCCGTAAAGGCTGGTGACTTTGGCTTACAAGTTATATCTACATTCATAGATGATCAAGGATGTTTGCTCTTGTTGTCTGCTGTCACTGGAATTTAGTTTACCACCCATGGTTGAGATGAAATTTTTAAAAGTGGTTTTTAATATCTATCCTCATTGCCAAAAACATTTCCCCTGTCAACCATATGCATATGGTCTCTGTATAAGTTCCTGATATTATGAATTTATGGAGAAGTATAGCTGTTTACATGATGCTTGTGTAACGTTATGTTTGGCCTTGTTCTTCTTTTTTTTTTTCAAATTAACATATGAGGTATTGACAGCTGTCTGGATTTTTCTTCTCTGTGTAGACAATCATACTGCTGGCACAAATCAAGGTGAACTCTATAGCAGTTGTCCGCATGAAATCCAGTGGCGATTTTTTGAAGTGCATCCCATCTGGAAACGTCTCAGCAAAAGAACAGATTCAGAGTTTAGAGCAGGTTTGTCTTGGCAGAGTTAGTGCTTGTTAGAATGCTATTGTATGCCCTTTCTCACTGAAAGAACTCATTTAGAACTAGGTATAACCACTTACAAAGATGCAATCTATCTGTAACCTGGTATTCTATGTTTCCCTTATATTTTAAACTGCTTTTCTATGAAATTGTGTGAGCGTCCACCATTGGAGGTTATGCATGTATTGCTCCGTTCTGCAAATCTCATTTCCTTTTGTCAAGTATTGTTGTTTTATCCACAGATCAGAGTTGGTCAGGCTCTCTATAAAACTGGTAGTTTGTTCAATCATTCCTGCAAGCCAAACATCCATTTGTATTTCCTTTCACGTGGACTTGTTGTGCGAACAACAGAGTTTGTTCCCTTGGGTTCTCCCCTTGAGCTGTCATATGGTCCTGAGGTATTTTTTTGTGATCCTCTTGTCTCTGTTTGTTACCTTTGTTCTGTTTCAAATATCTTCTGAGTGCTTTTGAAGTCCATACCTTTTTTATGTCACTATTCATTAAAATTCACAGGTTGGGAAATGGGATTGCAAAAATCGCATTAGATTTCTTGAAGAGGAGTACTTTTTCCATTGCCGGTGCCGTTGCTGTTCTCAAATTAACATATCAGACCTAGTTATCAATGGGTATTGCTGTGTCAATACAAACTGTACTGGTGTAGTTTTGGATAGTAATGTGGCCACATGCGAGTCCAGTAAGCTAAATAATTTTTTGACTGCTCCAAAAAGTCTGGATCATCACATTAAGGTAATCTGATATATTTGAAGTCAAATAATCAGGGTTTAGCTTTCGTGCAGTTCATTAAGAAAATTAATGAAGGTGTTCATTAGTCATTCTTAAAATGCTAAGTTAGACAGTTCTACTTACTTACTAAAAGCAGAATTTATTTTCTGCTGCTCAATTCCATTTGGAGTAGAGTGATGAAATGGTTCCTTGGTCTTATATCCATTTTTAACTTTAAGCTGTTACCTATTTAAGGATTTAGGGAGTGGTTCTTAACGACAATTACTACCGATAGAGTGTAGTTTATGTTTTAATTTATTGCTTTCACAGGTGTGGGAGAAGGTGCATACTGATGTTGGGGAAGTGGCTTCAAGTTTGCTCAGTAAACACAGAGATTCCCTTCATATAGAACCTGATATATGTTTGAAATGTGGTTCCCGCTGTGATGTAAAAAATTCTCATGCAGCAGTGAATAAAGCTTGGAATCACTTAAGAAGGTGCCTGATTTTTTTCTTGAAGCTTCATGTTAATAATTGATGTGAACTTTCTCTTTAACATTTGGATCTCTGAGTGTATCAGGGTAGACGAGTTGATAAATTCAGGGCAGGCCAATGTTTCTGTAATATCAGATTGCTTAAGGTCCATCGCCGTGCTCAGAACTTTCCTCCACATGTATAACAAAGACATCGCTGATGTGAGTCAAGTTCCTCTTTTTTTAGTATAGGTTTTTAAGCCTTGTTACTCTATACCCGTATATCGTGATCCAACCTTGTCCTACTCCAACCTTACCTTCAGAGAAAACAACAATGACTTACGTTTCATGTATTTGTATGTTCAGGCGGAGGATAAGGTTGCTCAGGTCTGCTATCTAGCTGAAGAACTGCTGGATGCAAGAAAGCATTGTGAAGCGTCCATAAAGGTAAAAAAAAAAACCCAACTTAATATACTAATACAGCTTCTGTTTAGACCACAAAGTGCTTCAATGACTGACAATGATGAGAAGGACAGTTGTATAAAATATGAAAACTGCTCGAGCAAGCCAAAAAAAATCCCTCAAACCACCGTTAAATCTCATTATCCCAACGGGTATGGATGAGATGCGAGACAAATTTTATGTTTGGTGTCAGATTCTGAAGAGGCTGTATGAAGATGAACATGTGGTGATTGGAAATGAAATGGTGAAGCTTGCGTCCATTCAGCTCGCATCAGGTGATTCCAGTGGAGCATGGAACACAACAAAGAAATTTTCTAAGATATTCTCTAAGTATTACGGGTCACATGCTGAGACTCTCTTCTCTTATCTCCCTTGTCTTAAGCAAGAAGCTGCCAAAGCTCTGAATTTGTCATCTTAACCCAAAAAGTTTGTGATGTGTGTAATATGTAATGTAAATACGAAAATTTGTGGACGGTTTAATTTGTGGCCGGTTTAGTTGATCCGAAACGATGTCGTTTATTTCACTTAGGGTTTTAACAAGTTTTTTTGGAATCTCAAGGTTTTTACTTTTTGCGAAACGACGACGATTTAAGCTAAATTTTAATTTTCCGGACAAAAAGTCGCAAAAACGACGAATTCACGAATTTCTTGTTTCTCCGAGCCACAGACACGACAAGCTTCGAAGAGGATCAGCTCGCGTCCGTGTCTACCTGACCATTACTAGAGCTACTCGTCTCCTCGAAAGCTAGATTGGCAAGGTCTGCTCAGTTTGTGTCTCTCGATCTCCTTTGGATGGTTTCTTAGGATATAAGTTGGGGGTTTAGCTATTGCTCTAAATTTGAGTAAGGGCAGGCTTGTTTCGTCGTAGTTACGGATTTGGGGTTTCACTTTAGTTCTGTGGAATCAGGAGATGTACTTAGACCTTTAATTTGATGTCTCTTGTTGTGATTTCGGCCAGAATTACATAGTTTTGAGTGACTCGTTGCCTTGCTTTGATGTGAAAGTGAAACTCCATTCGAATATGAATTTGGAAGCTATTTGGTAAAGTCATCTGGTTTGACAATGAGCTTTTGTTATATTCAGTTTGGTTTTTTGACCATCGAAGCTAATGGTAGATAGGTTTGGTTTAAATCATTTGATAAGCGTACATGTAAGGGTAGGATTAAAATGAAAAGGGTCTTTGGTTATTTAGTAAAGTGAGAACCTTTTGGCTAGACTCTAAATTACACACAAGTAGGAAAACGAAAAATGAGCTTCAGCTTTGAGTTCTTTTCACATGCTTTTCTATGACAACAAGTTCTTTTGTTGATTTTTCAATGGTTTGGGTTGGTTTTGTATTTTTGCAATGGTTTGTGTTGGTTTTGTGACACTGATCCGTGAGTTTTTGATGCTTTGTTCTTACAATCTTGCTCTTAGACCATCATCATCTACATCTTAGACCTCAGTTTTATATGCCTTCGTAGCAGCTTTAATTGATACTGTAGTTGTGGTTGTTGTTGCAGAGTTTATGCCTTTGAAATGACTTTACTAATTGTTCTTGTTTATGACTGCGGCTCTACTTTGATTTCCTTGGCTTTGTACTATGGTGATCTCTGGTTTTAACACGTGTGTGTACTATTTATCCACACTTCGTTAGTTGAAGGTTTCTGCATTTTTAGTTGAAGGTTTTTCAAGCGTGAGAGAAGATGGTGGATAGTGTTTTTCTTTTCTTCTACTGCTTTTTATCAAGAAAAATGTTTCATAAAGATCTTGCCCTGACTCCATTCCATTAGTTTTATTTCCTTGCATAATCATATTGACATGCCTTATTGATATTTCTCTTTATTTTATTGATATTTTTCTTTGTTATAAGCAGAACGTCTAGGTTTCTTTTGCATGATCTGTCTAACTCTTAAGCTTTAGCTACTGTTGCTCATCATGTGTCCTGATTCATGAGTGATGTTGGTTTTTAAAATATGGGTCAATGACGAGTCTGAGTTTTTGTTCTCGTAGAAACAAAGTGATTGCTGTTAATCAGAACCCCTTTTAAAAGGTTTCTCTCTCTCTCTTGTCTGTGTTAGGTTGGCTGAAGATCCCTGAGTAGACAAACGAATTTAGCTTTCGGGGTCGATTTTGATTCGACGACTATGGCAGGTGGGACGGGAGACGATTGCAATTTATATGTAATGCCACCAAGGAAGAAGAATAAAGAATCAAATAAGGTAACAATCTCTAGTCAAAACCCTTCCCGCAATAAGATTTTGGGGATTCTAATGCTGATGAGAATTGGAAATTGCTTTCATGGTTGGCAGATGCATGATAAGCTGAATTCAAATAAGAACATGGGATCGAGAAAATCTCAGAAACGAAAACTGAATTCTTCAGATAAGAACATGGTGCTGAGCAATTCTCAGAGACGGAAACTGGAGAAATTGGAGGAAGAGAAGGAGAAAAAAATCTTCTTTTCGAAATCTGCCGAGTTCTTAGAGTATGGGAACGCTTCAATTCAAAATTTTATTGATTTATTCTGTTTCCTTTATTTGAGTTTGGTATTGTATTTTTACAGCAAGTACAAAATATCTGAGGATGTATCATCACTATTACAATCGTCAACACGTATAGGAAGAGTAAGAAAATTTCTAACTTTTTCTCTTTTTTCTTACAGATATTTACTATGATGTTCTGATTCTCTGTTTGTGGTTTATCTTTAATTCAGTCAGCGACAAAGCTGGAGAAACGTAGGAGAGCAATGCAACTTTCTAAAGCTGGTGTTGTGACTGAGCATTCTGATGAATCAGTTGAGCAAAAAGATGATGATGATGATGAATCTTGTATGGACGAACCTACAACACCAGAACATGCTGAAATTGAAACTCCAACTTTTGTAACTGATTCTGAGCAACTGGTTGATGATGCTCATAAACTCAGTTCTGATTTGATGATTTCTGCTGAAGAAACTAATAACAAGCTCTTGGTAGAGGACACTGTGGATATGATCTTACAGACAACTTGTCGTGATGATGGAGAAGGCTCACAAAGAATGGTTTGTTAAGTCCGGAAGTTTGATGTTTCTCTTTTTCCTTGTGTTGATAGATAATTCTCTGTTCAGCTATGTTGCTACCGTATACTTGTGGTTTAATTGGCTGTAATGGGTTTGATATGAAATAGGATGAGGTAGTTGAGAATGAAGATGTAGCTGTACAAGGACCTCGTGTGCCCGCGTTTGTAGTTCATGTTTCAAGACCAGCTGAAGTTGAAGAGACAAGGAAGGATCTTCCAATAGTAATGATGGAGCAGGAGATAATGGAAGCTATTAATCATCACCCTGCGGTTATTATTTCAGGACAAACCGGGTGTGGTAAAACCACTCAAGTTCCGCAGGTCAGTTTGCTTCCGATAGCTGAGTTATGGTGTCAGATAGACAGGTTAATGTCTAATCTAATTTCTATTTCTGGATCTTTTAGTTCCTTTATGAAGCTGGTTTTGGTTCAAAGCAATTCAGTTCACGAAGTGGGATTATCGGGATTACCCAACCACGCCGTGTTGCGGTCCTTGCCACTGCCAAGAGAGTGGCATTTGAGCTTGGTGTTCGTCTAGGTAAAGAAGTTGGGTTTCAGGTTAGGTACGACAAAAAGATTGGTGAAAACTCCTCTATCAAGTTTATGACTGATGGGATTTTACTTCGTGAGATACAGGTAATGTACGGTTTATTGCCTGGTTTGGTTTGTAGATTCTTTTCCATTTTAACCATGGAAACTTGATTATAAGCTCTTCTACTGCAGAATGACTTCTTATTGAGGCGTTACTCTGTGATAATTCTCGATGAAGCCCATGAAAGAAGTCTGAACACAGACATTTTAATTGGGATGCTCACTCGAGTCATCAAAATCCGACAGGAATACTACGAGGAACAACAAAAAAGTCTTCAATCTGGATGCGCGGTAACCTCAGAATACCAAATTATCACGCCACTTAAACTTATATTGATGAGTGCAACTTTGCGAGTGGAAGATTTTGTATCGGGGAAAAGGTTATTCCCTAAGGTACCTCCGCTTATAGAGGTTCCCACTCGACAGTATCCAGTAACTATACATTTCTCCAAGAAGACTGAGATTGCTGATTATATCGGTCAAGCTTATAAGAAAGTGATGTCAATTCACAAAAAGTTACCACAAGGTGGAATACTTGTTTTTGTGACCGGGCAGAGAGAAGTTGACTATTTATGTGAGAAGTTACGTAATTTTTCAAAGGAATTTGTTGTTCAAGCTGCTAAAAGGGATGCTTCCGCAAAGAAGAAATGTGATGATGGTTCTTTTGGTGGTGTTGACATGAAGGAAATTGCTGAAGCATTTGATGATGGCTCCAACAATCAAAACGACAGGTTTAGTTCATATGGAGAAGATCCTTCTGATATTGGTGATGGTAATAACTATGGTGATGATTTTGAAGAAGAAGACATGTATGAGTCTGATGAAGACAGCGACTGGGAAACCCTTGATGACAGTTCTGGATATCCACTTGTAGAGGAAGGGAATCTTGATGCTCTTCGAGCAGCGTTTAAAGCTTTGTCAGATAAAAATGGATCAGCAGCTGTTGAGACAACAAAGTCCATTCCAGCAGATAATCAAGAAGCTGAGCAGGAAAAAGATAAATTTTCTCCAGGAAAATTACGCGTTCTTCCACTCTATGCAATGCTATCTCCAGCTGCACAGCTTCGAGTGTTTGAGGAAGTTGAGAAAGAAGAAAGACTTGTGGTCGTGGCTACTAATGTGGCAGAAACTTCTCTGACTATTCCTGGTATAAAGTATGTGGTGGATACAGGTCGGGTTAAAGTGAAGAATTATGATTCTAAGACTGGTATGGAAAGTTATGAGGTAGATTGGATTAGCCAAGCTTCGGCTAGTCAACGAGCTGGAAGAGCTGGACGAACTGGACCTGGCCACTGTTACCGTCTCTATTCATCTGCGGTGTTTAGCAATATATTTGAGGAATCTTCACCTCCTGAAATCACAAAAGTCCCTGTTGATGGAGTCGTTCTTCTCATGAAATCTATGAACATTCCAAAGGTAAGACGTTTGTAACCACCATTGTGAATGGACTATATCTCTTTCTTCTGTCTGTCTTGATGAATCTTTGCGTTTTTCTGTTGCTAACAGGTTGAGAATTTCCCGTTTCCAACTCCGCCTGAGTCATCAGCTATTAGAGAAGCAGAACAATGCTTAAAAGCATTAGAGGCTCTCGACAGCAACGGAAGGTTAACACCATTAGGAAAGGCTATGTCTCACTATCCCATGAGTCCACGTCACTCAAGAATGCTTCTCACAGTCATTCAAATGCTAAAAGAGACCCAGAATTACTCACGCGCAAATCTTGTCCTTGGATACGCGGTTGCAGCAGTAGCCGCATTGAGCTTACCAAACCCTTTGATAATGCAGTTTGAAGGAGACAAGAAAAACGAATCTGAAGATGCTGACAAAACCGTCAAGCAAGACGAGAAACAACGGAGAAAGGAGCGGAAAGAGAAGATCAGAGCCGCTCGGGACAGATTTTCCAACCCGAGCAGCGATGCTTTGACTGTAGCTTATGCATTGCATTCCTTTGAGGTCTCAGATAATGGCACGGGCTTCTGCGAGGCAAATGGGTTGCATTTGAAGACCATGGATGAGATGTCTAAGCTCAAAAATCAGCTTTTGCGACTTGTTTTCAGCTGTAGTAAGCCCTCTGAAACCGAAGACTGTTTCTCATGGACTCATGGGACTATACAAGACGTGGAGAAGTCATGGAGAATCACCACATCGTCTTCCTCAAAAAACCCGCTTCTACAGAACGAAGAAGAAGTGCTAGGAGAAGCCATATGTGCAGGATGGGCAGACCGTGTAGCCAGAAAGAACAGAGCGACAGAATACCAAGCATGTGCGGTTCAAGAACCTGTTTTCTTGCACCGCTGGTCATCTCTCATAAACTCGGCTCCAGAATTATTAGTCTACAGCGAGCTCCTACTCACCAACAGACCATACATGCACGGAGCAACACGAGTGAAGCCGGAATGGCTGGTGAAGCACGCAAAATCACTCTGCGTGTTCTCCTCGCCGCTCAAGGACCCGAAACCTTATTACTCAAGTGAAGAGGATAGAGTTTTATGCTACGTCGTGCCAAGTTTCGGCCCTTATAACTGGGAGCTTCCAGCTCACAGCGTGGCAATAACAGAGGACAGAGATAGAGCAGCAGCATTCGGATGCGCTCTGCTTCAAGGAGAGGTATTGCCTTGTTTGAAAAGCGTCAGGGCTTTGTTGGCTGGGAAACCTGAAACGTTGTTGGAAAGAGAAGCTTGGGGTTTAGAAAGAGTAGGGAGTTTGGTGATAGCTTTGACAGAGAAGAAGATTGATAGTTTAGAGAGCCTTAGAAAGAGTTGGGAAAAGAACCCGAAGGTGCTTTACTCAGAGATTGAAGTTTGGTTTCAGAAAAAGTTTCGTCATCGTGTCAAAGAGCTCTGGCAAAGAATGCTAAAGGAGGCTTCATGTTGAAACAAGGTCAAAAGGAGGTAAGGCGTTTGTGTGTTTCAAATGTTTCGCACACCTTTTGATTCTCTTTTTTGTTTAAAACTTGTCTATTCCTTCTCCAAAAAAGAGAAAATTTTGATATATAAATGGTGAAAGTTAAATTTTCTAATTATGAGTGTTAGGCGTAATGATAATATCTCTGACACGTAGATAAACCATGTCGAGTATACTCTATTATATCGAAACAAGGTGCTCTAAATCTCTAATCCAGGAACCATTGAAAAGACAATATTGTCCCTTATCAAGTTTGTTCTCATATGGGCACAATGGTAACTTAACACACCCCAGACGACATAAACTTGTAGAAAACCAGTGGGAGAAAGCATCTGGTTTTGAGTCTAACCAGCAGCTACACTTCTCTTATTATATAAACAAACTTCTTCATTCTCATCTTCTTCATCTTCAAACTTCACAAACACACAAATCATAAAAGAAGCAAAGAGTCCAGTCAAGAAAAAGAAAAGAGATGGGTTCAAGGAGCAAAGCATGGTTAGTAGCTGTAAGCATCGGAGCCTTGGAAGCGTCCAAGGATCAATTAGGCATGTGTCGGTGGAACTACTTGATCAGGTCTGTGAATCAACGTATCAAGAACAACATGAGATCTGCTTCTCAGGCTAACAGATTCTCTTCTTCGTCGACTACTACCACCACCGCCGCTGTAGCTTCTGTTAAGGGTAATGGTGATAAGGCGAAGCAAGCTGAGGAGTCACTTAGGACAGTTATGTACTTGAGCTGTTGGGGTCCTAACTAAATTCAGACATGATCTTTTGTTTTGTAGTAGGATAAACTAGATATGGAAATTGCAAAATGTTTTAAATTAAGGGAATTTTGTTCTCGGTGCCATTTTTGAAACTCAAAAAATTAAAATGCCATTTTCTCCAAAGCATTTTCTGCAATGCCATATTAGGTAGGTAAAATGACATAAATACCATCTCTCGGATGTTAGCACATAAATGAAAAAAAGTTGTCAGATGAAATATTCTCTGCATCATTTAATACAAAGGATGAAGGCTATTATCCAACAGATATTAACTTAATGGGTAGTTAAAAAGTAAAACAACATATGAAATCCAGATGGATTTATGGAAGACAAAATAACAGAGAAAATTTGAATAATGGGAGAAGGGTCGAAGAAGGACAACAATTAGATTTTCGGTTAAGCCCACGAGATAAACAAGATTCTGATCTCTTCATACGATTGTCCATCACAAGTGTCATCTGCTATGTTGTCTACAAAGATCCTAAATAACAAATTTTGTCCATCAATAAATAGAAAATGGAAAGAACGAATGGTAGAGCATTCAACAAAAATATAAATGGTCCATCTCATAGTTTACATGGGCTGAGGAGGGTTGTCTACTGGACTAACTGATTGACAGACTTGTTTTGTATATCTGATATACCATTTGTAAAACATGTTAGAGGACGACTTACGATAGACAAAATGATAAAGATAATTTGAGGAAGGGAAGAAGGTTGAAAAAGGAGAACATCCAGATTTTTGGTTAGATCCACAGGATAAACAAGATTTTTAATATCCTCTTACGGTTGTCCATCGTTAGTGTCATATGCTATGTTGTCTACAGAGATCCTAAAGAACAAAATTTGTCTATCAATAAATAAAAATGGAAAGGACGAATGGTATCCCACAAAAATATAAACGGTCTATCTCATAGTTTACATGGGCTGAGTAGGGTTGTCTATTGGACTAACTGATGAATAGTTTTGTTCTGTAGATCCGATGGACAATCTGTAAAATGAATGTTAGAGGAAGACTTACGATGGACAAGAAAAACTCATGGACAAAATTTGGTATAGATCTGGTCCGTAAAAACTTACATTGACAGAGATTTCCTTTGGCCGGAATCAATGGTTCCAGCGGCTTTGCGGGTTCACTACTGTGTTGCCAGTGGTTGTTCCGCTGTCGGGAACGGTGTCTTCAACGGTGGTGACGGTGAAAATATTCTGGTCAGCCATTAGGTTAGGAAAAAAAAATTGCATCGGTGATAGAAAGGAGTTGGAGAACTTATTTAACAAAAAAAAATAGAAAGGGTGAGTTGTTTATCCATTTGATAATACTTCGTTGTTGTTGCTGAAAATCTGATGGGTAAGAGAGAAAAGGTTGAAAGTTACGCTTTTGAGAAATAATGATTTTATGTCTGATTTTGCTAGGTTAATTAAAGAGAAGGACAAACATGTCTTTCTATCTATGGGCTGTGGCAGGGGGGAGAAGCCCATAAAAAAATTGGCAGTCCATACAAAAATAATCACTGTACATGGCATAATATATAATATTCTCTTAAATTAATTGTAAATAAATCTCTCTGATTCTAATAGAAGTTGAATTTTTCATTATTATATATTTTAAACTGTCCGCACAACCATGGTCCAGTGGTAAGGGAGAATTGGGGAAATGTTGGAAGGAACTAACACAGGTTCGATCTACACTGGAAACAAAAATCATGGTTGTGTGGGAAATCTGTCAATTGGGTCAAGGCCCAGTTGGTTTATCTGGTAGATAGAAATGCAGGCGGCCTGACTACCCCTGTCATTAGTCGGAAAGCGTTCCAAACTCGGGATAGACAGTGTGGTGAGCCTTCGGGGAGAAGTCCACTCTGAAACACTTCGGTGCGTTTCTACCGGGGCTGACCGGATCAGCCGATAAGGTTTATCAAAAATATATATATATATATATATATATATATATATATATATATATATTTCAAACTACTAATTTAATCTGAAGTGATATTTTGGCATATAAAATGGGGTTTGTAAGTAAGTAAACAAAGCAATCTAAACTATGTTCAACATAGCATCAGCAAATGGGTAAAACGTGGTTTGGCAAATAAGAATTGGTTTAGTCTTTTGACAAATGAGTAAATGACAATGTTCTAGGCATTTTACATATAATCTTAGTTGATTTAATTGGATTATACTAAAATATATCTAAGTCTACTGAGAATTTAAACATGATACATGAAAATTAAAAGCTATCTTCTTCTTCCTCTTCTTTTTTATTTTATTTTTGTTTTTCCAACATCTTGACTAGACCATATGTGTTTGGTTAGTTAGTGTAACGACTAATGATGTCTTTCAACTTAAAAAAAAATATTAAAACTTTGCGAATTGTCTGGAGCATATTTTAGATAGTAGTTGTAAATTCTTAATACAATTTTTTTTTAATAAACCAAATGGATAAATATTTAATCTGTTTTCATAACATTAAAATAAATGAAATTGGAGATAATATTTAAATGAAAACGACGTTACTAATGAGAAAGGAATACAGAAGGAAGAAACCAAACCACTTGTAAAAGTTATGTTGGGGGCGATTCTTTAAAACCAGTTGCGGAAACGCTAGAATCGTGGCAACAATCAAAAATTCACTTTTACCCCTCATTTACTTAAGGAATGTAAAGTCTATTCAGGGCAAAACTGTCATTTCCATAAGTCATCGACACCGAGCAAAACCAGTAGCTCAACGCATGTGGTTTTTTTTTTCTCCTTTCACTTGGACTTTGCGGCAGTTTTTGTCTGTTTCTGTTCTGTTTATAAAAGAAACAACACATTCGATTTCTCAAAACATCATCTGCAAATCTCACAAACATCGAAGCTAAAATAAGAAGACAAAACAAAAAAAAGAGTGTTTCTTTTGAAATTCAATTCAAACAACTATTTTGAAGATGAGTGCTACGAGCAAGACATGGATGGTGGCAGCGAGCATTGGAGTCGTTGAGGCTTTGAAAGATCAATTAGGCGTTTGTCGTTGGAACTACCTTCTCCGTTCTGTGAATCATCATCTCCGCAACAACGTCAGACCCATTTCACAGACCAAGAGATTCTCCTCCGCCGCCTCTTCCGCCGCTGTTGCTTCCGTCGGTAATTCGAAACAAGCGGAGGAATCTCTCCGGACGGTCATGTATTTGAGTTGTTGGGGTCCCAATTGACGCTGACGGGATCTTGGCAAGTTTCTTTGACATCTCAAGCAAAATTCCAAATCAGAGTCATCGAATTGGAGAAAAATCTGAAACCTTTCCTATTCGTTGAACAAGAATCAGGAGTTTGCATATGGCTCGATTGGATCCAAGACGGGTCTCAAAATGAGCTAAAGGAGTCACCTTTGTTTAGTGGCTGCAATGTATATATACTCTCTAATCTTATCATCTATTTTTGTAAAGCCTTGCTCTTTAATCAATCGATTAATCTATTCTCGAAGATCACAGGTCTTGATTCTAGTTTTACCTGCAACTAAGCACAGTTTAGAGTTTATGACTGAACTTTGAAGCATCACTTTTACCAAACGAAGGTCCTTTGATAATATTGAGGTTGCTTGGCTTAAACTCATCGTATGATTAGCAGATTGATTGATGATACAGAGTGCTCTGTTTTCAGTTTAGAAGGTTAAGGATTTGCAGTCACTGATGGAGAGACATGTTGCAGATGCTTTGCAAAAGAATGAAATATGATATGATCATAAAGAGTGATATAACAACCTTTTTGATTGGTGCAGAGACTTCAGAGAAAGAACATGAACTGACAAACTAATAACACTTGTTATTTGAAGTAGAGAATTACAGATGTTTTACAAGGGCCTATTTTTTTTTTCTTTCTATGTAACAATTCAACTTTTCGAATCTGTGTAAGCTAACATTTTATTGTACAAAGTGGATGAGCATCCTCTTGCACTTTTATGAATGCTGTTCTTTACAAATAATCAAGAAACTCTGCATGTTAAAACCGTTCTCCTCTCATTCACTTTACAAGCTAGCCGCTCTAGCCGAGCCCACTCTTTCGTCAACCTGCACATTACGCCCATAAGGTTTGAGTAGTCAAAACAGCCAAGTGCAAACACAAGTAACGTGTAGTAAAGAAACACAAACATAACTACTTGCTCTTATTCAACAGACTTTCAGAAGAGTAAATAGCTGACATCAAGCGCCACATAACGAGTTTAATGGATTCAAGGGGCAGAAAATAATTGATCTTTACAGTCATACCGTTGCTTCTTTTGACTTATTCTCGCTGAGGTAACGCTCAAAAGCCCCATCTCCTCTAAGTACTTTTGCTATACATCCACGTGAAGCTTCTGAGCCTGTTGATTCCTCATCTACAATAACAGCGTCGATTCTTTCATCTCCCTTTTTATCATCTGGAATCTGAGAAAAGAAATGAAAAAGAAGTGTGAAGGCAAGAGTCATTTAGTAGCTAAACAAAATTTGTGGTAGCTGAAGTACCTCAAACATGGCTTCAGTAAGAATGCTTTCAAGTAAGGCTCTTAGTCCCCTCGCACCTGTATTCTTCACCATTGCTTGCTTGGAAATTATCCCGAGTGCTTTCTCAGTAAAATGCAGCTTTACCTGAAATTTTGAACCAGATCATGCAGTCAGGGACCAAAAGGTCAAGTTTTAAAGTTAATCTAAATACATTTTTGCATGCAAGTCTTGGTAAGTGTATCTTTCCAGGGGGCTCACGTTGTTCATGCTAAATAGTTTTTTGTACTGTTTCCCAAGAGCATTTTTGGGTTCTACTAGCACCTGTAGGGAAAAAGCAAAGGAAATATTAGCTACACTAAACTTAAAGATGAGAAGGCAAAAGAATCAAGGCCTTGAAAGTAGCAACCACTATCTCACTTTGATTTCATTAGGTGTCATGACATGAGGAATCAAAGAAATTCATAAAAGCTACATGACCAGATAAGCTATCAAATTTTTAAAAATTACCCGAACAAGCTGGTCTTCTGTTAGAGCTGACAAACTAACTAATATGGGAAAGCGTCCTACAAACTCCGGTATAAGGCCATATGCTGTCAGATCGGCACTCTCAACCTGAAATGCAGCCGGAATTCCAAAACTAAAGCTCTTTCCAGGAATGAGAAGTGCTTACATAGGGAAACAGAGGCTTGAGAAAATCTTTGTAGTATTTACCGATTCTAGCAAAGATGAAGTTATTGCACCACTGGTCACTCCACTGGTGGCCATGTTTGCACGAACAGGAGCTCCAAAACCAATTGATGAGTCTTGTCGTCTGGTATAACATTTGAGTTGCTGATCAAAGTCAAAATAGAACAACTATTGTGTGTTCAACAACAAGACGCATAATGAATTACCTATCCACAATGGTCTTCTCAAGGTCAACAAATGCTCCTCCACAGATAAAGAGAATATCCTTTGTGTCTATCTGTACATCATAGGACATCCAGCAATAGCAATGGAATAATATTAGTACACAACACTTTTAGATGCATAATAAAACTGATCGATTATAGGTCAATGATAAAGTACTAGTTGTAGACCTGAATATGGTCACCCCGTGGATGCTTCCTTGCTCCCTTTCCTGGAACATTTACGATCTGAAACAAAAGAGAACAAGATCCAATGAGCAATAAAGAAGCAAAGCTTTTGAGTCCAGAACACTTCTCTTCTGGGGAAAGAGCCTCAGAAGTAACACATGTGTTAAATGAATTCATAATTTATGTGATGTCGCATTCATCATATGTCTTATTGCAAAGACCCTTTAATGATGATCACTACTAGAGACTTCACTATAACTATAAAAGTGTTGTCTAGTTAGCAGTGAAGAATGATTCCAGTATATGCATCAAAGTGTAAGAAAGCAATCCACTTACAGTGCCTTCTAGTAATTTCAAAAGTGCCTGTTGGACACCTTCACCAGAAACATCCCGGCTAATGTTTAAACTCTCAGCCTGCAGAAGGGAGAATCTAGGAAGCGTAAAGCCCAATTATCTTGTTCTTATTGAGTTCAGGATTTATTATGTCATGCATACTGACCTTCTTCGTTATCTTATCAACTTCATCAATGTAGACTATTCCCTGCTGTGCTGCTTGCACGTTGAACTCAGCGACCTACAAGTAATAAGGATATCTTCTAAAATCCAACAACCTGGAAACTGTTCTGGGAACATTAATCGCGACTTAATAAGAAGTGTTACCGTTAATAGCTTATGAAGGATTGATTCAACATCGTCACCAACATAACCAGCCTGTAAAGACACCATACAAAAACTGGGTCAAATAGCAACATATGAAATCATAAATCCAGGAGATAGATACACCTAATATGTTCAATTCGGATTTCAAAAAAGGCATTGAAAGATCAAGAATTTACCTGAGTCAGTGTAGTTGCATCAGCAATGACAAAAGGAACATTTACAAGCCGAGCTAAAGTCTTTGCTAGTAATGTCTTCCCTATTGTTCAAGAATCAAATAAACAATCATATCAGAGTCAGCAGGGAGAGTGCATATGGGAAGCAAAGAATAGAATATGATCATAAACACACAAATTCATACCAGAGCCAGTAGGCCCCATCAAGAGAACATTGCTCTTATCTAATTCTACATTATCGTCATCATCAATTGGTTGTGCTGCTGACCTAGTATTCAAGATCCACAATGTCAGCTTCCAACACAAACTCTTATACACACAACAAACCATAACGGAACTGAACGGTGTAATTCGTCTGATGGATGAGAAAGAACCAACCCTTTCTTCATAGAGGTATGATATATTCTCTTGTAATGGTTATACACAGCAACAGAGAGCACCTACGATCAAAATCAAGACCACTATCTCATAAGTAACTAACTTGATGACAGAACATGATCAGAAATGAACAGTAAATTCAATGTTAAGTGAAAAGCAAGAACCTTTTTTGCACGGCTTTGGCCAATGACGAACTTGTCAAGCCATTTACATATCTCCTTAGGAGTAGGAAAGTCTCTGCCCAAACCAGCTCCACCCCATCGACTAACGTCATTAGCTGGATCAGGTAAGGGAGAAGTATCTGTTTTGACAGCACCATTAGTGGCTGGAGCAATGTTGTTAGGAGGAGAAGCGTTCAAAGGAGAAGGAGGAGGAGGAGACCAATCTTCAGGTGGCTCAGCGCCGTAAGATCTGAGTGTATCCCAAAAGGAAGATCTAAGCTTGTTTCTGTAATTGAATCCTTGATTCGTATCCTTTGAATGTTGTTGTTTCCTGGTGGATTTGGAAGTAGTATTGTTGTTGGTAGTTGGAGATTGAACACGACCGATCTCAATGAAGGTCCCTTGAAGAGGAGAGACACCACGAGGGTTGAATCCATAAGCAGTTTTACAAGTCGGACAGAAGTTAACAGACTGGAAATTGGTTTTATCGCCATCGCCATCGACAGCAGAGGAATCAGATTCATCAGGACGTTGAAGAAGATTAGAAGAAGGGAACTGACGATTAGAGAAGAGAAGATCCATTTGCTTTGAGCAACGAGGACAATTCGGCTCTGCTCTTAACTTCCGGCGAGTCACAGGTACCGGAAAATCATCTCCTCCGCCACCTTGTTCCGATTTGAATCGTTCTTGAATACGGCGACGAGGCGATGATGATCCCAATTCCAGAGAATGAAGACGCGTGTGAAGAGGTGAAACCGTACGAGCATGTAAAGCTAGAGACTTTAGAGTCCTCCATCTCCAAATTCCAGACATTTGATTGATTTTGAGAACAAAATCACACAAAAGATGTGTATGTAATTTATGTATGTATGTGTGTGTATATGGGAAAAAATCAAACAGACAAAAACAGAATCAGCAACACAAAAACCCAGACAAGGAAATGAGAAACTCGAGATCGGAATCAAAGAGTGTTATGTCTTGTCTGCATCAGCTCCAATGATGTTTTTTTTATGTGTGTGTGTTTTATATATATACGTTATTGTAATCTGTCTGAAGAATTTAATGAAGGAGCGTTAGGTTAGATTAGATCGAAATGGGGAAACCTTAAATCCATCAATTTGGAGAAGGAAGGAAGGAGAGACGATAAAAACGGAGAAAGTGAAGACGAAGAAAACGATAGACTCGGAGAGAAAAAAGACGAAGCACACACCTTTATCTCATCTCTCTCTCTCTCTCTCTCTCTCTCTCTCTCTCTCTCTTCACGTTTGGTGGAAGAGCACATGGGGACACGTGTAACTCAATTCCCTTACCTCCACGCGCCGTCGTCACACATGGCGGAGCAGTTAGTGAATCAGTTTGTCTCCTCCGTGATCTCAAAGTCGACACATTTGAATCATTTGAAGCAAGTTCAGTCCTTTCTGATAGTTTCTGAACTAAATCATTCACCTTTCCTCTGTTTCAAGCTTCTTCGTTTTTGTACTCTTCGTCTCTGTAATCTCTCTTACGCTCGTTTTATCTTTGATCGTTTCTCTTACCCCAATACGCATCTCTACGCCGCCGTTTTAACAGCTTACTCTTCTTCTCTCCCGCTTCATGCTTACTCAGCTTTCTCCTTCTTTCGTCTTATGGTTACTCGGTCTTATCCTCGTCCTAATCACTTCATCTACCCACTTGTTCTAAAGTCTACACCACATCTCTCCTCTGCTTTTTCAACTCCTTTGGTTCATGCCCACTTGTTTAAATCCGGGTTTCATCTCTATGTTGTTGTTCAAACTGCTCTTCTTCACTCCTACGCTTCCTCTGTTTCTCATATAACTCTTGCGAGACAACTGTTCGACGAAATGTCTGAGAGAAACGTTGTGTCTTGGACTGCTATGCTTTCTGGGTATGCTAGGTCCGGTGATATCTCTAATGCTGTTGCTCTCTTTGAAGATATGCCTGAGCGTGATGTTCCTTCCTGGAACGCTATTCTTGCTGCTTGTACTCAGAATGGTCTTTTTGTTGAAGCGATATCTCTATTTAGAAGGATGATCAATGAGCCTAATGCTCGTCCTAATGAGGTAACCTTAGTGTGTGTCCTCTCCGCTTGTGCTCAAACTGGTACGCTTCAGCTGGCTAAAGGGATTCATGCTTTCGCATACCGTTGGGGTCTTTCTTCAGATGTATTTGTTTTGAATTCTTTGGTCGATTTGTATGGTAAATGTGGTCACTTGGAGGAAGCAAGCTCTGTTTTTAATATGAAACCAAAGAAAAGTTTAACAGCTTGGAACTCTATGATCAATTGCTTTGCCCTCCATGGTAGAAGCGAAGAAGCCATAGCAGTGTTTGAAGAAATGATGAAGGTTAACAGTTACGATATCAGACCAGATCACATTACTTTTATCGGTCTTCTCAACGCATGTACCCATGGGGGTTTGGTTTCGAAAGGCCGTGCTTATTTCGATCTCATGACAAAAAGATTCGGTATTGAGCCACGGATTGAGCACTATGGATGCCTATTAGATCTTCTAGGCAGGGCTGGTCGGTTCAATGAGGCTTTGGAAGCTATGTCCACAATGAAAATGAAAGCGGATGAGGCAATTTGGGGCTCTTTGCTCAATGCTTGTAAGAAATATGGTCATTTGGATTTGGCTGAAGTTGCTTTAAAAAATCTGGTTGCTCTGAATCCTAACAATGGAGGTTACTTCGCTATGATGGCAAATTTATATGTAGAAATGGGTAAATGGGAAGAGGCACGCGAAGCTAGAAAAAGGATCAAGCACCAAAATGCTTATAAAACCCCAGGATGTAGTTGGATTGAGATTGATAACGAAGTCCATCAGTTCTATTCTCTTGACAAATCGCATCCGAAGAACATAGAGATATATGAGATACTTGACAGTCTGATCTCTTTCTGACACTTTTTGGAAGGTCTTAGATTCTCCGTATGACTTGACAAAGCTGCAGCCTGCATTCTAATAGCAAGCTTCGTGCATATATACTGGATATAAGGCTGGAAAGAAACAAGGATGCCAGAAATGTTTCTGATACCCGAAAGCTGCTACGGTAATGTTATGTGTACTCTTTTGTTGTGGTGTAAGAAGAGGAACTGTTACGTGACATTCCAGCAAGAAATATGTTGCTTATGAAGAAAGTAAGTCTTTCAGTTCCTCTCTGACTTTGTTATGAAGTGATATCTTTCTGTGATTCCAGAGAAACTATTAGTTTAATATCCTTTTTGGATTTTCCAGGTCCATGGAGGATTAAACATGGCGAGAGGGGGAATTACATATGCTAAGCATTGGTACTCGTTAGTTATGATCTTTAAGCTTTCTAACACTTTCTCGTGTAGCTTTATTGGGAAAGATATGATGAACAAGCACCTAAGATAAAGATATGTTGTATAATTTATTCGTGTTTTAGATTACACAGATTTTACAGACATCAAACACGATCCTGGATTCAACATGAGTTCGTTGACACGACTAAGCAGAACTGAGTTTGCCAGTTTGATCCTCTTTGAACACAATGTCAACAACCCTTGGACCCTTAACTTTGTCTGGGGAAAGCTTGTTGATGGTAATGGTGAGAACTCCGTTATCAACCTTGGCCTTGATAGAGTCCAAATCCACATTATCAGGCATCCTAAACTGTCTCCAGAACTTGCCATGTAACCTCTCCACTCTATGCCAATGATCTCCTTCTTTCTCCTCCTCTCTTTTCCTCTCACCGCTTACTCGAACAACTCGGTTCTCCACTACTTCTATCTTCACCTCATCCTTCTTCATTCCTGGTACATCGAGCCTTATGACATGCTCTTCTGGTGTTTCTTTCCAGTCCACTCGCACGGGAGACAGAGCCACGCTCTGATCCCTCTCGAGACCTAATGGGATTTGCTCCAAGACTCTGAAAGGATCAGGAAACCGATCTCGCCAGAGATCGGCTAGTAGACTTCCCGGAGTTTCGAATGCAGATGGCAAGGATCCTTCAGTTGTGTTGATCTTTCCGAGGAACAGAGTTATAAAGAAAAGACCCAACATAGGAAGATAGATTTGCTTCATCTTTGGTTAGTGCTAACTTTCTTGTATAAGGGGTAAATGGAGAATGACAATGATTATTACTTCTAGTGACCGCCTCGTTGTCTGTTCTCTTCTTTATGAGTGTTAAGGTGTAAGTCTGTGATCAATATATAGATGTGTCTTATGAAGTGAATAATGTTGCAGATTCTGGAACACTCTTCTTTCCCATTTGTGTTTACTGATTTATTGACAGAGAAATTGAGAATGTTCTACACATAAGCTTGGTTTTAGACTTCAAAGGTTCTTCTCTTCTGTAATGTTCCAGATACTTCATGTCAGTATAGTGAAGTTTCTCAATGCATGGTAGTAATTTGGTATATTGTAGAAGACCCAATACAGGGCCCATGATTATATATATTCTAAGCAGGCCCTATAATCATGACAAGAATTATGCTCCAATTTTGGAGTTAGAGGTGTGCTTCATTGTGCCTATTCTAGTCTCCATTGCGTGGTCCAAAAGACTCCAAAGTTCAAACTATACATTTACTCAGACAAAACAAAACTGTAGTGATAAGTCTTCTGAATCTAAGATGTACCATATCAACTATGCGGGCAATTTACATTTTACAATCAGAAGACTTATCAATACAAGTTTGGAGTGTACCTTTTAATCGTTTCTTTTGCACTTTAAACTTCTAGCAATAAATATATAAGTTAATCAAGTCGAAATATGCACAAAATTATCATATAAAATCCAAAACCCATGTATATGTTGCTATGATGTAAATTGACAGCAACAGTATTATATAATTGTTTCTCTAGTTGAAACATGAATAAAAGACACAATCCCCCTGAGCAATGACCTCTACCTTGCCTTCTGCAACTTTCTTGTACCTCCTGATGAAATGAATGATCAACATTCGTATGCTTCCTCTTGCTGCTTGTCTGATACTTCACCATCTTCACTGTCGAAAACAACCCAGACCATACTGATTTTGGTTTCTACTGGAAATGAGAAAAGACTGGTTGATGAAATATCGACGCAGTGGTTTTCTTGTTCTCGTTCATTGCAGGTGACTGAATCACTTAGGTTGGTGGAGAGAGAGAAACTTCTTTTGCCTCCATAGCTTGAGCATTCCTCTAGTGCTAAAATATGATCCATGGTAATGGCTTGCACAGATGGGAAATCCAAGCTTTTCATACCGGGGAATCCTCTACACTTTTCATATAGTACGCGAAGATCTTGAATCTGCTGAGAAGCTTTTCTCAACATTCCACAAGCTAAATCTTTAGCGGGTCTTGAAAGATCAAAGAGCATATTAACCAGTGCGGCTATCCCATCGGAATACGTCATGTAGACTTGGAAACTCTCTTTCAAGATGTTGCCGGTAGCTGCTTGAACCAGGTTATCGATAGGCCAGGCATTATATACCGGTGAACACTTCAAAACCTGTGCAATGAACTCCTGGCACTTTGGTAAGATGTGGAACACCAAATCCATGGATTTCTCTTTGTAACGGCTAAATTTTGTACCACCAGACATAACAGGTTCGAGCTTACCAGCTTGGTTGATGATCCATCCAACTCTTTCTTGGAGATAAGCTACATAGTTCTGCAGAAAAACAAAGGATGGAGGATCCGGGGTCATCATGAACCAGCAACAACCTATTTGGAGATGACCAGAGGTATGTGCAATATGCAATTGCTGCTCGATACTTCGACTGCTACCACGCAAGAGACGGTGGAAGAGTAACAGAGTTTTACCCGCGACTAAGCAATCTCTTGTCTTCGCTAGACGGCGTGAGATCTGTTCAGCAAGAAAAGGAATCGATCCCGGAGTGTTAGAGACAAGAAAGAGTATCTCGTGCATGGTTTTGTCATCAACAGGACAATCATCATGGCTAGTGGCTCGAACCACTGCCACTTCAATGTCAAAAAAGGCTTTTTCATTGTAGTTTTGTACAATAGCTCTGCCAATAGATGCATGATCCTTGGCGAGGCCAAGAACTTGCCGAAACTTGACAGATAAATCAAGCCTCATTGATATCTACAAACTAAAATGGCACTATTGGATGTTGGAGAGTCTTATTAGAACTGTTTCTGTAGTGAACTCTATATATATATACATGACTATACGATTAGACAGGAGAGACAAGAGGAGAAAGTTGCCAATAAAAGAAATAAATACCCCAAGAAATAGTGGTGAGGAATCAGATCTTTTCTTTCAACTTAAAGTAAGGAATTATCCTTGCAAATATTATTAAACAGTGCTTAGGTTAAATGAAAGTCAAACTCACTTTAGACAGATGCTCTTAAGAGCTTTATGACTAAAATAGAACATTCACAAACATGTCTCTGCTTACTTTTTCTGAGAGCAGAGTGACTATGGCATCAACATAAATATCTTTTTTACCAAAGCTGATCATTCACTATAACAATGGTGGAAATTCGCATATCCTAATCCATTGTTAGAATCTTAAGATTCATACCAGAGTCGGACTTAAAAGGGAGGCGAATAGTCGCTGTTCGGTCCATCAGAAGTCAAGGAATCTCGCGCTCTCTCGAGCAGACCTTCAGAATTCAAATCCATGTTTAAAATATATAAGGAGTGAGTCAGAATGCACCCATGAGGCTCTAACTCTTGTTGTTTTCTAGATAAAAATGAAATAAACAACATTTCTCAAGAGTCAACTCCCATAAAAGTTATTTCTTTTCCTGTGTGGGGAAGAAGAGAACCACATTCTACAAGAATCTGATTCTCCTGCATCAAACTCTTTTGCTATTTTCAATGTCCAATATACCTGAGGACATTCCTGCAGGCAGTGACCTGTTTTTTTCTTCATTGGTTCCATTGACCGAAATGTAAAGCGTGTCATATACGTGTAACGGTGTAAGTACACTCACTAGCAAACTAGTATCAGAAAGGAAAGAAACAGACTCATACTAAGCCCAAGTAGCTAAGGCACTAGGGTTGTTTGATTCACAAGAGACAACTCTATATTGCCATATCATAAAGTAATTTTCATGTCTTTAAAAGGGAGATACCCCTCACTGCAAGTAACTATCAATTGAAAACGAAACTTGCATGCATTTCATCGTGCGAGGTACATGACCTTATAGACAACCATGAAATTCTGAAAGGTAGGAACATACCCGATTGCCACTTCCACTTACACCACCAACGAAATTTACTCCCTTAAATCGTAAATGGAGAGAAAAAAAAAACAGGAACAGAACAAGGAATATAATTAATCCAAATCAACTGTATTAGCTTCCAACAAAATCATAACAAAGAGGACAAAAAATTACTGCAAACCGCCAATAGTATATATCATCTCAAATACGTGACTATTTCTATGATCTTAAAAGTACAAATTTTAGACTGAACTCAACATTTAACCTTTGTTTTATATACAAAATATGGTATGTGAAATAGTGGTGCTGCAGTAGCTACCCAAATACAACTCGTCAAAGCCCCAACATCATCTTTCAAATGGCATTACATCCCAACTACTTGAGAGCCTTCATTCCCTGAAAGCTCAGAAAAAGGTTCTTCACTTTAGAAACTAGGTAGAAATAGCATTGTAAAAGTTCGAGTAACAGTGATGTTATACCAAGCTAAACTTCAACTACTGAAACCAAACCTACAAAATAATGCTGCAACCAACGAAATAGAATAGCTAAGTCACACTGTAGAAGAAAGGAGGAAGATGTGAGAGAAGGAAGACAAGCATGAATTTCATGCACAGCTACACATAGACTTATGTCCAGGAGGCAATATCATAAAAGCAGAGTTTCAGATTGCATCATCCCAAGACAAAAGCCTAAAGGGTATAACTTTGTGCTATGAAATTTATAGAAACACTACCTCATCGGCATAATCCTGAAAACAGAGGTTTCTGATTGGTATAAGAATGAAACAATACCTTCGCTGCTCTCATACTATTGACTGCCATACGAAGACCATCATGGGAGAGTATCAAACGAGATAAGCCACCAGTGCTCAAACTTGAAAAAAAAAAAAACAGTCAGATGACTAACAGTTAGACAAAACACAACTACACTGGATTTGAGAGAATTACAGGTTCAAGAATGATTTGTTACCCAAGCAATTTGGCAGAATCGGCAATAGAACCATCAGAAGCAGAAATAACGTCAAGCAAAGCTTGCATTCCCTGTAACAAAGACAATTGTGTACTTGAATCAAGCAAAGGTCGAGGGAAGATAAAGAGCAAGAGCTAAAGCGAAACAGAGATTCATCATACAGGTACAAATTTAGGATTGTTGGGACCAATCTGTGAACCAGAAGAAGTTCTAATGGTGGACTTAGGAGGTAGAATCTGAAGAAGCTCAGGAGGAGGAGCATACGCCTCAATGTCCACTTTGTTCCTCACTATAAAAAACCAAAATAAGAACCAAACTGAAAATTCACAGATTCAAAGAATGAAACTGAGGAGAAGAGATTGAAAAACCTTTGATGGCGAGAAGCGTGCGAAGACGATTCAGAGCAGAAGCACGATTCTTGTGCTGTGAACGATCCTCGACGGCCTGAGCTACGATTCCGGTGGGGAGATGTTTAAGACGCACGGCGGAGTCACGCTTGTTCCGGTGTTGTCCTCCAGGTCCCGAAACTCTAAACGTCTCTAATCTGCATTGCTTCATCAACTCTTCATCCGTAAACTTCAAGTAATTTGGACTCTGAACATCCGAAACAACGCTACCGGAATCCTTAACGCCGCCTAAATCGTCACTGCCACTTCCGCCGCCGCCGTCGGACGATGAGTAACGGAGAATCGAGCGTAATCGGTTGCTGAACCCATCGGACGGAACAGTCCTTCGATAGTAGATAACAGAAGACGGAGACGAGATAGACGGAGACGAGATAGACGGGACAGTGAGACGGAGGAGAAGAGGGAAGCGAGCGTGAAAGAGAGCGGCTACGGCCATGATCGCCATGGCTGAACCACCGCGACGGATTGGTTTCGGGAGGATGATGACGTATCCTAGTCTCAGCCCGGCCCATTAATTACTATCCAGTGGGTTTCGGCCCATTCATGCAACACTTGTTTCTCACTTAGTCAGTTAGTCACACACCATTTGTTGAATATGTAACATACTGTATTATATTTCATGAGATAACATAAAGTATTATATATATATGTTGCATCATACATAATTCGTATTTGAATTCTAACGGAAATGTCTTTTTTTTTTTTTTTGGTTAGATAGAACACCAAATTTTGATTGTATCCAAAAAAAATTCATTATATATTTGAGATCATCAAAACATTATGTACAAGTAAAATCATTTTTGCATATTCTAAGATGGGTTAATTATTAGAGTATCCTATATTAATTAGGACCCCAACAGCTCAAGTACATAACTGTCCTAAGAGACTCTTCAGCTCGCTTAGCCTTGGCATCTTTACCGGAGGCAGTGAAGGTGGTGAAAGAAGAAAGTATGTTAGCCTGAGAAGCGGACCTCACGTTGTTCTTGATACGTTGATTGACCAACCGGAGCACATAGTTCCAACGGCACATACCTAACTGATCCTTAGAGGCTTCCACGGCTCCAATGGTTGCTGCCACCAACCATGCTTTGCTAGTTGAACTCATCTTTCTTGTTTGGAGAAAACTCTTTTGCTCTTGTAATAAATGGAGAGTTGTGTGTGTGTGTTGTGTTGTGAAGTGAGATGATGAAGAAGATGAGTCGTGTTTATATAATAAGAGAGATTAAAAGAAAAAGAAGCCGCAAGTTAAAGTGAAAACCATATGCTTTCTCCCACAGGTTTTTTTTCACAAGTTCATGTCGTGTGGGTAAGTGTGAATTGGTTGGTACGTACTTCAGTACTTTGGTATAGTTTACGTTTGTGTCCAAATGAGAGCAAAATGGATAAGGGGCATTATTGACTCTTCAAAGATTATGGATGAGGCGATGAGCACCTTGTTTTAGTAGTGACTATATTTTCTCCTACGATTTTTGTTCATTATAACTTTGGAAAAACTATACCTTAATTATGAAATTAACCTTTTCAATTAAAATGGGCCGACAAAATAATAGTAAATTTTCATTATTTAGTTCACTTACATTGTTGGAAGGAGGGTATAATCATGTTGTCCACGGCATTATAACTAGATTGCATTATTCATTTAAACATATAGTTCTCAATCTTTGTTTATCAGAAAGGCAACGGATTTGGATGTATAAAATGCTTAAATTTGAGAACTATATAAAAGAAATAATTACAGTACTCATATGCGTTTTCGTGTAAATTCATCATTATTTTAAACTTTTCATCTCTTTTCCTAAGCTTAACAATCTCATTCCTAATTTGTTCGCCGTGTAAATATATAGAGATGCTTCCAACATGTACAAAACTGCTTTGAAAGGCTTTTAAGAAAAAGGAAAAGAAAGCACTAGCTCCACCAAATCGTAAAAATGTATATTTTCATCCGGTTATAATCAAATTACCCATATATATCCTATATACCGGAAATATAATTTGAAAATCTAAATCAAAATTGCTAGAGATCGATTAAGAGTGTTTTAGAAATCTGTATAAAGACTTGTTAAAATTTCTTCTCTGAAAACATAAGGATTTGGTTTCTTGGACTTCTTCTTATGGACCTCTTATTGATCACATTTTTTGGCAGCCTCGGCTTTAGCCAACTGCTGTTTGAGCAATCTCAGCTCCTCCTAGGCTTGTCCTAACTGTGACTCCAAGAGTTAGTAAATCTCAAGTACTTGTCTTTGAGTCCATCTTTGAGCCTTTCTTCTCGTGGTACATCCCTAAATCAAACCCCGAAACATTATATGTATGTAACGGCAAACAAGTTTTATTTATCTTATGAATGTTTCAGTAGAAAATAGTACCATATCCCTGTGGCAAGTTGGTTCACGAGGCTCTCATATCCATGCACCAAACGATGCTGCAAGCAGCCGCGGACCTAGGTAGACGGTGGGTGGGTCAATTGACCCGGGTAAAATATTAAAATACTATGTTTTTGCAAGAAAATTGCTGAAGTATCGGCAGCAGAGATGGATTTACCCCTTCAGTTGACACCCCCAACCACAGTTCGATTCTCAAGTATCACTTCAATATTAGTTTTTTAAAACCATTTTAAGTATTCAAAATAAATCTGACCCCCCCTAATTTTTTTTTTTGGGTCCGCCACTGGCTGCAAGGTAAGGGATCATCATCAGTGAATCAATGAACTTGATTGTATAAATAGTAAATAGTGGAATCTTGATCATTTTCAAGACATCCCAAAACTATGTTGGTAAACATCTTTTCATATATTGTATCTCTCTTGTGCTTTGTTATTCATTTGTCTTACTTTCTATGCAAGAAACCGCATTCCACGTTTTTTTCTTGCGCTAGAAGAAATGAATATGATTGTTTACTGTTATACAATTGGGCCATCCTCAAAGCCGTTGTTTTACAGAGCGCCGAATAAGTTAATGACTGTCCCTCATGGCCATGCAACCTCTGAAAATTGAATACATGACTAACTTTAAATTGGATTTATAGTTCAATAACTTAAGCCTACTGATCATTACAATGCACTTGACTACTTGAGTATGAATGCTAATGAGACTACAGTCCAAAGATGTGATGAGATGGAGTCTCACTTCACTTATTGTTTTGTTTTGATTATTTTATACATATGGTTGGAATCTTTGCAAACATTTGTGTTCATAAGAATACATGAATTTATATGGGAAGTGTCAATGCCCAAGTTTGACAATGATGAAAGCTCAGATGCCTTGCCCGTCGTATGCCTTCCATCTTTCTATTACCACCTTGCACTCATCATCCCTTCTCCTCACCTAAGAAAACATAAGTTACAGACGTCAATTGATCAATCATTGTTGTCGTATCATTCTCGAATGACATATTTTGTTGAGTACTACTATATACCTCGACCATGGGATTCCTTCCACGAAGCAACATATCAACACTCTTTTCAGTCTGGAAGAGAGCGAACGAAGACAAGGTTTATTAATACATATGATCTTTGATATCCAATGACTGCAGGCAGAGGCGAGAACAGATTTGTGAGACAGAGGCTTACTTGATGCGCAATCCAATAATCTCGTTCTCTCATCTCTATCAAGAAATAAAATGTTGGTGGAGCTTTCCTCTCGAGAATACTCTTCTGGCTCCTTCTCGCCCTAGCTTCTTCATCTCCAAGAGTGACAGTCTCAATACCTCCAATCTACAATCAACAATGAGAAACTAATTAATATGAGCAAAGCTTTGTAAATTATAGAAGCAAGCGATAACATAACATTCAGAAAAGTGGCGAAAAAAAAATTATTACCAAATCTGAAAGTGTAGGATTCTTTATGATGTTCTGGAGCTGCTCTCCGTGAGCAGTACCAATTAGCATCACTCCCCTTTCAGCAATGGTACGACAGGCAAGCGCTTCAGCTTCTGTGCCAATCTCATCAACAATGATTACTTGAGGCATATGGTTCTCTACTGCCTCAATCATCACTTTATGCTGCAGAGATGGCTTTGGTACTTGCATTCTACGAGAACCTCCAATAGCTGAGTGTGGAATATCTCCATCTCCTCCTATTTCGTTGCTGGTATCAATTATCACCTAAAAACTCATATTGCGCATACTTCATCACTTAAAAAGGCAGAACCTTCATGCTAAGAGAACTTATATATAGGCAACAGCAAGACCCACCACTCTTTTCTGGAATTCATCAGACAAGACACGAGCTATCTCTCGCAAAACAGTGGTCTTACCAACACCGGGCCTGTAGTATATTAGAATTAAGACGATCATAACATCACCACAGAAACAAAACGAAGTATAAAAGCAGTGTGTTCAAGCAAGGTAACAAATACCTTCCAACGAACAAGATGCTTTTCCCATAGTGAAGGAGATCATAGAGCATGTCAATGTGACCACTCACAGCTCTCCCAACACGACAAGTTAAACCGACAATGAATCCTTTCCTATTACGAATAGCTGATATCCTGTGCAATGTACCCTCTATTCCAGCCCTATTATCAGCACCAAATTCACCTACCAACTCTTGAGCATCCTCTAACTCTTCCATGGATACCTAAGCTAGTGTTTCATGGATACAAACAATCCAAATTCAGAAAACAGCAACATCACTCCAATCTCACTAAAACACAACATCATCCCTAATTAGTTTACCTCATTGTTCCTAAGATACTGACCTCCAGGTTCTCCAAGATATCGTGCTTCAGGTGGTCTTCCCAAATCCATAATCACCTAAACCAAAATTTCAAAATCATCACCATTAAAAATGTCTCATTCCATTTTAAAGCTTTTTAAATTGTTCTTCACTTAAAGAAAAGAGTTCAAAGCAATAACCTCTACAAGCTGGTTTCTTCGAGAATCGTTCAGGAGACGATGACGAAGATCTCGTGGAAGGATCTACAAAGACGCTAAGTGTTAGCCAATTATTCAGATCAAACTGTATAAACAACAAAGATGAACAGAGAGTGATTTACACTAAATCAGACCTTGAGAAATGCGCCGAGATTATCATCTATTATCATAGCGGAGGAATCGGGAAGAGCTAGGGAAGCGACGGTGGAGGAAACCGGAAAACGCCGGCGAACTGGAGGAAAAAAGCGACATGCTTCGCCGCCCCAAGAGACGCACACTCCGGCCATATTTTTCACTGCTCCACCGAGAGGATAAGGAAGATCCCAGAATCACCACCAAATTATTAAACGTCTGGGCCTTTGGGTCTTTGGGCCTTTTGAGAATTTGGGCCTTTTGTTTATAGAGTGTTTTTTTTTTTTTTTTTTTTTTTTTAAAGTCTCCTATGGACTTGTTTTGGCAACTTGTGGCTGCAATGTTCATTTGTGTAACATCCTCGTCTTATAAAACATAGTTTTGTTTTGGGTGTAGTTATATTGTATATCGTTTTGGATTCGTATAAAAAAAAAAGTAAGACAACTAGTTTTTTTTTTCTTATAAATTTCATCGGCTGATCCGGTTAGTTCCGGTAAAAAACGCACTGAAATGCTCCAGAGTGAACTTCTCTCCGAAGGGTTATCACACTGTTTATCCAGAGTTTGGAATGTTTTCTGACTAAACCAACTAGTTGATACGTACGGTTCTTATTAACTTTATCAGTGAAGCAATTTGCTTCCTAATCACAAAATGAAATAAATGAATACATATGTATTCAAAGAACAAAACATAGAAAGAGATGCACATATGTAACATAGTTAGCATCTATTTAAAATAACCCAAGAAACCCATTTTCACCGCGCAATGAAAGCAGATTCGAAGGTGGAGGCTGGACCGTCGACGAATTGTTATTGTTGCCTTCATCTTCAAACCTCATAGCTCTAGACGAGTCTTGATCATGATTCCCTATGTGACAATTCACCATCCCCCACTCACCAACTGTTTTGCATGTGCCAACCTCAACCCCTGATGATGGCTCACACCGCGCTTGCGGGTACTCGCTTTCCCTTGGAAGAAGAGCCAATGAGTAGTCATATCCAACTGAAAGAGGCTTTTGATGATGAGGCTGAAACATTGGTGGTTGTGTGTATTGATGAACACCAATCTCTTCAGGCTTGTTTAGCTCAAACATTGAGACTCCTTGGTAAGAGCTTTCTCTACGGATGAAGCTACGAGACTCAATCCTATTGTTGTTGATGCTAGATCCAACAACATTCTCATTCCCTACTTTGAATAGATTCTTCTTCTTGAACACTCTACAAACAACCCATCCATCTTCCTGCATTATTTATAGATAGACTCATTCAATAAATAAAAAAGATGGACCGGCTTTCACATTTTTAGTAATGAATAAAAGATAGATGTATATATATTACACTAGGGTCATCGTCAGTGTCTTCAATACGGTACTCGTGCATGATCCAATCAGTCTTTTGTCCATGAGGAGCTCTTCCTTTGTAGAATACAAGAGTCTTCCTCATTCCTATCTTCTTGTAACAGTTTCTTATGCATTTGTCACGTCCCGTCGCCTTCCAGAAACCCGAATGGGTCGCACGGTTCGTCCTTGAACCTGTCGGATATTTCCTATCCTTGTGGCTAAAGAAATACCACTCGTTTTGCGGTGTTGATCCTATTCTACATCTATCTACACACACACACACAACATCAAAAAACAATGTTCATATATAGTAACTCATTACTAATTAGAGAGTTAAATTATATATAATGGTATGTTACCTTGTAAATCCCACGGCTCAATCTTGTTCAAGTCAACCTCCTTGATGACTTCCATATCAAACTTTTCATACGAAATCTTCTTCTTCAAGTAGTAATGAAGAAGCTCTTCGTCGGTCGGATGGAACCTAAACCCCGGTGGTACACCTCCGTTAGACGAACTCATTTTCCGGTTTTGTAATTATCAATGTTTGTTATATTATACAATGATATGCCTTTTGTTTAAAGCACTCTTCTTGTTCTTGGTTAATATATATAGAGTTAGAGAAAAATACTAAAAGAGAGATTACACACACGTAATCGTCAACTCTATTATCGTAAATAAAATAATAATCAAAAGTTAAAAGTATGATGATGATGATGATGATGAAGTTGACGGCCGGTGACAACGCCGCCGGAGAAGCTTCAAAAAAAGCTATCGTGAAAACTGAAAAAAGCAAAGACTCTTCCACAGGCCACAGCATTTAAGCCGTATTACACTTGCGTGAACGTTGACCCTAGAGCTAGTTTTTATATAAAACGAATGATCCCGGTGAATTTGGAAATTATCATTATGTTATGTTATTAATAACGAGTCCGTGTTCAATTTGATTGTCCCGTAAGCAAAGGTTTACGTTAAAGAAATAAAGAAAATTTCCATATGGGGAACTCCAATTCGGATTATACGGTCCATTTCTTTGAGTTTGGTTTGCATTTAATATGAATCTAATTAAGATGGTTATAGTATCATACTATCATTTGATAGGTGAATTAAAAAAAAAAAAAAATTCATGCATGGAGGTCCGTATTAACATGACATGCAGTGGGCAATAGGGGCCAATTGTATTTGTGACCTTTGCGATATTTTTTCTAATTTATTTGGTTTTGTGTAACTTGTAAGCATTGTATCTGTTTAATTCTTCTTTGATATTCATATTGTCTATTGACTTAAGCAACCAATCATATATAAATGAAGTTATGAACTCAATGAAACAATTTGAGATCATTTATTAAGAAGCGAACAAGTAGCTAGGTAAATCACATGTGGTGAGACATACGATTAATGTTTCTAGCTAAAGACCTTCGTGAGTATGGTGAATTTTTGATATTTATCTTCAACCTAATTGCGTAATTAGTTATAGTTTCTAATTATTTTGATTGAAGCCATTATTTAACAACTATACACATGTAATTTGGGCTCAACTCTACTAATGGTCCACTCACTAACCAAACCTACAATTACTATGTGGGCTTCATTCTCGCCCACTATCCCTTAAGTGTGACTTATTCACACGATCTACAACAACAACTCTTTATCTTGCTTCTTCTGCATATGTCAAACACGAACCTCGTATGTTTTTTCTTTTTTGGTAAAAGTTAAGTTTTATACCAAATTTTCAAATTTGTGACAGAAGTTATAAAGAAAACAAGTAGTGGAAAATACCAAAATTGACAGAATAAACAACAACAACAAAACAGTAAAGGAGAACATCGAGAACCTAAAGCGGAAACGAAAGAAGAAACATCGATTTTGAATAGACAAATTCGGAAATTTGCGTGATTTCCTCAACTCCAAAGAGTTGGAGTCCCATCCTAGTTGCCACGAGCAAACCAAATCCATACAAAGGCCAGCCTTCAAAACTTCAAGATAAAGCGCCTACAACGAACCTCGTATGTTGCTTGTGTTTGTTCTTAGCTTTTCTTCTTCTTGCAGGATTCATAATTTCCAACAATTTCTAATCCACAAGATAGACTTTATCGCGGTGGAGCTAAAATACTATCGTTTATGCCGTCGACCACATCTTTTAAAATTTGTGCATCACATTCACATCACTAAACCAATTAACAAAGAGTGCTATTTACATGGTAGGGCGTTTCCTGTCATGGTATCTTCCTTCAATGTAACAACCTTATAACAATACATATGGGTTTCATATGTGACACATAAAACCTCATCTTCACCAATGTTTATATCACATATGAATGTACATGCTATATTATGATTCTAGAAGAAGCAACATTTATATGAGACAAACCAACCTTGACTAAATTAATTGAAAGTTTGAAACTTGTAAAGCCAACAAACATTTCTTGTTGGATCCATTAAAAAGTTGTTCGTCGATACTACATGACCGACATGACACAAAATTGGTAATTTAATACTTTTGGTATGGTTGAAACAGAAACAGAAACCATCAAATCAGAATCAGATTTTTAACTCTTTTGCCCTTCTTAAAACCAATCCTTTCCTAGATTCTCTCCTAAAACAGAGAAACTACAGAGTTTGGAATCAACAGAGACTCTCTCTCTGGCTAAACGTTGCTTCCCTGGGGAGAACTATTTTTAATTCGTTAAGTGTGTTTCCTCTTCAGCTTTAGCAAACAAGTTTCGCCACGAAACCAAACAGAGACTTCACACATCCTCATGAGTGTTTTGTGTGCTACGATGATCGTGTGATTCAAAATCCCTAACTTTTTCGAAATTTTCATCTTAAGCGTGACCCTTTAATTCCATGGCGATGTCTCTTCGTTCCGCTCCATTCATCTCTCTCCGTGCAAGAAAAAGCTTCAACCTTTCTTCGAGAACTATCGTTCTTAGGTTATCATGCTGTTCTTCTCCTGGTGGGTCTTCCCAAAATCAGAGCTTTTCTACAGATTCAGAGAAGAAGAGATCATTCGCTGTTGCCACCGGTGAGCTTTTCATCGGAATTGCGTCGAGGCTTTTGAAGAGTTCTAAGCAGAAGACGCCGTTGGTTGATGATGATGGAGATAGAATAGCAAGTGTGGTTGAGGATGAGATTGAGCCAGCGATGATATGGGAACAAAGGATTAAGGATGTTGAAGCGGAGAAAGAGAGGAGAGTCATTACAAGCCCTGGGTTTAGTTTCTCTGCTGCTGGTCTTTTGTTTCCTTATCATCTTGGAGTTGCTCAGTTGCTTATTGAAAAGGGTTACATAAAGGTGCTTCATTTTTCATGATTATCTTGTCTTGTGTTTTTTTTTTTTTTTTTGAACAAATCTTGTCTTGTGTTTACAAACCTTTATGGATTGAGGAAAGAACTTGATTTTGTTGTGTGTTGATTGATATAGGAAACTACTCCATTAGCAGGATCGTCTGCTGGTGCTATAGTCTGTGCTGTGATAACCTCAGGAGCCTCTATGCAAGAAGCCCTTGAAGCTACCAAGGAACTTGCTGCTGATTGTCGGCGTAATGGCACTGCTTTTCGTCTTGGGGTAATGAGCCTTCTTTCTCTGTACATTGACAAATGTTTAGAGCCATGGAGTTCGTATAAGTTCCTACGTGTTGCTCTTTTCTGTTTATCAACACAAGACCCACTTATGTTGCTGTGATGTTTTGGCTTTAAGTTACATTACAAAGCTGTTCATACAAGTTCCTGTGGTTTTAGGCTGTCCTCAGAGAATCTATGGAGAGATTACTGCCAGATGATATTCACATTAGGTCCAACGGGAGAATTAGGGGTGAGTAACAACAACTTCTTACTTCAACTTGTATTCCTCATACCTTGTCTTCGGGTCTGACGTTGTTGATCATTCAACCGTATTGTAGTTGCCATCACACGGGTGTTTTGGAGACCTAGAGGTTTACTAGTGGATCAGTTCGACTCTAAGAGCGACTTGATAGATGCAATTTTCACATCTTCCTTTATTCCAGGGTAAATATCAGTCTTTTTGCTTTTGAAACTTTGCGAGTTTTCTGGAATTCAACACTTTAAGAACCAAAATTTAAAATACAATGCAGATATCTTGCACCAAGACCTGCAACGATGTTCCGTAATCGAGTTTGTGTTGATGGAGGTTTAACATTGTTTATGCCACCAACAGCTGCTGCTAAAACAGTATGTACATGGTTGTTGTGTTGTTTTGTTCTCATTTACTTTTTCTTTGGCACCTGCTCTTCAGCTGTTCATTTCATATCTTTGAGCTGCTAAAGACTGTGTGACCTTTTCCAATATTGGAAGCCCTATTGTATGTTCAATCCATTTCACTTCTGTAGATGTTCCATTCCATGTAGCTTACTGAAATTTCTGCATCAATCTTTCGCAGGTTCGAGTTTGTGCTTTTTCCGCGAGTAATTTCAAACTAAAGGGTATTGAGATCTCCCCAGATTGCAACCCTTTAAACAGGGCAACAGCTAGACAAGTAAGTGCTAAGTTTCTTTGAATGAGATCGTTCTCTTTTGAGAGTAAGTTTGTTAATCTTGGTTTTTCTGATACTTAGCTATTGAATTGGGCACTGGAGCCAGCAGAGGATGAGGTGTTGGAAAAGCTCTTTGAGCTGGGATACGCAGATGCAGCTGCATGGGCGGAATTGAATCCAGTCGATGAACTTGTCTATGACGATACTCCTACAGCTCAAGAGATTCCTGCTAGTTAAAAACACACGAACTCAATACTTTATTACAGTAACCACCAATACTAGTCACCTTAATTCCGCTACTAAAGATTCTGATAGTTTTATCCAGAAACTGGCTTAAGTCACAGTAAGCTGTAGCTCGTAGATCAAACAAATCAAATGGTACATCATTTTCAGTTTGTTCATATGCTTGTTCATAAAAATAAATAAAAAAAGGCATTTGCTGGCAAGAGTCGATATTATGATCAAAAGATTTTGTATAGAGTTGTCCACTATATTTAGCATGGATCATTCAACATCAATCTGGGATCTCATAGAACAAGTGCTTGCAAGAGTCAAGCATTTCTTTTAATACCCCTTTCTTATTTAGCATGTATCATTCAACATAAAAAAGAGCCATTAACAAAATATTGAGTGGAGATGCATCTGTCTTTGATATGACAACATAAAAACAAAGGAGCCATTAACAAAACTTTTGTCTAACAAACAAACATTATTCTACCCACATTAGCCTCACAAAGCTTTGCAATTTATTAGTGTGGGCAAAAGTAAAATTCTTCTTGCTTCATACTCTGAGAGGTTTCCTATTTGGTTATGATTGTATCCGCATGATCTCATCTAGGCTAAGGTAGAGGTAACGGATCAGGTATGGATATAGGAGGTAAACTGTCGTGCATATACACCATTACAAAGAAGGACAACATGCCGATGGAAAGAAGTAGTAGCGGGCCTGCTGGGACTGGTTTCCGGGTAGATGCCAAACGAAATCCTGCAAGAAAGTTGTAGAAAGAAGAGAAAATCATGTGCCATGAGAAGAGATCTATTGCACATTTGAAATATATGCAAACACAACGCAGATCTTCTTAAGAGGAGCTTACCAAAGACGGAAGAGAAGAGGAAGGCAGCGCCAAGTCCTATGGTGTCGCCAAGAACTCTTGTCTCTGGTGATTTAGTAAGGAAGTAGGCCTAGCCAAACATTGGCATGCTCAGTTAGTAAGTTTGTAACCATTCCAACAGTAGAACAATAAGATTTCGTTGATCAAAAATCGAGATGGGAAGCACAAAGAGACAAAAATGGTTTCGTAGAAGACAAACATTAGAGGAACACAATCAACAAGAAACAACACAGTGGCTAACATAGAAAACAAACAATGGATATTGCAGCTGACAACAGACAAGCTTCTTAACTCATTAGAGTTGATCAGACCTTCAAATCTAATACTCACCAAGAGGGGATCTCATTTCAAAAGGTAAGAAAGCATAGACGAAAATCAAACGACCGCGTTTAAAAATCCAACTATATGATTTGAAAGGGACTGGAGTAGGCTACATTAGAGAAGAATCTAGCAGATCAACTATAAAAGATACTTTTTTAAGTCTCCTAATACCATTTTCTCACGGAATTGAAACAAAGCTTGGAAGAGAACCACATTAAGCAGAAACAATGACTTCAACAGTGCTCTTAGTTCCTCACTACCTATTCCTCAAAGGTTAACTTCAGATTTAAGAGACTATACAACAAAAGAATTAACAAAAAAGAAGAGACAGAGAAAGATCTTACAGATGCCATAAGAGCAGAACCGGTCAAACCCCCAAAGAGAGAACCTTTGCTTCCAGATTTGCTATCTTCAATTTTGGGGGGGACAAAGGTTCAAAATTTAGTGAAGTGGGCAAACCCAAAATCGAAACAGAGGTGAGCTCATGAAATCATTAAACTTACAGGCGAAGAGACCGCCTCCGAGAAGAAGAACACCATAAGCAGCAGAGGCGACTGGTGCTAGCTCCGACAGCTCCGCCCTGCAGCAGAGACCGTAACTTCGTCTGCTTTTCGATTTCTCAGACAACTTAGTAAGTCCCGACCAATTGCGGCCACCATTACTGAAACTTCTCCCGAGTTTAGTACTCCTCACCGACACCAGAGACGGAGATGGTAACGTTAGCGCAAGAGACGACATTGCTTCGCCGAGTGGTCTCGTCAGAGTATGTATAAAAATGGATCAAATATGACAAAAGCTCAGTTTTTTACTTCTTACGGCTTCGGTTTAAATGTTTAATCGGTCTGATTCGGTTTAATTTTTCCGGTATTTAAAATATCGGTTCGATTGCCAATTGAAACCAAAAACTAAATTCAGTGTGGTTTACTATCAACTTTTTCAATAATTTCACCTACATTTTTTTCATTTTAGTACATTTTGATAAATTTTTCATTAAATTTCTATAGAATTTTTTTAGTAATTTTGGTTTGGTGGCTCTTAATCCAATTAACCGAATCCGAATTGAATTAGCCAAACTTCGGTTCATTTGAAACGTTCCGGCTTATTTGGTTCGGTTAATACAGATTCTCAACCGTTTGTTTATTATAACATCATCACAAATCAATGTTTACAAAAACCAATTCACACTGTTGTTTGCTCTAATACTATACACTAATACACATCACCAAGTAGAAGCATTTGAATCTTCTTTCTTTCTTTTGGGTTATTTTTTTGCAGAATCTCCTATACAAGAAGCAACGTTTTAAATCTTGATGTGTCTTTTATGAACCTAACTAAGAACCTACACACACAATCACTACCTAAACAACCTCATCGTCTAAAACACACGAGGTTGATTAATGTATCATCATCACTCTTCTTTACCACAACCTAGGAAAGACAAGGATGGGATCTTCTTGATAAGAGTTTGTACTACTTGAGAAGCCGAGGGTCGCAACGATGGAGGGCTACGAAGACAGTAAGCAGCCACACTTAGCATTGTCTTAACCTCTTCTAAATCAAGACTAGTGTCCCTTGACAACCTAGGATCCAAGAACTGTCTCGCTTTCTCTTCCGCGATATCTCCATTCGAATCAAGAATCTCGTGGATCAATGGAGCGGCTGCGTGCACTAGCATCTCGCCTTTTTCACTGCTAACCGCTTCTTTCCCTGAAACCAACTCAAGAACCACCACTCCAAACCCATACATATCCATCTTCTTGGAAGCAATCCCGGTTTTTAAGTAGTGAGGATCAGTGTACCCTGGAGAACCAATCATCATCACTTGCTTGGATCGAGGTGACATCGTTGACATTGTCTTAGAAGGCTGAACCATCGATGAGAACCCGACTTTGGCTGATCCAAAATCGCATAGCTTGGAGTTGAAATGCTTGTCAAGAAGTATGTTTGAGGATTTGATGTCTCCATGAACAATCTGAGGACTACATTTCTCATGAATATGTTCAATCGCTTGCGCAACCTGAAACGCTATAGCGGTTCGGTTTCTCCATGGTAACACTTGCTTGCTGTTGCGGTTAAGCTTCTCTTGGAGGTTACCTTGAGGAAGGTATTCTAGTAACAGTGCACCACTTTCTTCTGCAAGATAGACAACAACAACAACATTAGATAGATTCACACTACTAACCACAAATGATTTGCAACAATGAAAAGCTAATCATATCCAAACCAATTAGTGTAAAAGTGAAAGTAAAATAAAAAACGAATCTACAAATTAAAAAAAAAACAAATTGTAATCAGGACAAGACAAGAATAAAGCTTAAAGTTTAGTTCTTTATAAAGTATTTGACTTTTATGAGTGTGAATAATTCATAGGACAAGTTCTTGAATTAATCAAACAAATCAAGAATCCAAAGCAAAATGAAACCAATCAATGAATTAGCTAATCTCATTGAATTTTTTCAAAACGGATTTAGAGAGAGAGATTAAGGAACCTGAATCGTCAAAGTAACCAAGAAGCTTAACAATGTGAGGATGTTGAAGACGAAGCAAAATCTCAAGCTCAGACCTAAACACTTGGTAAAGACGATGACTACTAACATGAACCTTGAGAGCAGCGTTGATAGAGCCACCAGACAAACGAGCCAAGTAGATACTACTGTAGCCACCAGAACCAATAAGCCTAGAGAAATTGCAAGTGAGAGACTCAACATCGTCCCAGGTATAACAAGTCACACCGGAGACAGAACCAGATCCTGTAATCGTGGGTTTGTTGTCGTTGTCGGTGGTCGTGGCTGAAACATGGAAACGGACACAACTTAAGAAACAAGACATTTTTGGAAATGATGAGAGTTTAGAGTGAAGAGAAGGGTTCTTGTTTATAGTAAGAAGAACCAAAAAGTGGGTTTCTTGGAAAATGAAGAGGGGTTTTTTGTAACAGCCGACAAAGAAGGAACAGAGGAATCAGAGAATGAAGATCTTGGTTTTTTAGGAATGTGTGTGTTTGGTGGGTTGTGATTAAACAAGATAAAAATGAGTTCTTTGGATTAAGGAAGAAGAAGAGAGAGAGAGATGAAGGGTTTGACCAGTTTTGTGATTAATTAAGAGGAAGAAGAAGAAGAAGCTGCACTGACGTTATAACCACTACGAACGATTTCACTCTATTAATAATATTGAACACAACTTTTTGTTGCCGTTTTGTCTTTTTATATAATCAAATCAATAATAATATTTATGGGTATTATTTGCTCACGTATTTGTATTGTTGTTGTATTTTTTTTCTACAAAAGGGTGATTGAAAGTTTTGGTTTTTTTTTTTGAAGAGAGTTGTGAGATTTATATTAGTATATGGTAATGGGGGGACTATAGTGAATGCACCTCGACCTCGGTCGTATGGTTTAAGTCTTTTTCGAAGTTGCTAAGCTAAGCTACCGTCAAATACGAATTTAATCGGGAAGTTTCAAATTGGGGACCATAATGTATTATGTTGTTGGATCGTTTTGTGAATCATCATCTCACGTGTTTGATAATTCCTCTATTCGTTTTGTTTGATTGACAAAAATGCATTATATTTATCAAATTTTAAAAGAAAAAAAAGCACAAAAGTATTTCCATTTTCGATTTTTTTTTCTAGTAAATTCGAAGTTGATTGATATGAGAATGAAATATAGAGTTTGCAAGGTTCATCAATTGGTATAATTTGTCTTATGTAGTGTAGAAAGAGTTTTTTTGTTCTTTTGAAATTTGTCATGGTGTAAAGAAGACGATATACATGTTAATTGGGAAATATTTCATCTTGATTCCTTGCTAAACCATAAAATCTGATTTTGATATCTTGTATATGATTTGTAACTTTTCATATGCATCAATAAAAGTTATAAAACAAGTTAGTGATGAAGTAATCATATGAATTTATCTCATCCAAACTTAAAATAGATGAGCTATTGACTAGAAGCTACCACTTAATTTGATTCTCCCAAACCAAATAGCAGAAGTATCTATTGGTAATTTCTCAATTTTGTTGATTTTTATTCTTACATGATGTTTTAAGTGTAATTTTTAATTTTAATAGATAATCTCTAGTATCCAAAAACAAACATTTCTTATATTTTTTATAAGCTAATTTAACAATTCAGTTCTATAGTGATATACAATATTATTCCTTCCGTTCTTTAATTGATGATCTTTTGGCCTAATTTTTCTTCAAAATTAGATGATTTTCTCACAAACTAATACAAAATTAATTATATTTTATTGGTTTCAACAATTTATATTTTACAAATTCATGACCATGTTTGACTAGTTTTCTATGAAAAAACATTAGTCATTGTTATACAGATGTTTTGTTGTTGTTAACCATTGCTATATTTAGCAATCTAGTCAACAATTTCGGTAAAGTTTACACAAGATTTGCTTATAGATTTTAACAGTAAACTAAAAGAGTGTTTCACAGCAGATTAAGAGAGTGTTTTGTCGGTAATTACTAATTAATTGCTTTCTCCAAAAAAAAAAAACATAGTTCACCTTTATCTTTCTAACAAAGAAGACGTAAATTTATCTTGACTTATAATATAAATCCAATCATAACTAAAGCAACTTTTGTTTTTGTAAATGATTTTTCAAAGAGAAACAAAACACATGACCTCTCCAAAAACAAAAATGTAAACAAGGCACCGCACTACTACCAACCAGACTGACACAAGATTGTTGCACGGGTACATACATGCATACGAGTATCTTTTTCTTTATTTTACTCTCTCTATTCTCTAACCCTAAAAATTTAATAATACACAAACTATATATTATAACAAGTACTTGATGTTCATGTACATACATTAATTCAACGGCAAAGCTATAGCTAGAACGGTGGGGAGAAGAATCATTGTCCCAAATATTAAAATACTTGTTTTTTTCTTCTCTAAGTTAAATTAAATTTGAATCCAAAAGATGTCGTCAAGCAAAGAGATGGTAGATGTAATGTCGTTGTCTCTTCTCCATACTAAAACGTGTGAGGTGCTCTTCTTCTTGACGTTTTGAGTATTATTGTACATTTGTGTTGTGTGTACATATACGAATTTTTCTCTATTGATATTGACCTTGATCAAGCCAACCACTCACCGACACATATTTTTCATGCTTCCTTTTTAATTTAATGCGATCTTTATACTATTCGATGTTAGTACCATTTATATCATTCTTTACATACTCATTCGTGATTCGTGCTGGTCCTTTTTGTGAGTTGCGACTATATTAAATTATACAGCAGCAACGTATAGGTGAGGACTGAGGAGAGTTATTATTCTTCGGAAACACCGATGTATATAGTTTCCTATTTTTAATGTGAATTAACTCATCAACTCTAAATAAAGGTTTTTCTTAACAAACAAAAAAATAAAGGTTTTCCTTATAAACAATATATCGTATAGGTGAATAAGTATGTCATGTTTCGAGTAATTGCTCGATAATTTTACTACCCTTACTTACTGATATAAACTCGAAGAGTAGTCCTATTTATATGTCTTTAATTATGTATACAGTAAAATCTCTAAAAATTAATAATATTAAAACTATGAAACTTTATTAATTTATAAAAGTTTTAATTTATCGATATATTCATAATATTAATTTATAGAAATTTTTTTTCAATATAGAAAACTTTTTCAAAAAAAAATTTAAAATAAGAATTAATCATGATAATTAGTATATCAAAAATCCAAATACTAAACCCGAATCTTTTAAAACGATATCATAAATATAAAATAGAGAATGTAAACCTAAAAAATAAAATTTAAATATTAGTTTTATATAGTATAATTTTTTAAAATGGATAAAAATAAATATGACAAAAACAGAATATTTTTCCAAAACAAATACCAAGAAAATAATAAAAATTTCTCATCATGGGAGATTTGCAAAAAATATTTTTTTTTTAAATTATAGTTTTTCTCATCAACTGAGATTTAATTATGATTTTGGAAATAAAGCGTTTCTTCAAAGAAAAGTAGTGATATTTAGAAAAAGAAATAAAATAAAACAAAAAGGATAATAAAGATGAAAAGATAGGATAACGAATCTGATTTTCTGACATGACAGTGACGGTCGTTGGGCTTTCGGATAGTACAACTACATGACACCTGGGAACTGAAGTGTTGTGGTCACTAGATTGAGACGGTACCACACTACATAATAAACCTTTTATACCCTATTTGGGCCTATACAAGGCCCGTTTACTAAAGACCCATTTTCAAATAAACGAAACGTAAACTTTTCTTACCAAATCCGCCCCCAAAATTTTGAAAATCAAAATCGAACCCTCAAAAGGTCAAAGCGACGGCGAAGGAGAGAGAAGAAGAAGATTAGAGACGGTGGCGATCGAAACCCTGAGCCCTAATTTGATCGGGATCTTGATTCGCCGCCGTACTGCCTCGTCGCTCGGCGGCGGAAATGTGCGGTTGGGGCGATGCGTTTAATCCTCACCATCATGTTCTCATTCATCCCTTACCTTTATTCTTCTTCTCCTCCTCCTCACCGTCCTTGCTCTTCCCCAATCTCTCGCCCTCGTAATCGTCGTTGTCGTCTCACACGTTTCGCCACCGCATTAGTCGCTACCTCCGCTCTTCTTCTCGCCTCCGTCGCTTGGCTCTCTCTCGTCTTCTCTCCGACCACTTCTCGTTGCTGGCATCTCCTTAAGGATTGGGAAGACAATCATCTCTGGAACAAACGGTACCATCGAACTCCGATTGAGATTCATCCTCCTCCGCCGTCTCTTCCGACTCCTCCTTTGTTCGATCATGAATTTAGAAATCGTAGTCTCTCTGAGATTGATAGAGTTGATCTGTTGTCTCTGCGTCACTTGATGTTTGGTATTGCTGGATCTTCACAGCTTTGGGAACGTCGTAAGGAACTTGTGAGGTTATGGTGGAAACCTTTGCAGATGCGTGGCCATGTCTGGCTTGAAGAGCAAGTTTCTCCTGTGGAAGGTGATGATTCACTTCCTCCTATAATTGTCTCTGAAGACAGTTCTCGTTTTCGTTATACTAATCCCACTGGTCACCCTTCTGGACTTCGCATTTCCCGCATTGCCATGGAGACTTTTCGGCTTTCTCTCCCTGATGTTCGATGGTTTGTTCTTGGAGATGATGACACTATCTTTAATGTTCACAATCTTCTTGCTATATTAAGCAAGTATGATCCTTCGGAGATGGTTTATATTGGAAACCCTTCTGAGAGTCACTCTGCTAACTCTTACTTCAGTCATAATATGGCCTTTGGAGGTGGTGGCATTGCCATTAGCTACCCTTTAGCGGAAGCTCTTTCTCGCATTCACGATGATTGCTTGGATAGATACCCTAAGCTATATGGTAGTGATGATCGCCTCCACGCCTGCATCACTGAACTCGGAGTTCCTTTGTCCAGAGAGCCTGGCTTTCACCAGGTATGTATCATCATCTCTGCGTCTATGATCTATTGGAGATCTTCTATATGACAATGCTGATTTCGTGATTTTTTGGCAGTGGGATATTAAGGGAGATGCTCATGGTCTCTTGTCCACTCACCCCATTGCACCTTTTGTTTCAATTCACCACGTTGAAGCTGTTAATCCTCTATATCCGGGATTATCGACTTTAGATAGTTTGAAACTCTTGACAAGAGCCATGAGTCTGGATCCCAGTAGTGTTTTGCAGCGATCCATCTGCTACGATCATACACTTGGACTGACATTTTCGATATCTCTTGGTTATGTTGTACAAGTTTTCCCTAGTATCCTGCTACCACGAGATCTTGAGCGAGCTGAACTTTCCTTCTCTGCCTGGAATGGGATAAGTCAGCCAGGTGAGTTTGATCTTGACATAAAGCTTCCGATTTCATCTCTCTGTAAGAAGCCTATCCGCTTCTTCTTGAAAGAGGTAGGAAGAGAAGGCAATGCTACACTCGGAATGTACTTGAGATCCTCAATAAAGGATGATTTGAAGAGGAAGCTTCTATGTTTTCCACGCTCTCTTCCTCTGCACAAAGTTGAAAAGATCCAGATCCTAGGATTTCCACTGAGTAAAAATTGGCACTTGGTAAGGTTTTCATATTTATCTTTTGATCACCTAATGTATCTTTTATTTTCTTAAAGATTTGCAATTGATGATGCTTCCTCTGTTTTAACTGCTTCGATCAGGCACCGCGACGATTGTGTTGCAGAGCAACCCCAACTACTACTAATGAGCCTCTCAGATTAACAGTTGGGCAGTGTGGGAAGATAATTTTGGGTTCCACGATCAGTTCCCAATGACTTATGTTCGATACTGGACCTCTAAGCATGTTGTTTTCATCTCTATCCTGTGCTTGTACATAGGTAAGATCCAGGACCTTAACTGTTGTCTGACCTAGAATGCTAATCCCCAAAAATTGAATTTATCACTCTTTTGTTTTTTTTTTTCCACTTTCACTTTCTTTTTTTTTGTACATCTGAGAGATTTTAAGAACTCAAAACTTTTTTCAGTTGAGATCACGAGTGTAATGTGTACAACAACAAATCGTCACCACCGAACCATAATCTATCTCTGTGCCTAAGAATGGTTTTGTTGTTTTCCCTATCTACTACTACTACTACAAATTTGCCAATCTTGATATAGCCACATAAATATTTTGTGGGTTTAATATATTTAAAGGAAGAATATATCCACTAGTAGAGGGGGGTGTGTGTGAGGGGTAAGTGGTCCATAGGTTTATGGATTTAGTGCGGATTTAAGGAAAGGTCTTTGGTTGGATAGATTTTTAAGATGTGTGTGTGTGTTTTAAAAAAAAACTGTGGGTTTTTCTAATCAAAAAGAGTGTTGTGGTGATGAGTTGACTTGTCATGAACTCTCTGACACACTGGCAAGTGAGCCCAGGTTTTTGTAAACTTGTTTGTCGTAAACCTTTGAAATTGACATTATGATGAGAGAGCAGTTTCTGCATCATGGCTTCCTATTTTAAGGGGGTCTCCATATAAGTTTAATGCGATGATCAAAAAATATAGCTCAAAGTTAGATCTTATTGTAAGAATTGACTTTATTTGCTGCCACTAAAATGTAGATATGATCGTGTGTGTGTGTGAAAAAAATTAATGGAATTACAAAAAAAAAGTCGCTCGGACAGGTTTAAAAAACCAAAATGTTAGTGTGTGACCCGTCAAAACGATGTTGACTTGTGTTATCTTTAGGGTAAGTCCCTCGTATGACACAAGTTGGGAAAGTAATGAGTTTGACAACTTGTGTCCTAATGAGATCAGATTTATTGGTAGTAGTAGTAGTAGACTAGTAGTAGAGACTAGAGAGAGACGTTAAAGATAAAAATGATTAGTGTTAAGCTTAATCAAAACTCCCTAATCAAGATCTAGATCTCTCCTCTATACGTAAAAAAGAGAGATTTAGAAATTAAGGAAGAGAGACACCGTGAGCATGTTCTTACCACCTCGTAGTCTGATTATACACTCTACTTTTGTTTTTTTTTATATATTTTAAAGTTTTAGAAGAATATAAACTAAACTAAATAATTAAGTGAAATAATGAGAAATGAAAAAGAACACATCACATGTAAATAAGTAATAAATAAGAGAAAAAGAGAGAGAGAGAGAGGGGCATGTGAAAGTGGGGAAGAAGAAGAAGAGAATACAGCTGTGTCTCTCTGTGTGTGTGTGTTTCCGCCGCTCTCTCTCTTTCTTTCCTCTTCAAGAAAGTTCTCCACTTCCACCGCCCACCTTCTTCTTCTTCTTCTTCTCCTTATTGTACTCTTTAAACCTCTTTTTATAACTTTTATTCCTTTTTCTCTAACCATTATTATTAATATTTGCATCTTTCATTTTTCTAATTTTTTGGTTTTGCTAAAAAAAATATATTTAAAGAATAATACATAGTATACCATTTTTTCATGTTTTAGAAACGTAATTTTACTTGTTTTTTACTATTTAAAATATTTATTGAGTTTTTACGTATTATAATTTACAAAAATTGATTTCGCTATATGTTTTTAGGATATTATAAGAATATCTTAGTGAAAATCAGCAGAATGTGTAAATCTACTATTTTTTTTACTATTTAAAATATTTATCGAGTTTTTACGTATTCTAATTTGCGAAAAGTGATTTCGTTATATGTTATTAGGATATTAAAAGAAAATATAACTGAAATTAACAGAATGTAATTCTGCTATTATTTTACTGTACAAAATATTTATCGAATTTTCACGTTTTTTTAATTTACAAAAATTGGATCTAGCTATATATTATTAGCATATTAACATATAACTAACATAATTCATCAACTAAAACTATTTTTTATATTATTATTCTATAATTAGTTTAAGGAATATTTTGTCCAATTTAATTCGTTATGCTAACAATGATTTAACAGCTTTGTTATTATGCTATATTCCTGACATATCTCTCATGCATATAGTTTATTTTCCTTTTTATATATAACTAGATATCAGCTGTCTATTTTTGTGTAGCGTGTAATTTGGTAATATGAAAATGAAATGTGAATTTTTTTGTTATTTTTGGTTATTTAAAAAAAAATTATATGTGTAGGTGAGAGGTATTTAAGAGTTGTATAATGTGACAGTGTGAGTGTCTGCATCAATGTCTTGAGTTTGCAACTAATTTTAGATATGAGGCTATTCAATTTTCTGTTCATCATCACTCCTATCTTTTTTTATTCACCACACTCTTTACTATCTCTCTAATGTACTTATATCCCATTACTTCACCTAATTGTTATAAGGTTTCTTTATTAGAAATTTGTATAATTGTATTTGTACTTTCTCTCTGTCGAAAAATCTGGATACCAAAAACAAAATATCCTTGAAAAAATTTGTAGTACTTGACTTTTATTTTGATATACTAGTTAGCAATCTAGGGGGAAACAAATTGAAATTTTTAGAAGAACAACATATAACAGTTTCATCTTATTGTTAATTACTCAACTTTTTTCTAGTATTGAATTAGACACATTTAACTTTGATAGTGTTGGATGTTGGTACTAGTGGTTTGGCTTTTTATCAAGCTTATTTTTTTCACATGTTTTAATGAGTTATATAAAAATCTCAGATTTTAGATATACATCTAACAATGAGACTTAATACATAAAATACATGATTGGTAATATAAAACGGTATATAATTATTCTAATAGATGGAAAAATAACCGATAATAAAATGATAGAAAACAGTGTAAAAATAGCGGTACGAAAAAAACTAACAATATTATTTTCATTAATAGTAATTATCAAAACATATATTTACCTTAAGGATATTGTAAACATTTACTAATCGAATTCAAATAGCTAAGAATAATCCGAAATTAAACCACTTGTCTATGTATGATTTCATAAGCATATAAATTCATTGGTATTTGTATTGGAGTTTACTATAGTTTTTTTTTGTATTTTTCGACATCACTATAGTTAGGTCTGTTTCTAAAACTGTGTATATTACACAAAAATTGATAAAAGAGAGAGAGACTGTTGAATTGGAGATGTTGAAAGAGAGTGGGCAAAAGAAAAAAAAAAAAAAAAAAAAAAAAAAAAAGATGTCAAGGCTGGTCCAGCTCAAATCGGGTAAAAAAACTAGTAAATTCCAGTTTTGCCCCTTCTCTTCTCTCTAAAAATCTGATTGTCACATACCCTACCAATCAGACAACGCCACGTGGATAATTTAGACATGATGGTGGGAGAGGACAACAACATGGGAGGCACATGATTTTGTGTTTATTATATATTTGTTTATTTTCACAAAATAATATTTAAATTAAAAAATAAAAGATTTAACCCCCAATAAAAATAAATAAAATAAAAATCAGTGGCAATGAGATGTTTGCGGATCCCAAATTTAACTTTTAAAGCATTCCCTTCTATAAAATAATTGGATTTAAAAATTAATGTAAATAATAAAAATATGTGGACCTTTTTTATTTATTTATAATGATAATGAAAAAAAAAAAAAAAAAAAGAGAAATAAATAAATAAATAAAGAAAAAGGGGAGAGAGTGAAGAAAAGTGGGTTTAACAATAATTTGCTGCAAAGTTAGAAGAGAGAGCTTCAGCTTTATTAACTTCCTTCTTTGCTTTCATTCTCTTTCTCTCTATCTATCATCATCATCCTCGTAATCCTCATCATCATCATCATCATCTCTCTCTCTCTTTCTCCATACCCTAGTTGCAGTAAAAAAAAGGCTGCTTAGCTTCTTCTTCTTCTTCTCTCTTTCTTCTTTCATATCTTCATCAATGGTTTTTATGAGATATTAAACCAAGACTGTAAGAGAGAGCTAGCTAGAGAGAAAGAGAAAGAGAGTGTTGTATAAAAAGTGAAAATCTAGAGATGGAGCAAGTAGGTGGTGGTGGTGGTGGTAATGAAGTTGTGGAGGAAGCTTCACCGATTAGTTCAAGACCTCCTGCTTCTAATAACTTAGAAGAGCTTATGAGATTCTCAGCCGCTGCTGATGACGGTGGAGGTGGTGGTGGTGGTGGTGGTGGTGGAAGTGCGTCTTCTTCATCGGGAAATCGATGGCCGAGAGAAGAAACACTTGCTCTTCTTCGGATCCGATCCGATATGGATTCTACTTTTCGTGATGCTACTCTTAAAGCTCCTCTTTGGGAACATGTTTCCAGGTTTGTCTTTCTTTCTTTTTTCTCTTCCATTGTTCATCAATGGTGTTTTCTTGATGATTAAAGATCCATTTGCATGTGTTTTTTTTTTTCTTTCTTTAATTGTGTTTGGTAATAATATATATAAATAGTAATATATTCTGAGATCAAAGCATCTTCACCATCCCCAAGAAAAATAAATTGTTTATTTACAGACTTGGCTCTCATGAGTTTCTGTGACGTTTTCGATTTTGTAAATCCCAATACTCTTTAAGATAAAAAAAAAAAAATCCGATCGAACAGTACCCATGATTTTTTCTTTTTCTTACAGGTAAATAACACAGAATCTGAAATTTTCATGTTTTGAACAGGAAGCTATTGGAGTTAGGTTACAAAAGAAGTGCAAAGAAATGTAAAGAGAAATTTGAAAACGTTCAGAAATATTACAAACGCACTAAAGAAACTCGTGGTGGTCGTCATGATGGTAAAGCTTATAAGTTCTTCTCTCAGCTTGAAGCTCTCAACACTACTCCTACTCCTCTTCAACCACATCCTCATCCTCCTTCATCTTCCTTAGATGTCACTCCTCTCTCCGTTGCTAATCCCATTCTCATGCCTTCTTCTTCTTCTTCTCCTTTTCCTATCTTCTCTCAACCCCAACCGCAAACGCAACCGCCTCAAACGCATACTGTCTCTTTTACTCCTACTCCACTGCCTCCTCCTCCTCCAATGGCTCCGACCTTTCCGGGAGTTACTTTTTCGTCTCATAGCTCATCGACGGCTTCAGGAATGGGGTCTGATGATGATGATGACGAGGATATGGATGTGGATCAAACTAACATTGCGGGTTCTAGTAGCCGCAAACGCAAACGTGGGAACCGCGGAGGCGGTAAGATGATGGAGTTATTCGAAGGTTTGGTTAGACAAGTGATGCAGAAGCAAGCAGCGATGCAAAGGAGTTTCTTGGAAGCGCTTGAGAAGAGAGAACAAGAACGTCTTGATCGTGAAGAAGCTTGGAAACGTCAAGAAATGTCTCGGTTAGCTCGAGAACACGAGGTCATGGCTCAAGAACGAGCCGCCTCTGCTTCTCGTGACGCCGCGATCATTTCATTGATTCAGAAAATTACTGGCCACACTATTCAGTTACCTCCTTCTTTATCATCTCAAACGCCTCAAATACCGCCGCATCAACCGCCTCAACCGCCACCAGCCGCTAAACGTGCTCATCAAGAACCACAATTATCAACAGCTCAATCACAATTACAGCAACCTATAATGGCGATTCCGCAACAACAGATTCTCCCTTCTCCTCATCTTCCTCATCAGCCAGAACAGAAACAACAACAACAACAACAACAAGTACAAGAGATGATCGTGAGCTCGGAACAATCATCATTATTACCGTCATCATCAAGATGGCCAAAGGCGGAGATACTAGCGCTTATAAACTTAAGAAGTGGCATGGAACCAAGGTATCAAGATAATGTCCCTAAAGGACTTCTATGGGAAGAGATCTCAACTTCAATGAAGAGAATGGGATACAACAGAAACGCTAAGAGATGTAAAGAGAAATGGGAGAACATAAACAAGTACTACAAGAAAGTTAAAGAAAGCAACAAGAAACGTCCTCAAGATGCTAAGACTTGTCCTTACTTTCACCGTCTCGATCTTCTTTACCGCAACAAAGTACTCGGTGGTAGTGGTGGTGGTGGCGGTTCAAGCACTTCTGGTCTACCTCAAGAACAAAAGCAGAGTCCGGTCTCAGCGATAAAACCGCCTCAAGAAGGAGTTCTTAACGTTCAACCTCATGAGTCAGGTTCAAGTGAGGAAGTGGAGCCTATAGATCAGGAAAGTACTCCACAAGGAACAGAAAAGGTATAAACTTTGCTTTTCGTTCTCAAAATGTGATTTGGTTTTATGTTCTTTGATAACTGAAATATGATTGTGTTGGAATTGAAGCCAGAAGACCTTGTGATGAGAGAGCTGATGCAACAACAACAACAACAACAACAACAACAAGAGTCAATGATAGGTGAGTATGAAAAGATTGAAGAGTCTCACAATTACAATAACATGGAAGAAGAGGAAGAGGAGATGGATGAAGAAGAACTAGACGAAGAAGAGAAATCCGCGGCTTTCGAGATTGCGTTTCAGAGCCCTGCAAACAGAGGAGGCAATGGCCACACCGAGCCACCTTTCTTGACAATGGTTCAGTAAAAAAAAAAAAACACTTCAGAACCATTGTTTCAAGAATGTACTTATGTGTGCATAGTTTCTAAACAAAACACCCAAAAAAAAAAACACAAAACACACAAACACACATCTGACACCACAAGCTGAAACAAAAAATAAAATCAAAGGTCTCATCGATCTTTAGATTTTTTTTTTTTTTTTTCAGTGAATACAATTCTTTTTTTTTCACATTCTTTCCCTTTTGTCTCTTTGTTTGTTTTCTTCTCTTGTTCATTGTTTTCTTCTTCAAACACCATTGTTCATCACACACACACACACCCACATGAACAAAAACTCTAGTCTTTTAGATTATTTTGGAGTTGTAATTCATCATCAAGTCTCACACTTTTTTTTCTTTCTTTACATTTTCTTTCTTGAAAAACATTTGTTGATTGGTTAATTGGGGAATAAAGAGTCATCTTTTATATTTTTTTCATTCCTTCCTTGTTAAACAAGAGAGAAACACATATATCAACTGTTTATTACTATAGATGATTTGAGATTATTGGCTTACTCACACTTAGCTTTTTTGACTGAGAAGAGAAGAGAGAAGAATCTGTAATATGTGTGTGTGTGTGTGTTTTTATAGCGGCGCCCACATAATACAATCCGATAAGCCATTATTCAATTTTGGTGTCACAATCAGTTTTTTATATATAAAAACAGGGTCGCTCAAAGTTTTGTTCTTTTGTTTCAACTTTCTCCTTTATTTTGCTCTCTTACAAATCAAAAGCATGTGCAGGCTTTTGTACTTACAACGACAAGACTCGTGCCACTCTCATGTTAACTCATTGTTCATCTTCCTGTATTTTTCTTTTTTCTTTTTATGTATATATATACTTTTTACTCTTTTGAATATATATATAAAAGAGAATATAGAAACATGGATTGAGACAGCATGATCACACACACCAAAAAACATATAAAAGATTAAAAAAAAAAAAGAAGAAGGAGAAGAAGGAGAAAAGAAAAGATTCTCTGTATCTTTTGTGATGGAGAGAGTAATAATGGAGGAAATGGGTACAGGTAAGAAAAAAAGGAGTTAAGTAAGCACTTTGGTTTTTGCCAACTTGGCTTTTCACCTCTTTGTGTCTCTCTTACACAGCTGCCTTCAACGTGCAATCATATATATGTATGTATCTAATTATACAGATATTACAAAAATTGTAGTTGTTGTGTATAAAATACAACCAATATGCTTGCATTTTGCCCTGTCCTACCCATGTGCCTTTGTTTTGTTTTCTTTTTTTTTTTCATTTTTATTTTGGTTTGGTTTGGTTCTAATTACGTATATTGAGGGTCACCTCACCTTAAAAACAAATGCCAACAATGTAATCTTCTTACATTTTCACATGTGATCTCTCTCTCACACCATTAAACTCAATAAAGATTAAGATCTCTGTTTAAGTAACTGATCACATGCTTGTGTTTAGATGTAGTTTCCTTTTTGATTAGGCTTTTTCCCCTCTAGACCACTATATTCTCTATTTTTTTGTTTGTCTTTTTTTTTTTCTTTCTTATGAAGTTGAAAATGACACAAGTGACCGCAAAGATGTGGTCCATCAGTAAAAGAGAATTGGAAAAATATTGAATAAACTAACCTCATGTTCGATACACCCTAGAAACAAAAATCACAGTAAAAAATCTGAAATTCAATTGGTTTATTTGGTAGTCAGAAATATATGCAACCTGAGTACCCCTATTAGAAATCATTTTGTATAGTCATGTAAGATGAAACTACCTTTTTTTTAACTAGTGTCAATTACAAAGACAACGATACAAATTTTAAGTTCAATATCATCTTTTAAGGATATGGTAACTGGGAATCGAACAAATGTTAGATAAAAACACAATTCAAATCCAATCAACTAATAAGTCCCAACTTCCATTTACACAAGTAAAGGGCGTTCCCTTTTTTTCAGACTCTTAGGTCACTTTTTCCCCAAGAAAACAAAATTTTTATCACGTAAAACAAATAATGGGGAGAAAGATCCACAGTTGGAAACTATAAAGCTGTAGTTTATATAAGTTAGGAAGTTTAGTCGAGTTCTGCTCTGCTTTTACTTCTCTTCATCTTAGCCTTGAACCTTGACTTCACCATCAATGTCTCTACTGTGTTTATGAAGTTTCCAACGGCCATCACAACCAGAAGAATGCCACAAACCAATACCTGCCCCAGTATTCACATTATCGACATTGAAAACCTTTGTGATAAAACCGAATTATGCGTTTTGAAGATAAGTTACTAGTTTGGAACTGAGAAACAAGAGAAGCAAGAGACTGAGTTTTCGATATTCACAAGTTTAATATATCGATGATATCTATTCAAGTATCGTCTACATCAATATTTTATGCTTTCCTGTCAGACTGGTGCGTGAATAAACCAATATGGATAATGTACAAATGCTGCTAGAGGAGAGATTTATACCTGCCATTCAGCCACTACCCCCATTAATACTGTCCTAAGCAACTGCAGTCCCACGTATGCTTCAAAGCCCTGAGTTTCCAAAGTAGAATAAGAAAATGTTTAACTACAATATGATAAAACAAGCTTATGAACTTAGTAGGGGTCCAAAGGTGATCTTTTCACTGTTTCGACAATCTTACAAGTCTGAGCGGACATCATGAAGTTTGGTTTTACTAAGTAAATATCTTCAAAGAGATATTTGAGTTCCAAGTATATCCTTATGTAAGCCATGCGTACAAATAATAGCTAGAAATCAACAGTTAACTACACAACTCTCGCCTTATGATGAAGGAAATATGAAGCTATAAGATGCTTTAGCGTAACCTTCTGTGTAATTAATTGTGCAAGAAGAGTAGAACTGTTACCTGTAAAGTGAATAAAATAGGAAATAATAGCAATAATTGCCCATCTACTCCAGCTGTTTCTCCCCATACAACGTCCATCCTCTTAGCCTGAAAATGACCACAGCGCATATATTTACAGCCATTTCATAGTGGCAGATAGGATTTGGACCAGAGAAAAATGTAAACAGCATGGCACCTTTCCTAGTGCAATGCGAGTGTATAATCTTTGGCGTTGATATCGATTTTGCAGAAGCATCGCAATACCTTGCATCATAGCCCATTGGAGGAAAAGACGCACCCCTTTCTGCACGGATTTAGAATGTAACCCATAACATTTGTATGGTAGCTTTTACTATGCATATATGATCAAGTTAATAATCTCTACCTGCTTCTGAACGCAGTTTGGTTGACCTTTGATTTCCCAAGTGAGACTGACAAGGGCCATTGCCATTGCAAAATAATGATGATAAAGCCACCTGAAAAGAAAATCGATCAAGAGGTTTAAGTCATCTTCAACCCACGCAAAAATATATGTTGTGAAGATAACACACAATAAAATCAGTCTAAATAACAAGATCCACTTCAGATCAAATTCCTTAACCCACTGAGGTCTTTATGGGCGACTTAAGCTTCTCATTTATTCTCTAAATGGTACTGTATAAATAATCAATCTCTAACTGACGATAAAAATAAGCTACCTCTTATAACAGCAATCCCATATTTCCATTCAATACCAAACGGTAGATAATATATAGGTAAATCACAGTGTAAAACTTTCTGCATTACACTGCCAGAAAAAATTCCTATCATCCACTAAATTCTAATGTCCCTAATTCAGCAGTGCGGTCAGTATAAACTTAGAGAGGTACCAAAACCAGAGGAAAACACAACGGGTAACAAAACATTGATCAGATAGGCAGCGACTATTGATTCGATGAGTTTCTTGTAGTCAACCTAACAACCTAGAGTAAATAGTAATTTTCACGGGCAGACACAAGAGAGCAAATAGACAAAGGAGAAACAGTAGCACACAGGGTCTAATTGACGGTAGTGAATATAGAACCTCTAGTCAGTGTAGCAAAACAAAACATAATGATCTATTTTACTCACTGTTATATCATGTGACTTACAGCAATAGCATAAGAAAATTACATAGACCTAGAATAGATCAAAATTTATAACACTGGAATACTGGATACCAATAGCAAAACAATTGTTGAGAATAGGATAAAAGTACCAACCAAGAACGGATATCACTCCCGTTAGCTCTTAAAATGTTCTCTCGCATAACCAAACCAGCATAAAGGAACAGAAGCCACGCCTGATAAAAGAGGTTTACATGTCAACCAGAACCACATACACATAGCAAGTAACTCGAAACGAGCACGAATTCAACCATAGTTATGTACCTCATAGAGCTGAACAGGGAATGCAGGCAAACATCCATCCCACACATAAGATCTTAATGTCAAAAGTATTGCAGGGAAAACAAGAAAAAGAAGAGCTGTCCTATCCTGTTTCCATGGAAAAGACAAGTAATTTAACACTGAAGCAAGATCCAACCAACCACATAAATGGGGAAAAGCAAAGTAGCAAACACTAACTCTGTAGCTATTGTATTCTTCTTTAACTTTAAGCTGTATATCTTTTCGTGAAGCTCGAACATTCACAGGTCCCAGAAACATTCTTACAAAGCGTCCTGCTTTTACAATCATAAGATATGAGATTAACTCAAAACATGACCAAAAGTCTAGTCCTTTTAACAATGGGATCAACTCAAAATATGAATCTGAATTTGATCATTGATCTCAAAGAGAGACAACAAACCTTGAGGTTTGGAGGGAAGAAACGATGAAGTGTCTCCATCAGCAAGCATGCATCTAGCACGTTGCAGATCTTCCTCTAGCTATAAACAATAGAGAAAGAGAAAAAACGAAATTTCAGAATCGGAGAAACCGAGAAACAGATAAAGAGATAGGTTTTTTAAAATCCCACCTTTTCGAAAAGTTTGGGATCGAGATGTTTGTCGGAGGCAAGAGTTGAGTGGAGACGGCGTATAGATGAGTCAACGACGGAGGCTCGTTTACGGAGAGAGAGCTCTTCATCGGAAGAAGAAGAGACGAAGGAGGTGGAAGAGTCGTGAAGCTCTTTAACTTGTTCGACGATTCGTTTCACTTCTTCTTCAACCTCCATGGATCCGTAAGATGAGATCGGACTTGTGTGTCCAAATGAGAAAAGATCGAAACTTTGAGAAAACCCAGAAAATAAAGGAAGGATTTTTAGAGACGAGAGGAGGAAGAAGAAGAAGAACAAGTATTTGGGTGTGTCTTAGTTGTTTGGTAACTACGGATCGATCAATCGCACGGATCTTTTGTCATGCTCTTCCAAAACCCTCACCGAGTCCCTACCACATCGCAATCTATAAGCATCACTTTCTTTATTTTTTATTTTTTTTCTTCTTGTTTAAGTTTATTTCATATACTTCATTTTTGGAATAGTATTTTTTTTATGTCGGCAATTTTAAAACAGTTTTTAATATTTATTTTTTGCTTAGGTTTTACAATCTATAATTGCAAAAAATGGAGAAGTCTTTTTGTTCAAACTATATTTCATTAAAAACGTTAAGTGTCAGTCTCACTAAAATGAGAAGGTATTACAACCCAAAGGAAAGGGTGAAAACAACATAAACTGGCCACAAGTGCCGGAAAGTACAGATAGAAATAGTACACTAGGGATAAATTGAGGATAGAGTTCATCAAATGAAACTAAAAGAGATTGTAAAAGAACCATCCCTAAAGCTCCATGAGAACAAGCATCCACTGCAACCCAAATGGTTACAACCTCTGCAACAAGGGCAAAGAGAACAGCCAGCCGGGAGGAAGATCCTTGCAAAACCGGCGCTGCTTGATTATCCAAACCACTCCAACAAAGAGCAAGTTTTGGGAAGAAAGGATGGCAATGGGTGCCACGATGTGGAGGCTCAGCCTTAAACAAGAACTTTACTTCCTTCTTCACGTCTAACAAACCAAAGACGCTAATGCTAAATATTGGGACAGAGCCCTTAGCAATACACTTGATTAGAACATGTCTAACAAGAACCTCAATACAAGGTAAAGCGGAAGCACTAAAAAAGTGATCCGAGAGAATCAAAACCTCATCCAAGATAACGCCAATTGCAATGACAGAAATCCAAATGTGAAAGTTAAGATTACAAAGCTCACCATTCCATCGAACAAAGCTAGTTAAGCCTTTCTCTAAATTAATTTTAGAAAGCCAACTAAAACTTGTGAATGGCGGGTATATGAGCAAGGGATTAGAAGCAGACCTTAACGAGATATGCTCGTAATGGATCTGACAATCAGGACTGCACACAGCAGTATACCATCGAGAGTCAAGGCCAAGAGTGTAACTGGCAGGGGACTCACACGATGGGTGGAGATGACTCGGGAAAAAGATCACCAAAGATCGCTGACCGGAAATCTGAGGAAGGAATGAGGAGCTGGGCAGAGCAACATCGAGCAGTGAGCCTCGGCTCTGTACTAGTAGAGAGTCCGGTGGATCCGGAGGCTGTGGCGGATCCGGAGGCTGTGGCGGATCCGGTGGTGGAGGAGGCTCCGGAGGAAGCAGCAGGCTGTGGGAAGCAACTAGGCTCGTCAGGAGAGGGTGTAAGGAGTTCAAAACTACCGCCGCAGATCCAGAGTCGTCATCCTCAGACGAAGGAGACATAGCTACCGAAGCGGAGGAAGTTAAAAAGAAACAGAACACCGAAAAAAAAAAAACTGGAACTACCGGCAAAGTCACCGGAGAAACCTTCAAAGACTGCGAAGAAGAATTGCTGGAGAGGAGATGCTGCTTAGGAAGGAAAAACACCAGGGAAGAGTCGTCGGAGAAGGGACGCCATCGTGAGGAAGACAAAGACCAACGGCGCCTCGGGAAACGGGCCTGGGAGAATTAGGGCGAACTCATATCTGACTCTAATGATGATTTTAAATGGAGAAGTCTATGGACTGAAAATGAAGGAGTGTTGAGAAAATATAGGATTGTCACAACTCATAATGGTTCATAATAAGCAATGTGCTGAACTGTCTTGGTGGGTAGTTTGGAATCGAAGTTACTTGGTCGGTATAATGTGAAAATGTGTTGCAATGAATTAGGGACGAAGTCTTGTTGAAATATTTATAGTAATCGCAAATTGGAAAAATGTATTCAAAGATGTGTATAATATAACTAATAACTGCTATTGTGGATTGTAAATGTGGAGTAAAGAAAATGAAGATTCATTGGATCCACAAAGGACATTTGTGTATGAATACATTAGCATGAACTACAAACATTATAAGATTTTGATCTTGTTGTATTGGTGTTCGGAGTCGGAGGAATGGTTTACATTGACATTTAGGAATTTTTCTATTTTTATCGATGAAATTTTTGGATTTATGAAAGATGATTAACTCCGAAAACATTTGCCAAGATGTTATAATTAATCAAAAAGAAATTTGGGACTCAACCCTCAATTCAGATCAAGAAATTCATATTTTATCATTAAAGTTACAAACTTTTTTTTCTTCATAAGAGTTCCAAGAATTTACTCTTAATCATATATAATATGTTTAAAGACATTGTGTAGTCAAGATCGCTATAATTCTTCAACACAAGTAGTTTGTTGGATTTATTTTTTGAATCAATTTGTGACACTTATTTGCTAAATGATATAAAATTTATATATTTAAGAAGGGTACAAAAAAAACAATTACGGATGGGAAACAAATTGGCATACTCATATATGATAGATGAACAGAATACAATTACTAAACCGGAGAAAGTAGTTTCAACAACCAAATTCAGATTTATTACAACGTCAATTAAGTTCCGCTAGGAGATCTCATCATGCACCACCGTCACATTCACATAAGCCAAGAGCTTATAAGATGTGTTAATCTCACTTAGTTCACTAACAACTAACAGAGAATTATATCATTAGTGAATTTTCCCAATCTTAAAATAGCTTGTAGATAGGCTTCATATCAGTAGGATTGTATAATCCAAAGTTCTGTTCAGTCCCGGCCGGCTTTTGATTTTCGTTGAAAGTTGCGAATATATACCCGTCGAAACCAATGTTAGGCCTCTTAGGTGTTCCTTTTCCGCTTACTATATGCTTCACAACATTTCTATTGTAGGTACCCGCGATTTCGGGTGTGGTTAAGTTCCCGTTCCCGGCTGATGGCCATCCGGTCTCGGACACCACCATTGGTAAATCTTTCACGCCTTCCTTCTCCATCGCCCACACAAATGCGTCGAATATTGCATCAAACATGTTTGAATAGCCTAATGGTCCATCTTGGACCACGATGGCCTTAGCGGTGAAGGTAGCGTAGTCGAGACGGATGTGTGCCGGGTCAGTTGCGTAAGGGAAGTAAGGATAAATATTGACGAGAATAGGTGTATTTGTTTGAGACAAAAGTTTTAGCACGGGAACAAGTTGTTCCCATGCCTGGGGGGTGAACTTTCCAGTGGAAGGTGGGTAGGATTGCTCGAGGTTCGACATAGCCACCACGGTGCTTATCGAGATGGGCAGATTCCTCGACTTTACGAGGTTGGTGAGAGACTGCATGACCGGAAGAACTTGAGGACCGATTGGTCCAGGGATGACTTCATTACCAACAGTAATGAACACAATGTTGACGTCGGCTAAGTATGGCTCGATGTTGGTTGCAAACCATCCCTTTACAGCTTCTTCGCTAGCTGCAAGAGGAGCCAAGTCCTGGTCCCTAACGCCAACGGTGACTTCAAAACCACGGTGGCCGCGCAAGGCGTCAAGAACTCCTGTGTTCGGGTCGAAGATACGGATTTTAGTAATGCCTATGGACTTGTAAAGGTTGAGAACATTGGGAGGAGTTGGGAGGTTATCTCCAAGGAGGCCGTAGTTCAAGCCAATGCTATTAGCTTTGGTTACCAAACCACTAGTGTTGTGGTTGAAAATTATCATAATGCACGAGAGGAAGAACAAGAACAGCTTCATAGAGGAATAGACCATGATGAAACTTTTGTGTAGAGATAGGAAAATATTGTAGTAGAAGAGAAAGGAACCAAACTTTATTTCTTTATTTGTTTTGATATGTTGCAAAATATAGGTTGCACGTTTGTGTATACATAGCTATATATTTGAGATCTATTTCTTGTATTTATTGTATCAATAAATTTTCTTTTTAAAATTTAGGTTCAACGTATAAATCTTAGCCTTCGAACTAATTTACAAATTTGGTGTGTTTTTAGTTTTACTAGTTATATTTTATCTACTCTTTTTTTTTTTCTTGTTAACTGAATCTTACCATTCCGTAAGAAATTGAATCAATCCAATCGAACTATGTTGTCTAGAAGAAACGTACCCCATAAATTACTTGAATTTGAGTAAATTGATACATAAATATCTAAGCTGCATGGAATCGGAAGCGGGTACGTGGAAGCGGAAACGTTTAGAAGCGTGGAATCGAGTTTTTTAAAAAAATTAGGAAGCGGGTACGTGTAGGAAGCGTGTTGGATACAAATATACATACATATACATATATATCATAAAATACCAAATATATAATCATATCATAAATAATTAGATTTTCAACCAGATATTACAATCATCATAAATGATACTAAAATAAATGTGTTAAAAAATAAAAATCAAAAAAAAAATCTAAACATCAAACCTAAAACTTTGGCGTGATATAAGATGGTAACTAGAACAAATGTTAATGTCTGTAGTAGTGTAGTGGCAAGTGTACGTTATTAGGGGCTTAAAGATGCCGGGTTCGAGTTTTCATTTCTACATGAATAAAATTTTAATTAAACGACGAAGGGTAGAATAGTAATTTTACGGAAGAGTCTTCTTCTCTTAAAACCCTACGCGGCGGAACTGTATTTTTTCATTTTTTTTCCCGAACATTGCACCAGCGACGCTTCCAATCTACTCCCCTACGTTTCCCAATCGGAATCTTACGCTTCTAACACGATTCTAAAAGCCTCATTTTAGGAATCGCGATTCCTAGTCGATTCCAAGCGATTCCCGACGATTCCGCTCCCGTTTCCGATTCCGGAGCGAGAATCGACGTCTCTCCGGCGATTCCGTGCAGCTTAGATAAATATACGTCATTAATAAATTCATCTCGACACTTTTTCTTATAACTAATAAACTAAACATGAATTTGACTACAAATACACCTAAGAGAGTGTTATTGATTTGTGAGTTATATGGTGTTTTAATGACTTTAGATGTTAGGTAGAATCTGTTATTATTCAATCAAGATTTCACTAAACTCTTTTAAAGTTTGGTGTTATTAGTTATTGATTTGTAAAAAGTCATTTAAAATCTTAATAAATTTGGAGTTATTAGATCCAGAGTTTTACAAAGCAATTAAAAGTTATGTGTTATTTAATTAAAACAAAAGAATCTCTGAATCTTAATGAATTAATTAAAATTTTATGTTATTGGTTTATGATTTTAAACTCTTTTCTTTACAAAATAAAGTCATGAAAAGTATTTTATTAATATAGAGATTGTTTGAGAGACTTTACAAGATTATAGAAAAATTAATCAACAAGATTACAGAAAATTCTCAAACAATCTTTTAAACTCTCAAACAATCATACAATCTATGATTTTACCAGAGTCATCTAAATTCTTTATAAGTTAGAATTCAATAACACTCACACTCAAAAAAATTACAAAATAGTTGGGAAAAATTAAAATAATATAGATATTTAGAATTGACAACAACAAAAAAGTATAGATATTTAGAAAATTTTGTCATTTTTTTTTTTGAATAATCAAAGAGTTTGTGGGCCGAAGTCCATACATCCCCTCAGCCCCGAAACCAAAACGTGTTATATGGTTTCGTTCCAAACGTTAAAAAATAATGGCTAAAAATAGCCTAATAATTGTTTATCCCTAATCTTGTTCATCACATGTTTTTTGTTTTCAATATATAAAAATGCTCTCTGAAATGTTGTAAGGAAAATGCTCTCTGAAATGTTGTTTTCTCTCTGTATTTCCCAAAATAATCATAGAAACTTTTTTTTAAAACAAACAATAAAACAAAAATGAGACACACACACAAGATAAAGAAGATTGAAATGAAGAGAGTTGCAAGAATCAGTCATCTAAATTCCTTATAAGTTAGAATCCAATAACACTCACTATATTGGTCAGTAAATCTTTATTCATAAATCTAAACAATGCTACTAAGATAATAATTATACTATTCTTTTGGATGTTTGAAGTGTTGATATTTGGTATATAAGGTTTTTAAAATCCTTATAAGAATTTAGAAGACGTTAATTTAGTTAATGAAGTTACAGTTTCCAATGCTATTCATTCCAAATACTTAGGCCTGCAAATGGTTGACACAAAATACCAAGTTAAAAGAGTTGAATGTTCATTCAAATAATTTTTTAGCATTTGAGAAGAAAGAGTTGAAAAAAAAATTCAGCCCATTCAACTAAAAAACCTGAAAAATTGTACAAATTACAAGCAAAAAGTATTCAATTCATTTAACTACATTTTTTAGATGAATAGATTGAATGATATTCAACTCAAAATTTTCCATCTTAAAGTTTTCAACCCATTCAACTTTAAAGAACCATTAGTTCTTAGATCACACCATCTGAATGGAAAAAACATAATTTATGTTAATCACATTAAATTAAAACCTTTTGCAAATGATAAAACCATTTTTATAGCTAAAGACTTACCGCAAGGTCAATTAAAATTTCTTTTCGACCTATAACAAATTGTAAACACTATAACAAGAAAAACCAAAGTTTCTACTTGTGATCAAGCTACATTTATTACCAAGAAAATCTCAAAAATAATGTAATGTTCTGACCACCACATTTTTTAGTTAGTCTCATGTCTTTTCTTGGCTATAGATCCGCTTTTATTCTATGATCAATTCGTTAGATACATAAAGTCCTAAATACTTATTTATCGAATTTACAAATTATAATATGCTATTTTCTCTATTGTGTCTTCATTCATATAGTACCAATAATTATTTTCCATATGTTACTTATTCGGTATTTGTTCAAGCATAAACATGTTTGACAAAAGAATGGTTAAATTAATATTTAAAAAATTTCCACATGCACTGTCATTTTTTAAAAATCGAAATGTTTGTAAATAAATTATTTCAAAAGCGGATTTGGGATTTTTGCCGTAGTTGATTATAGTGTACCGACAATTTTTTTTGAAACCGTGTGTGTGGCTTAGAAAGCTATTAGTCGAAAAACGTGTTCATCTAACAAATAATCTTATTGGTTGATAATGATATCATAAAACCGATTAATGGTGCATTTAGTGAAACCAAATAATTATGTCATTAAACTTAGCTCTAAAAGTCAAATGTATTGCGATAACTCGTGACATGTTACCCGATTAAGTACAAGTTCTTTAAAAGGAAATATAATTATTTCTTTCTCCTCTTTTTTATGCTATTTATGTGTTTTGACAAAGCTTTTATTATATGAATGGTGTTGTCTGTTGACAAAAAAAAAAAAAGACAATGCTTTTATTTTATTTTTATTAGGTATAGTTTCATACTTGAATTTATTTATATAATTTATATATGTTTACATTAGTATTTTTGAAGTACATTTATAAAATAAATCCTTATATTCAAAAAAATTACAAAATAGTTGGGAAAAATTAAAATAATATAGATATTTAGAATTGACAACAACAAAAAAGTATAGATATTTAGAAAATTTTGTCATTTTTTTTTTTGAATAATCAAAGAGTTTGTGGGCCGAAGTCCATACATCCCCTCAGCCCCGAAACCAAAACATGTTATAAGGTTTCGTTCCAAACGCTAAAAAATAATGGCTAAAAATAGCCTAATAATGGTTTATCCCTAATCTTGTTCATCACATGTTTTTCGTTTTCAATATATAAAAATGCTCTCTGAAATGTTGTAAGGAAAATGCTCTCTGAAATGTTGTTTTCTCTCTGTATTTCCCAAAATAACCATAGAAACTTTTTTTTAAAACAAACAATAAAACAAAAATGAGGCACACACACAAGATAAAGAAGATTGGAATAAAGAGAGTTGCAAGAACTAGTTTAAGAAGGACCGGTCCAGTACGATTTTACAGCGAGAAGGATCTTCTCAGGGTTAAAGGGACCTTTCTCATGATCCAAAATCCGACTCTTCCACTTCATTCCATTAGTTATGCTTTGTATCTTCGTCAATGTTTCAACATTGTCCCTAAATACCACTGTTCCCTCTGGTCTTAGTATTCTATCCATCTCAAGTAGTATCAATGTCACATCACACCTTACATGCATCATCAACAAACGAACAACATCAGAATTCACGTTTGTGAGATCTCATTTTCAAACACAAATATACACATTTTTCTTGATGAAAAAACAAACAATGGAGATCTTATAATTCACAAAATGTGCATTTGCACCTGTATAAGATTTCTATTGGTTCAATTATATATTTGCATTTACATGAGAATTTTAGAAATGAAAATGTAATTACTAACATTCCTTCATTTTCTTTATTCTAATATAAAATATTTTCTGTTAAATAAGTGTCTAAACCTACAATATTTTTAACAAAGATATAGTCCAAAGTTGGTGGTTCCAAAAAAAAAAGATATAGTCCAAAGTTTTTGAGCCTAAATTATCGATAATATACATGTTTTCATATTGTTTAATTATGTTTTTAAAACATATACATATAAATTTTAAAATATAAGATATCTTAATATGCTTAAGATTATAGTTTTAAGCTAAGCATAATTAGATATACACTACTCTAACTATAAACATAAAAATTCTAGTCATTGTTTTTTTTTTTTCCTATAGGATAGTAATTTTGGTATTTACCTGTTTTCATAAATGCTGAACAATCCACCAGCGTGAATCAAATCATAAGTTCTTGGATACGTAGAGAAACCTTCACACCAATCTTGATAAGTCCCTATGAATCCTCGTTCGAAAATCACCCCTAACGTTTGCTTCTCAGCATCCATAGGAACCACATTCATAACCCAAGATGGATATTTCATTATCGCGGCAGCAAACCCTCCTAGGTATGCATTCATGTCCATTATGTTCCTGAATCTTCCCCTTGTAAGCTCTGGCATTATCTGTTTGTAATATGCTATTCTCTCCTTCCACACTTCATTGTCTTGTCTGAATTTTTCAGCATTAGTGTCCTGTATAGTACCCCTGATTATCCTAGGTGGTACCGCGAAAGCTCGGTCTGGCCAATCCTCCAATGCACCTCCTGCGAATTCTTCTGGACCGTTTGCTTCTGGCAATGGTGTTACACAAGATTCCAAGTCTTTGTACCTATAGTCAAAAAAAATATTCACCAATATATACTTTAATTTCTCTGTTTTGTTGTATAAGATGTTTTAGCGATTTATTTCAATTTTTTTTATTTAACTTTCCTATGCAACATTCAAAATTATTGTAATTAGGTACTTCACGAAATTAATTTGAAACTTGTAAAAAACTACTAGACAAAATCTATGATTTCGTGATTTATTTGCACTCGCATAAAACATTTTAATAATTTGAAAACAAATGAAGTAAATATGATTTTAGGAGGGTTTGAGAATATTGTTACCAAGCAAAATCAGGTTGGTCTGATTTGCTGCATAGAGGAGGAGATTTGTGAACTCGTTTGAGTTTTTTACACTCAATGTGATTGATAGGCTTTTGCCAAATTGACAAATCTCCCTTTTCTGTAACTTTCTTCCAACAGAGACTTCTTGCTGCATCTTCTATAGAATCTTGCTCTTGTTTCAAATCCTCTTGTGATCTTTCCCAGCCTTTCCAATATTTCTTCCAGTTGATCGGTGGACCGGAAAGGATCCAATAACCGCCCGGTCTTAAAACCCGGTCCACTTCGGTCAAGTACAAACCATCTATACACATCCAATTTTTTTGTTTAAATTTCCACAACAATCAAGAAACCTCATGAAAAAAATCAAGAAAATGTTCATAATTACCGTTCTGAAACCAAGGAATTAAACAACGAGAACAATGAGCAAGATCAAAAGCTCTAGCTGGATAAGGAAGCCTTCTTGATCCCATAATCCCAATAATCGCAGGAACTCCACGCTCCAACGCAAATTGAACTTGAGCTTCATGAGTGTCTCTTGGAGCAAATGACATAGCCACAATATCTCTCTTCAACAAGTAAGCACCAAAACTTGCCACCTAAATAACCAATAATACCAAATTAATCAAACTCTTAGGATATAATGTTTTAATATAATGTTTGGTTGTTATTAAAAAAATATAAAACTGAATTGATTAAAAACAAGTCAAAAATATAGATATATCTAAAATAGTACTAAGAAATGAAAACTTACACCACATCCTGTATCAATAGCTGTTCTAATGGCTCCATCAGTAAGAGGAATAAGTCTAGCAATATCATCAATGTAAGCATCAGCTCCACGTGGAAACATGGTGCCACCACCAGGGAATTTGAATCTTTCACCTTCCACTTGGATCCAATTCTGTATAGCTTTCTCAATACTAAGCTCTTTATGTGGGATGTTGTCGTACCAAGCATAGTCTCTACTCTGAGGCCATTTAAATGGAATCTTGTAGTTTGGTGGAGGAGGAATCAGACAATAAAGAAGCTCATCTTTAGAAGGACAATGTCTTTCTCTGTATTTCATCATGTTCCTATCGAATCTTCTCCCTCTTTCTCGATCTTCACATGGAGTGTACTCACTCAAAGACATGTCACATGGCTCAAAATACTTTACGGTTTGGTTTGTAACCTTAAGCTCAAGTTTGTGATGGCTTTCGAAATCTAACTCAACTGGTTCTGTTGAGGAGGAAGAAGAGAGACTCTCATCATCAGAAGAAGAAGGATTAGACTGAGTCTGAGTCGTCTGAGCCCGAGTGGTTGTTGTTGTCTCATCACATCCCATTCTTGAGAAAAACTCGGAAGAAGAACTTGGGACAGTGTTGCTTTGCCAAGATCCAAGAACATAAGACAATATACAAAGTCCACTTACACAAAGAATCCAAGTGAGTCTCTTTCTCTTTGCTTCTGCAAGGTGATGACTACTATTCTCTTTCGCCATTTCTCTCCCTAGAGAGGATGAAAGCAAAAAAAAGACTTACAACTTTTATCTGATTTTAGTATAACAAAGATATATAAAAAGCTAAAATCTTTTTTGTAAGATGGTGGAAATTTTTTCAAAAAATCAACGTAAAATGTTATAAAAAATTGTAAGAAAAGTTTCAATGGAGCTCGAAGCACGAGGAAAAGGGATCCACCATCACAAGAAATCAAAAATTTTCTAAATTTATTGTAATAAAAAAAAGGACAAATGGTCTCTATTTTTTAGCAAAAAGCCAAGAACCACACTTATTGTTTTTAGAAGTGGTCTTAAAGAAAAGGAAAATAAATAAAATTTTTGAGATAAAGTTGGAGGCTGACTAGCCTCATTTTTCGTTTTGCCATGTTCTATATATCTCCATGTAAAAAAAAAAAAAATTGAAATAATTTAGAGGTAAAAAGAAGGTCAAGATAACAAAGAAAATTCACGTGGTACCCCATAACTTTGGACTCAAAAAGAAATAAATTATTAGGGTCATGTCTTTATATGAAAGGATAATATAAAAATGGTGCATAGTATTCTTATTCTAGACAAAGCCAAGCATAGTGTCAGGATTTTTCATGTCCCTACGACCTTGATGCTAGATTTGTCGACGGTGTACAAGAATTCTGAATTCTTCACACGTGACATACGTATTCATTCACGTACGCATACATATGTGACTACATAGAGAGACAGTTCTTGAGTACTGTTTGATGATAATAAGCATAGTTTATGGTTTATCTAGAGGGCAAGGCAATTGGGATGGTGAATATAGTTGTAGAGATTACACATGTTTTGTCTTTTCTGTTGTATTACTATTCGACCCATTCGTTTTACTATTCGACATGTTTCCATTTTTTTTTTTTTAAGCCAAATTAGTGTTTGAAAAGAAAAAACAAAGAAGATCAGAAGATATTAGTAGAATAACCAACCAAAGATGAGAGAGTTCATAAACCTTTGGCTTTTAACGAAAAATCTCTTCTCCTTACTTATAGTCTTCAATTTCTTATCAGCAAGAAGATTGGAAGCAGAGATACGTTTTTCCTTAGAGGTGAAGCTGTAACATGGTGTGGGATATGTTTTTCCCACAACCCAAGTATGGACAAAAGACATTAGTTCCACCTCGTTTTATCTTGTAGGTGCAAATGCAACATGCATTTAAATGTAAACCAAATTTTTGGGTGCAAATTAACTATTAGACTTGGGAGGAGAATATGTAAAATTTTATATTAATATTTTTGCTCTAATTTTGGAATAAGCTAATCTTGTATGTACATGAATTAAAGGGAATAAGATTAAAAAAAAAAAAAAAAAAAAAAAAAATCGCAAATTTCTTGGAAGTGTTTGATCAAAGATATATTGACTTATTGAGAAATGCATAAGTCAAAATATACTTGAAGATAAGGGAAATTTAACCAGTTTCACATAAATTTTACCAAAAATAACTGAATTAACCCTTTAATATTGGTCAAAAAAACCCTTTAATATTACTAGAATGACATAATATTTATGTAAAAAGTCCAAAAATCCTAAACTTTAAAAATGAAAATTAATATAAAAAGTCGGCCACACTTATATTAAATATATCATAATAAGTTAATCAAATCTATAAAAACGTAATAATAAATAAGATATATAAAATAACATTAAATAAGAAAATGTAAAAGTTCATATTGACATTTTAAACTCAATTTTTTTTAGTCAACAAAAAAATAAGAAATTAATTTATGCGTACAAATTAAAAAATATTTTTGTGAAAAAGTACAAAATATTGTTCTTTGTTTATCATATAAGACTTTCTAAAAGGCATCAAAACCATGCTAAATAGCAAATTATGTACAATGATTTCATCTATTATAAATAATCTTCTTTTACAAACTAAATTTCAAAAGAACTATTCTCTCATTAATTAACGGATTCAGATTATCAGAGAGAAAAATACCATTCACTTAACGCGCATGACAATTAAGAGATTCTCAGCTAATGTAAAAATATGTGAGTGTCATCAATGTGTAATTAATACCATCATCAACATGATGCAAGACTCATATATATTTCATCAATCGTCTCCTCATTTTACATGTTTTGTCTATTTTTTGGGAGCATTTATCTATTAAAACTTTAAAATCGGCATCATTAGTATGATTGTATTACATATTATTATTGATTTAGTATGGTTGTTTTGTATTTTTTAGATATAGAATATAGAATTGCAAAAATTGACTGACTTAAAAAGTAATATTTAAATATATTATATCATTTTTTTTGGTCGAAAATATATTATAGTATATCATTAATTCGACAAAAATATACAATACTCAATGCACAATCAAAACAAATAAATTGGGTAAAATAAGTTCTACCCAACACGGTGATCTCTCTGGTCAAATATGAACGAACACACACTAACCTGTAGTACGACCACTAGCATAAATAGAAAGCACAGCTTGAATAGCAACATACATAGCAGGGATATCAAAAGTCTCAAACATGATCTGAGTCATCTTGTCTCTATTAGCTTTAGGAGTAAGAAAGAGCTTCAGTGAGAAGCACAGGGTGTTCTTCAGGAGCAACACGAAGGTCATTGTAGAACGAATGATGCCAAATCTTCTCCATATCATCCCAATTACTAACTATACCATGTTCAATGGGATATTTCAAGGTAAGCATCTTTGTATCCTATCCCACAAAGCATCTTTGTGTCCCATCCCAACCATAACACCAGCATGCCTAGGACGACCTATAATACTAGGAAAGACTGCTCTCGGTGCATCGTCACTCCCAAAACCAGCATATTCACCAATCGAAACAGGTTTATGTAGACTTGAGCAACAAGTTAGGACAAAGAGATATAAGAAGGCAAAAGGAGATTTACCTTAACCACTCCAGTTCCATTATCTACAACAAGTGGTTGATTCTCTTCCCTTCTCTTCTGCCATAATCTTAGATTATAAACCTTAAAGCAGAGGAAGATGATCAGATTTTGACATTAAAACGATTACATCACAGTATCAAGACATGCAAAGCAAAGTGAAACGAAGCATGAGTTGAATCAATCCTAGAGAATATGTACTGTGTCACAACACTAGTGCTTCTTGTTCCCTTCATGCTTCGTTTGAATTTTGATAAATCAAATCAAAAATGTTTCGGTTCATTCAGTGTAACAAACGCAGCATTTGGCAAACACTAAGAGATGAAGAACTCTTGTGTTAAGTTATGAGATAGAGATCTATGACTCTAAAAACAAAATAAATACAAAATTCACACGAAACGATTTGGGTAAATAAGATTTGATAGCTTGATTCCAAAACTTGTGAATAAGTAAATAAAATCTCGAACAAACAAAAAAAGAGAACCAAAGGAGGGATAAGCCGAGTCTTGCAACAACGGATGATTTGGTCCATCAAACAAAACTAACATTTGAAAATAGAGAAAATTGAGCTATGATGACGATCAAATAAAACTATTCCTCTTCGACGATCTTGCTCTTCTCGCTGACATAGATACCGTCAAGGAACTTCCTGATATCCTTCTTCTTTACGTGACATTTCTGCACATTACAATTAACCATTGTGAGATTGAAGCCTAAGACATATAAAACAATATGCAAAACTTGGCCAGAGCTTATTGAACATTCTTCGAGATAACAATGTCGATCATACACATCATTTTACATTTCAGTTTCACATGAATCAATCCATTTACAAACCTCAAACATCAACAAAGACTACTTAACACAATTCTGTATATTGTATCTGAAAGAGAGTACCTGATTGATCAAAGCGCATGACCTTGAAACAAGCTCGATGTCATTACCATCAAGAACAATCTCATCCTTCACCTTCTCAGATCGAACAATGGTTACACCATCCAACATATCTACCTTCCTCACCTATCATTCCAATAACCACATTTTCAAAACAAGTTCAGTATTCACAAACTATGAAATCAATCAATCATCGATTAGTATACACAATTTCCAAGAATCGAATCTAGTGTCACTCTGTATCATTCCGAGATCTATTGAAATACAAACCTTCTTCTCGCCAAGGAAGTTACGGATCTCAATGGACTTGCCATCACCACCAATGGAAGCGTTGATGGGAAAATGAGCATACACAAACCTCATCTTGTATCTGAAACCTCTGGTAACACCGGAGATGAGGTTATCAACGTGGCTAAGAGCAGTTCTGATGGAAGCACTGGTTTTGCGAGACCCGAACCACGAGTCGATCTTAAGCTTCTTCTTCCCAGTCTCGGGGTCCTTGATCAGCTGGAAATCGAGGTTGAGATGCTTGAAATCGCGAACAAGCTTGCCGCGAGGACCTTCCACTTCGATCACTTTGGCGTGAACCTTGATGGTTACGGTGTCGGGGATGTCCATCGTCTCGGAAGATAGAATAGTCTTCATCTTCTCCGGCCTTTGGTTTTGCTCTCTCTCTGACGACGACGACTCTCGCGCTGCTCTGGTTTGATCAAAGGCTGAAACCCTAACAAAATGTATTGACGGCGGCTTTTTAAAGGGTGGAAGAAAAATACAGAAACCCTAGAAAAATGTTTCAGCCCATTCAAAGCCCATTAAAATTTAGTAATAGCAATAAGCCTACGGCCGGGTAAGAATAGTGGGTTGTAACTTCGATGTTAAAAAAATGAACATTCTGTAATTAATTTCGATGTGTAAATATGGACATTTTGTCACATGAATATTATTTCATATCTATCAAAAACGTATTTCTATAATTCCTGTCAAATTTTTTAATTTATTTTGATGTGAAACGATAAGTTTACAGAATTGTATATAATAGTATGAATGTATTATCTAAGTTTATAGTAATCGTGAATGATATATATGTATTATGTAGTTAACTTGTGTTAAAACAAAAAAAGACAGAAATATTGATGTAATAAATTATGTTTGTGAGATAACGTAGGAAATATATTATTGAATTGTGTAAAAGAATTTGTATTTACAATATTACTTGAACGGGTAACTTCAATATTCCATCCTATTTTTACATGTTTTTGTACCTATTGGAATAAATTATGATTATATAAAACTTATAAATTATGATTATAGAAAACTCATGATTTTATATAATTGATATTTTGTAGCATCTATCGCTACAAATATTTGTATTAATAATTTCAGAGTTACTTGTATAAATGATATAAAATTCATTTGCATTTATGAAAAATGGTGAAAATATTCAAAATAAACGGCACAAAAAAAAATCATTTTATTTTGTTATCAACATTAAATTTACAATTAAATAATTCCTTTCCTAGTCCATAAACAAGATTTCAGGATATATATTTTTCTTATTGATTCATAATATATATATTAGTCCAAAAGTTTTCAGACGGATTCAATTGTTACTATGTAGACCTTAAATAATCTTTGAATCATAGCTAAATGTAACACTAGTGCTAATACAAAAATTAAGATCTTATCACAAGTTAGCTACGAAGACATCAAATCAACTTAAACTAGTGAATTATGATATTCTTCACAACTACTTCTTATAACAAGACCTAACAAGTTACATTGAATCAAGAGTGATGATATTTCTAGCATGACCAAATCATCGTAAAAGAGTATTATTTTCCTCTGATGAAATTTGATTTGCATCTCTAGATTCTGGTACAACCCACCGGTTTAGATTTCTCAACGACGTAGATACCTAAAACAAAAGTGGCAACACAATGCATTAGGTCCAAAGAACATAGCTTTGCTTGAAAAAAACAAACTTATTTACACTAATTCAGGGGAAATATTGTATACTAACCTGTTGATCCCAATCTGTTCTAAGAGTCATAATGGTAAGCACGCAAGTCTGAACAAATATCCCAAAGAGCATTCCGATCCATACACCCTAAAAGTTAGTTTTCAATTGTTAAATTTTCATTACCTTTGCAAAAACTTTGTTACTAAAGACCATTGACAACGAAAGAGAACAATATAGTTTTAACTTTATAATGAAAATGATACTTACTTTAACTTGCAAACCAACACCGTAACCAAGGAACACACCAATAGGAATCCCAACAAGGTAGTAGCAAGCAAGGTTAACGTAAGTAACATATCCTTGCCATCCCGCTCCAACCGCAACTCCTGTTCCGGTTCCAAAAAGAGCATACTGGTTTATATATGGGTTCGATATTAATAACCTTCATGCCTTAAAGTAGAAACTTTGTATATATTACCAGAGAGAACAGGTTGAACACTGTTCATGAGGATGGAAAAGGCTAAAAGAGGTGAAAGATCGGCAACTTCCGCGGCGACAGCTTCGCTTGTAGTGAAAATGTATGAGATCCTTCCTCTTAGAAACAAGAACACGAAGAAGAGAACTGTTCCTATTGATAGTGATGTGAAAACAGCCATCTTTGTTGCAAACTTGGCTGCTTTTGCATCTCCCCTACCCAGCTCGTTGGACACTCTTACACTATAAAATATAGATAGTATAGCAAAGAAGAAATTATATATCTCAACATTAAAACCAAAAAGAAGAAGAAGATATAAATATAGATAGTGGCAAATAGAGTGAAGTGTGTAAGAGTATAAATGTATATATGTTATCTATGCACCTTGCTGCTGCCAGAAACCCAAGTGCTATCATCATCTCCAGTCCATTTATGTTGATGCTACCAAAAAAAAAAAAAATGGTAAATAAGAGTTGATTTATATATTACTATGTATAGATGTTTTTGAGATTGTATTGGCTATATATGGAGATTATATAGAAGAGATGTAAGAAGGTCAAGTCTTGTTAATATATATACCAGATAGCTAGTGCATCAAGAGCCACCTCTGCGTTTTTCAAATTTCCCGTGAGTAGAACCAAGATCGAGTTGTACCATAACTCCAAGCTGTACAAAACAACGACCAAGAAGTAATAATTATTATAAAGATAACAATGACCAAGTTCATGCATCAAATGAAAACCAATCTCATATTTAAATCAAGAAAATAGGAAACAAAAGCTAATAAGACTATTTTCATATGTATATATATTTCTTACTTAGTTTAAGAAAGAAAGAAGCTTACCAAAGCATTCCACCAGAAGACATAGATAGTTTAAAGACGTGCCATAAATCTTTGAAAGCCAACATAGAGAATCCTCTCCATGTGTCTTTACACCCACCGCACGTGACGAACATGAGCTGCGCAATGTTAGGCAACCAGAATGCAACTAGCGTCGAGGTCATAGCACCAGTGATACCAAAATCGAAATGAACCATTAGGAGCCAAGAGAGGAAGACATGGACCGCTAAAGAGACAGCAGCCGCGTAGGCAATGATCTTGTTCTTGCTCTGAGCTTGGAGAAACATTTGGCAAGTGAATGAAACCACGAAAGAAAAGTTTATGCCTATGACCCACAGAGCTATGATCCGAGCCACACGGACAATATGTTCCTCTTGACCTAAAGCTAAGAGGATAGGGCCAGCGAAGAGGTAGACGGGCGTGAGACAAATGGTACAACCTGTGAGGACTATCCATGACCTTTGGAGGTAGATCCCGAGCATATGGTTTTGTTTGGCTCCGTAGGCTTGACCACATAGTGTTTCTAGTGCACTGGCCATACCTAGCTGCATTATCGCATTTTATTACACAATAGTTATAAAAAATGTGTAATAAAGAGTTGTATCAACCAAAGTTGGGACATTTGCATAGCTTTCACAATAAAGTGTTTGCCAAAATAACATATTCGAAACAAAACTCTATACATATAATTCAAAGTGGTCTAAACAGTTAATTATATATAAGAAATATTAAGATCTATTGTTTTGATTTCTCGTATAGGTGAAGAGTTCAATAATACTTTCTTTTTGTCGGAGAGTTCAATACTTAGATTCTGCTAATACTATTAACAAAGGTTGGACAAAACATGATAAGATGGAACTTTTGGATTTTTTTCAAATGAAACAAACTTCCTTTTCAGGGCAGAGAGTGGTTAGGCCTCCGAAGTGGACTATACTGCCAATGAAACTTGTCGACCCACAAATTAATATATTGCAGTAGACGTTATACTAATTTGTTTAGCCAATTTCGTCTAGCTTGTTTTAATTACCACACAGTCTTCCAAATTTCTTTAGCCAATTTTACATATTTATTACTAGAAACTATTCACGTTTACGTTACATGTATGTTAAACTTTTCTAGAGAATACTTGATTTTTTTTTTTGTATTTTTCAAATTTCTACAATATTATTGAACTTAAAGTTATATTCAACCTAATTATAATTCGATAAATTTAGAAGTTAAAAAAAAAAAAGGAATCGTTATAAGAGAAGATACTACGAATTTGGTATGTAGGTTTGCCTTGTTTATGTAAAAACATATTTTTGTGGTTGGCAAGAAACCACCACATGTTACGACAAGTAGTGTCAACACTGTCAGCATTCACATGATTGACGTTATTTTTGTAATATATTTATATCAGTAGTCTTTTCTTGTTATCATTCTCACGAATCAAAAACATGTTTTGCTGTGGCTACGACTAGTATAGAGTGTTGGAAGAGTTTGATAGTTTTCTCATTTGTAAAGAAAAAGAGGAAATTTCATTACCACAAAAGACTTATCAGAATCATTTTTCTATATGGTCTTTATATTTTTCTATTTTCACTTTTAAATTTTAAGTAACGTACGGTACCTGAATTTATTGAATAGCTACGCATTCGTCAGAGATAATTAGGTGGAATAAATTAATGAAAAGCTATTTCAAATCAATTATGACAAACCAAACTATATTTCATTTATGCAATAGTCAGAACTAGTATACTATATGTGATTTTTAGGTGGAATAAACTAATGAATGTTATGTCAAACCAAAGTAGATGTAATTTTTTTAGATGGAGTTGTATATAGTTTATATAAGTTATTTCTTTAACCTAACAAATTAGTTTTAAAAAAAAAGTGAAGAAATAATCAATGATTGAAGTACTAACCAAGATACCATTACTAAAACGGAGGAGAACAGTGAAGGTAATGGAGTAAGCGGCCAACTCGGTCGGGCCAAGATGTCCGATGAAAGCTTGACTTATCATTGAAACACCGAACGTAGAGAACCTCGTGAAGATCGCCGGAGCCGCCACAACCCATAGCTTCTTTGACTCGATCCAAACCTTCTCCTTCATCCCCAACTCATCCTCCTCCTCCTCATCTCTGCCGTTCTCCACTGTCTTTTTCAACAAAGAAGCCTTGAGCTCTCCTTCTCCGGCCATCTTGGAGTATCTTGATGGACCAGAGATGGGTATAGGAGGGGAATAAATAGAAGAGGGGAAGGCAGAGAAAGAGATAGAGATAGAGATCGAGAGAGGAGAGAGTTTGTGTATGAATTGGTTTAGTGAACTTGTTTCTTGTTTTGTCTTTATATTTTAACGTTCTTTTTTATTTTTTGGTTTTGTATATTTACTTATTCGTCACTTTTTATTGGGAAACGAAAAGCCGTCTACGCATCTTGCAGCAAGTAGCAAACACTCATTAGAGGATGAATATTAAATACGTTGCATTTATTTACCATTTGACTAGTAACCATTTTAATATTTTACGTTCAAAAGACTCGTGACTCCGTCGTGAGACTATTTGTTGTTGCACCGTGAACCCAAGAAAAAAAACAAGTCACGACATAAAATCTTTAAGAAGTCACGACATCGAATGTTTAGACCATCGTTATTGATAAACTCTTAACAAAAATTTAAGATAAAAATGTTAAGAAATTATTTTTTATTAAAAAAATTTAAGTTAAGAAATGTTTTACGAGTTAGGTGCATATCATAATATTTTTGACACATTCTTGTGCTATATTTGTAGCACACGTTGTTATAACTTATAAGTCAACTATTTTTTTTACTGTTTTAAGATTATGATAATGAAGAGTTCTCCGAACAATATGTTTATTTTACTTTTAATAATTGAGAGATTTTTAATCTTAGGCACTAAAACAGTTAATATGTTTCTCTTATTTGTATATTTCTCAAGACCAATATTTGATTTTTGCTTTTGAGCAAAAAAGTATTTGACGGACAAAAAAAAAAAAGCTTTTGACTAAAACTTTTCTTTAATCCAACTACAAGATATCTAAAAAGTGAAAAGTTTCAAAAATGGCATTTCTAAAACAATAATGAGTTTCCAAATTGACGTTTTTGACCAAATTCTCTTATTGAAAGGAGTGAGTACTGGACAAAAGAATATGAACAAATATATATATATAGAAAAAGTTGAATTTTAGTGTTATTCACTAAACATTTTATAGATTCTTTTAAACTCGATCAAATGTAACTGGATGAAGTATTTTAATTATTCGTTTAAAATAGTTTGAATTCCAGTGTTGTTAAATTTTTTTATTTTTTTAAACTATGAAATTCAAGTGTTATTTAATTAATGTTATGTATTTTTTTATAGCAACATTATTTAACAAGAATTTAATGGAAAATTTAATAGAAAATTTGAAACATTTAATTACCAGATAAACGATTAAAAGTATATCTTAAACAAGTAAGTACTTTTGTTTTTAACAAAAGATAAAAAGTATTTCATATTTAGAACATTGTAAGTCCACATGCTTGCACAAAATTTCAGAAAGGATTTGTTATAACAAAATTATATTTTTGTTTCCTTATAAATCTCTCTTAAGTATTTTCATTTATATTACAATTAGTCTTTCTAAAGTAATTTCAATAGCTAAATATATAATTAGTATCTAGATATCTAAGAATTGAGAATTTTCTATGTTTCGTTGACTTGAGAATTTGTTTTGCTCGTAGCAAAAGGGGAAAATGTTAAACGACAGTTTGAGAATTTTCTTTAGTACTATATGTGTTTGTTTCATAACATTGATACATACTTTAGCTCAAGTGGTTAAGTAGTGTTTGGTTTCCAATAGATCAGAGATATGTGTGGTTTGTGGTCTCTTTTCAACACTTTTGTTAAGAAAAGACTTTTTATGACTTACAAATCAAAATTTTTTTGTGTGCTATCAAATAATTAATTTTCTATTATGAAAGACTATTAAGTATTAATCCATACTTTTACTAGTAAAGTACCATTTCATAATTTACATTACTTAACCAAACAAAGGGGAATGGTTAGGCACTTAGGCCATGGAACATTTGAAATTTTGCGAGAACAAATCCAAATTTCCATCAAATAATACTTTCTTTTTTGTTGGAGAGTTCTTGTTGGAGAGTTCAATACTTAGATTCTGCTAATGCTATTGGCTCTTTATGGCTGAAAAAGGTTAGACAAAAACTTGATATGATAGGAATTTTTGGATTTGTCTAATGAAAAATGAAAGCATAAGTAAAATACGAAACAACATCATTATCAGGGTAGAGAGTATGGGTTAGGCTTCCGAAATGGAATGCCAATGAAACTTGTCGACCCACAAATTTATATAATAAACCCTTTTAACGACTTGTTTAGCTAATGTTGTCTTATTTTGATTACCACACAATCTTCCAAGTTTGTGTAACTAATAATTTACGTATTTTTTACATGTTAAACTTTTGTAGAAAATATTAATTTGATATTTCTTTTTATGCGTTTTAAATTTTTGTACTATATTATTGATTTTCAAATTCTATTCAACCTACATTTAATTCAATTAATTTAATAGGTATGCATTATGTCAGACCATTTGATGGAAAAGTTAATGAAAGTTATCTCAAATCATTATGACTGCAAAGATGTGAGTTTTCAATGTAATATATTACTTTTTCTATTTTGTTTTAGTTGTTGTTCTATTTTTTTTTTTTTTTTGTTTAACAGTTGTCGTTCTAGATTTTCAAAATAGATATTTGGTAAAAATTCTAACGTTATCCCAATTGTTTTAATCTTTAACTAATAAAAGAATTAAAAATCATCATTATAATCATATTTCTTGAAAATGTTTATGTATATCATAATCATATTCCTAACAATATAGAAGCCGTCTACGCCTTTTGCAGCAACTAGGAACGTATATGTATTTTAAATACGTGCACTTATCAACCATTTGATTATGTAGTTAGCATTTTTATATTTCAGTCGTGACTAATTTGTTGCACCATAAGGCATAAACCTAAAAACAATCAAGAACAAGTTGTTAAGTCAACTGGGAGGGAGATCAATCTAATAGGATTAAGTAATAGTATAAAATATTTTGTTAAATTAATATAAATTAAACACACGTCGATCAATGTCTAGTCTTGGTATCAAGTGCTAATAGCTCAATTGGTAAAGATCTCCGGCAAACGCTTAGAGGTCGCCGGTTCGAATAGCGCTTGGGATGAAACCATATAACATGCTTTGGTTTCGAGCCTGAGGGGATTTATGGGCTTCGGCCCAGAACCTCTTTGATTATTAAAAAAAAAAAATGTTTAAAATTGGAGAAAAAAAAAGTCAAAAGAAAATCTGGATCAAATCCCACACATCTAAGAAAAAACCAATTGCTACTTAACCGACGGACTAAAATATTTTATATGTATACTTTTTTTTTTTGAACAAAAAATATATATAATTTTTTTTGACATCGAACAAAAAATATTTTATAATGTATATAAGAATCGTAATTTGTACACACGTTAAGTGTGAATAATATGGTATAATTGAGATCTTCCTCATTTATCTCTTTGCTCATTATATATAGACTGAACTTGTTTCCCGATCATCTTTTATTCTTCTAGTAGGAGTCGTATATAATGGTGCACCAATCGTCTAAGCGAGTCACCAAGGTACAATTGAAATCAATCTACTTATTCTCATATATATTGATTGGTACTACAATTGAATCATTGTGGATAAGTCTTAAGATTATAAATCCCAAAAAAACATATAAAAACATTAATCTGAATCGTTACAAATCAAAATCTTAATTGTGTGTTACCCTATCTTCCATACTTTAACAAGTATAGAGTATCCTTACTTAAAACAATTAAAGGAGAATGGTGACCAAATCATTGTAAAAGAGTATTATTTTCCTCTGATGAAACTTGATTTGCATCTCTAGATTCTGGTACAACCCACCGGTTTAGATTTCTCAACGACGTAGATACCTAAGAAAAAAAAGTGACAAGAAAAAAGTATAAGTTCAAAGAACATTGCTTGCTTGGACATACAAATTATTCTTCTTAGGAACTAACCTGTTGCTCCCAATCAGTTCTGAGAGTCATGATGATAAGTACACAACTCTGAGCAAATGTTCCAAAGAGCATCCCTATCCATACACCCTAAAATATAGAGAAAAAAAGTTATGTTAATTATATTCTCAATTGTTTATGAATGTCATTACTTGTACACATTTTTGTTTCCAAGAATCATTAATAAAGAAGGAGAGAAATATAGTTAGACTTAAACCAATTAAAACGAAAAGCTTACTCGGACTTGCAAACCAAAGACATAACCAAGGATTACACCAGAAGGTATTCCGACAATGTAGTAGCAAGCAAGGTTAACGTAAGTAACATATCCTTGCCATCCCGCTCCAACCGCAACTCCTGTTCCGGTTCAAAATAAACACTTACTGATTTATATATCAGTTCGATATTAATAACCATCATGCATGCGTCAAAGTAGAAAACTATGTGTATACCAGAGAGAACGGGTTGAATACTGTTCAAGAGTATGGAAATGGCTAAAAGTGGAGAAAGATCTGCAACTTCCGCGGCGACAGCTTCACTTGTAGTGAAAATGTATGAAATTCTCCCTCTTAGAAACAAGAACACAAAGAATAGAACTGTTCCGATAGATAGTGACGTGAAAACCGCTACAAATGTTGCAAACTTGGCTGCTTTTGCGTTTCCCCTACCGAGTTCGTTGGAGACTCGCACACTGTATATATATAGATAGATAAGTTACAAAGAAGATGATATAGAAATAGTATCAATTATATAAAGTGGAGTGTGTATGTATGAATCTTTAGATGTTTTAATCCACCTTACTGCTGCCAAAAACCCAAGTGCTATCATCATCTCCATTCCATTTACACTGAGGCTGCAAAAACAAGAAAAAATAGAAAAGATTAGTATACCATAAAACTTAAGAGTCAAGTTATTAGTACTAAAGAATATGTATATATAGTTGTTTGAATCGGTATTGGTTATGGAGATAAAAAGAGATATAGAAGAGTCAACAATGCTTGTTGATTTACCATATTGCTAGTGCATCAAGAGCCACCTCTGCGTTTTTCAAATTTCCAGTGAGGAGTACCAAGATCGAGTTGTACCATAACTCCAAGCTGTCCAAAATAACAACCACAAAGTAAGTACTAATTAACTAACAAAAGAAAAGTAACAATAATTATTATAAACTTATAAAAATTCTCAATGTAAACATGTTGATAATTGTAAAGATTGTAGCCAAAAAACTGATCAGGAAACCTTACCAAACCATTCCACCGGAAGCCAAAGATAGTTTAAAGACAGGCCATAAGTCTTTAAAAGCAAGGATAGTGAATCCTTTCCACGTCTCCTCACACCAACCGCACGTGACATACAAGAGTTGTACAATGTTAGGGAACCAGTAGGCAACGAGCGTCGAGGACATAGCACCAGTGATCCCCAAATTGAAATGAACCACTAGTAGCCACGAGAAGAAGCCATGGAGCACTAAGGAGACAGCAGCTAGGTAGGCAATGATCTGGTTCTTGCTCTGAGCTTGGAGGAACATTTGGCAAGTGAAGGTAGCCACGAAGGAAAAGTTTATGCCTATGACCCAAAGAGCTATGATCTGAGCTACACGGACAATACGTTCCTCTTGACCTAAGGCTAAGAGGATAGGGCCAGCGAAGACGTAGACGGGAGTGAGGCAAATAGTACAACCTGTGAGGACGATCCATGAACGTTGAAGGTAAATCCCAAGCATATGATATTGTTTGGCTCCGTAGGCTTGACCACATAGTGTTTCTAGTGCACTGGCCATACCTAACTGCATTAGAACAATAGTTTATTATAACCAAAGTTGAGACATTGTAGTTTCACAACACAACAAGTGTTTTAGTCCAAATAACATACTCGAAAAATACTCCAGAAGCATATAACCTGAACCAAATTATATTACTGTTTCTTTCTTTCTTTTTAGAGTTTGGGCAACCAAATTTTAATTGAATTTTAATGTATATAAACGGTTTTAGTCTGATGGGTTTAATTCCAAATTGCAATTTATCTTTGACAAATAATAAAAAAGAGTTATGTTTATGAATAAAGATATTTGTGGTTGGCAAGAAACCACAACATTATAAATGATTTATTATCGAAAAAAAACAAAAAACAAAGCTACGACAAGCGCACTGTTACTATTCAGCATTCACATGATATACTTTGTTATTTCAACTTTCCGGCAAAAAGAATTCAAATGATATTTATGTTTTCTCTAACTAAAAACATTAAAATGATAATGTTTTTATTCTATATATATATTACTTCGGCTGTGATTGGTGTTTATACTGTAGACATTATTAAAAAAAAAAAAAAAAACAAGACAGTTCGCAAAAATTTCACCTAATAGTTTTTAGTATGTAAATAAAAATGTTATATAGTGAATTTGTTTAATTTTTTTCTCTTTTTTGTGTCTTTTTCAGATTGTTGATTGGCTACATTTTGGTAGGTGCCTTGGAAAAATAAAGTTCCAACCATCTTTTTCCCCTTTATTTATGACATCCACAATCGCAGCCTTTATTATTGAGTAGTAACTATTTAATACCCTACGATGCAAGTACATAGATTAAAGTTTTGGAAGAACTTTATACACTATAAAAATAAATAAAGCTTCTTTTTTTTTCGTACTTGTTAGTCCATAAAAATAAGGAAAAAAGATACCTACCTACATTAAGCATGCTACAATACATGGTCACACATCCGAAGTTTAAAAATGTATCTCTAACTACACAAATTATATGTATTGCATGCCCACATATATGAACTATATGTAGTCATGTCGCCAACATCACGAACATTTTTTCCGGTACACTTTTGGCCAGAATCCGGCATTGACCCGTTTGACCGGCATTGACCAATATAAATATTCAAAAAAAAGATTTTTTTAAAGTTTTAATTATTTTAAAACATGTTTTTGAATCATTTATATTATTGTATAATTAAGAAAGTATATACAATTTTTAATATAAAAATCTTTTGTATATATATATTTAATGCATTGATTTTTATAATTAGTTAGTTTCGATAATTTCAAAGCTAAACTAAAAAAAACTAATTAGGAATAATAATAATAAACAGAAAATTTTTCTATTTTTAAAAATATTCGGACATGAGTATCATTTGGTTTAATATTTGAATATTTAATATATAATATGTGAATTTTAAATATTAAAGCATTAGAATCAAACCAATTATGTGTGAATTTTATTCTACTAATTATAAAAATCGTTAGATCTTCTATCTTATAAATATTAAAAAGAAACATTGTGATTTTTTATTTATTTTTAAGTGTTATTTTTTATTATTATTTTATCTAATTGGTTTTTTACTTTAGTTTAGTTTTGAAATTATCGAAACTAACTAATTATAAAAAAACAATGCATTGAATATATATATAAAAAAATTTTATATTGAATATTGTATATATATATTTTTTCCGGCGAAAAGTGTACCGGAAAAAATGTTCGTGATGTTGGCGACATGACTACATATAGTTCGTATATGTGGACATGCAATACATATCGTTTGTGTAGTTAGGGATACATTTTTAAATTTCGCATGTGTGGCCATGTATTGTAGTATAGTTCATGTAGCTGCGTATCTTTTTTCCTAAAAATAATAGTAACAATGTTAGTTTTTCCTTACCTAAAAAAACTTATGTTAATTAGTTTCCTTTTTCAGTTATCACTCGCTCCTCAATCTTTGGAATATATATATATATCCAGCATTTGTAAACCAATAGGGTAAAGAGATTTATGAAAAGTTATTATGACGAATAAAAAACGTGTTTAATTAATTAGTACTCACTACTCACTAATAGTATGATGACCACTAATGTAGTACTTATATCTTAAACTTGGTTTGGACTATATATCCAAAATTCCAAAACATGCTTAATTTATGGTTTAGAGGACTCTTTTTCTGATGTATCGTAAGTTTTTTTTCTTCTGATTCTTGTACCGGGCATGTTCATCCCGTAGTTCGTTGTCGTTGTGGCATTTATTCTTTTTTATCGATGTAATCGTGAAAACTATATATAATACCAAAAATTTTATTAAAAAAAAAAAAAAAAGTTTGAAGTACTAACCAAGATACCATTGCTGAAACGGAGGAGAACGGTGAAGGTGATGGAGTAAGCGGCCAACTCGGTCGGGCCAAGATGGCCAACGAAAGCTTGAGTTACCAATGAGACTCCAAACGAAGAAAACCTCGAGAAGATAGCCGGAGCCGCCACAACCCATAGCTTCTTTGACTCGGTCCAAACCTTCTCCTTCATCCCCAACTCATCCTCCTCATCACCCCTCTTCTCCGCGGTCTTTTCCAACAAAGCCGCTGTGAACTCGCTTCCTCCTCCTCCTCCAGCCATGGTGGAGTCTCTTTGTTGATGACAAGTGAGTACGAGGAGATGGCTGATTATTAAAAGAGAGAGAGAGAGAGAGAGGGAGGGAAGAGTTTGTATGTAATTAATGCTTGAGACCAAACTTTTTGGGGACACATATAGGCCTTGACGACGTGTTGCAGCATATACCCCATATAATCAAGAATCAAGTCACGAGTACAGTAATGTGTTACGGTCACATTCTTTTGCTACCTAACTAGTTTTGAGAAACTTAAGCGATTACATTACCTTTTTAGTGAATTAAGATTGTCATGTTCACTCTTTAAGAACTTCGAGAACCAAATGTTTATTATCCACTTTTTTTTTTCTTTTAGTGAAGTCTCTCATCTAAAACGTATAGATTATGGTTTTCATCTAACGTTTTGGCGACGTAGATATCTAAAAATAATTAACAATAAACAATACTCTCTCTATTCCATTATATAAGAGGTTTTAGTTAAAAGTACAAAGACTAAAATTGCAGAAATTTAATAGTTATAAATGATTAAATTAATAAAAAAATTATGTATAAAAATTTGATAACAATCTAATAAAATGCAATACATAAAAAGCCTAAAACATCGAGAATATAGTATATACTAGACAAGTGAATTTGTAATAATATACAATTAGTACATTAGATCTACCGGTTGTTGGTGCCGGATCTGATATTCCGATTCGGGGTTGGAATGGTAGCTCAGTCCACTTGTTCGAAGGTGTAATATGCAAAGCTCGGTTAGAAGAAATATAACCCACTTAGGAAGCTACAACTTTGGGTGGTAAATTGGTTTGAAGTGGAGTTCGGAGGAAGTTTACTACTTAACTTATACTTCTTCCGTTTCACAAAAAATGTCATTCTAGAGTTTTATTTTTGTTTCCCGTAAAGTTTCATTTTACATTTCCAATGTATATTTTACACTAAATTTCCAAATTTTACCCTTAATCTAAAACTAATTAAACTCATAAATCACTTATTAAATAGGGGCGTGTTGGTGTAGGAATTAGCACCAACGACATACCGGCCTAAACCAAGACGGAATCGAATTAAACCAATAAATCGGGGAATCCCGGTTTATTGTCCAATTATTGCAAAAGGTGCTTTATTCCTAAAATGGAATAGACGACTTCGGATCATTAGGGTTTCGCAAACCCTAATCGAATATTTATGATAATATCTTCCGAAAATCTAAGGAAGAGGAGCATTTATTGTAACCCTAAATCCCTCGTATAAAGGGAGAAGATGTCTCTATTCTAGGGCATCGATCATTTAATAGCAAAAACCCTAGTTCTTCATTTGTTCTTGAGCAAACCCTAAATCGTTCATTTCTAGGTCGAGTCAATCCTTTTAATCCGTTTCAATTCGAGTTCTTGAGAGATTGTTCAAAGTGAATTTATTCTCCTTTCCTTAATAAATTCATTGTGTGAACCCTTGGTTCAACAATTGGCGCTAGAAGGAGGGGGGGAATCTTTTCCTTTCTAGAAAGCATTTTCAAGAGTAACACTTCTCTCAACTCGATTAACGAAGCAATCCACCTCGAGATGTCTCCGCAACTCGGCCCTGTTGACTCACGTCCAAACGAGGAGCTCGACGAAGAGCCCCTTACTAACGACTCGACCTTCAACGAAAGGATCGAGGAAGAAGTCCGTCAAATGGATCTCCCGGCACCAGTCGAAACCACCGCGTGTCCTCAAACTGGCGAAGTGGAGGGCAATACGACCGCCCCTCGAAGGCCCGAAGGTCAGCCCACGGACGAGCCACAGCTCGCTCAGGTCGCCCCATCGGGCCCACCGGTTCAGCAAACCGTATCGATGGACGACCTGCGCATAGTGTTCGGAAGCATGACGAAAGACATCTACGACCGAATCGCGGCAGCCGACCACCGAATGGATACGATCATGCGTAATCGTACGCCGGAATCTAACGGGCAAGACGTAAGTCTCGACGTCCTCGCCCCCGGTCCGGTCGGAGGATGCACGGTACGTCCTCCAGTGTCAGTTGGCCGCTCATGCGTAAGACCTACGCCAACCGGGACTCGACCCCGAGCATTGGTAACAGCGTCCAGCCAACCTGCGGACGCGCCCAGCTCCGGTCGAAATCGGGATCTGGAAGATCTGTACGCAAGGATAGCCGACATAAACTCTCAGGTCCATCGGGTCTCCAGCTCGGCCCCTGAAATCGACCGTATGTTCGAAGAAACACAGCGAACTCCCTTCACGAGCCGCATCACTCAAGCCCGAATTCCGCATATCAAATTCAGGCTGCCGACGTACGACGGGGATAAGGATCCACGTACCTTTATGACGGCGTTCATGGCCGCAGTCACAAAAGCACACTTCTCCGACGAGGAGAAGGATACAGGACATTGCCAGTTATTCGTCGAAAGTCTGACCGGCAATGCACTCACCTGGTTTTCTCGGCTTAGCCCGAATTAGATCGATAATTTCGCCCAGCTATCGACCTCTTTCCTCCGGCATTACCGACATTTCATACAACCCGGAGCATCCAGCATCGATCTCTGGGACACAACTCAGGAAGCCGGCGAAACTCTGCAACAGTACTTGGTGCGATTCAAGAATTTGCTGGCTAAAGTATCAGTCCCAGAGGATGCCGCTTTAGCCGCATTCCGCAAGGGGCTCATTCCAGGATCGTCCCTGCGAAAAGACTTGGCCATCCGTGAGCCGAAAGATCTCGACGACGCGCTACATCGTGCGTCCAGATACGCGCTTTTTGAAGAAGAAGATGCCAAACTAGCGGCGAAGTCTGGGGCAAACCGTCCTACACCCCAAGACCGAAAACGTGAAGACTACCGGGAACCACGTAAGCATTATGAGGGAAAGGAAGCTTCGCGCGGCGCAATTAGTGCGATCTCAGAAGAAGCCAGTAACCAAAAAACGTCGTCCAAATAAGCATACTGCACTTTCCACAAGTTCGCCGGACATTCAACCGAAGAGTGCAATCATCTCTCTAACTATCTCCTTGACAAATACAAGTCCGGCGAAATAGAAGCGGTATTCCAGCCCAAAGAATACAGAGGACAACGACCTGACGGAAGGCGCGGGCGCGGTCGAGGCCGAGGCCAGAGGACACGACAATACCGAGATGACAGCCCCGATCGGCGAGATCGGTCCGATGAGAGGCGAAGTCCCGATCGGCGAGATCGGTCTGATGAGAGGCGAAGTCCCGATCGGCATAACGATGAAGAGGGAGAACTGCCGGGACCACCGAAAAGACAGAGAGGGCAACGACCGCAGCGTGCTGGCTCACCGGCTCGTGGACGGATAACCATGATACTGGGGACTCCTGAGGACTGCAACGACTCGGTCCGGGCACTCAAAAAAGAGCCAGACAGGTGTGCAGCTTGCATGTCGCACCGGAAGAGTTAGTGCCAGCTGGCGAACTTATCACATTCTCTTCCGACGATGCCAAGGGAATACAACACCCCCATAACGACTCTATAGTCGTGGAAGTAACCATGGGAAATTACGATGTGGAACGCGTTTTAGTCGATACCGGCAGTACCGTCAACGTGCTATTCTTAG